CTTATTCAAGCTGGACCATATATTCTCATAATACAACCTGAAAATCTGGTTTTAATCAAGTCATATTATTTGCCATTATTATTAAAACACCTAAACAATTACGGGTTTGGGTATTTCAATTGGCAAACTATCACCCTGTTAGTTGCGCAACGAGCTCTTATTGTAACAACCAACAAAGCAATGTTAAACAATAAAATAGAGAATATATAAATACTGCAGAAATGAAGAAGGATGATTAAGTTTAGATCTCACAACTTGAATGAACTTGAACTTTGATAATCCTTTGCTAGATTAAAGAGGAGTTAGCCACACATGGCTACAAAATGCGCCAAAGAGAAAAAAATATGTTTCCGAATTTTCTAGAGTCCAGTCTCCTCTCCTCTTGCGTTCAACCTCTTAAATAAAAAGAGAAAGTCTAGAAAAAGAAATTTTATCCGACATTGAAAGAGAGAAAAAGTAGGCAAAAGATTCTCCCTGATATCCCTAATTAAGAGTCCTATTTAAGTACAAAAATCCTGCACAATCAAATCTGCAAAATATGAAAATTAATGGCCAAATCACATCCCCAAATTCTGCACCAGCTCTGCATCCGCACGACCTTAAGCCGTGAGCACGGCTCTTTGGAAAATGGATCTTTTGCATGCAGAATCCCAACCAACAGCTCAAAAACACATCAAAAGCGTCCAAAATCTTTTCAATTGCATCATTCACCATCACCTAACCACAATGCATAAAAACAAATAAATTCCACTGTATTTATTCGAATATTTGCCCAAAATACCACCAAATATAATCAAAATATAAGTCAAATATACACATCATCATCGGGTTCAAAAATAAATATATCCAGATTCTGAGAGATTCTGATGGTAAAATCTACTCTGGTTCATAAATAAATATATCCAAATTCTGAGAGTAAAATCTATTCGGGTTCAGAAAATAAATTTTACGAACGTCGATTAAGTTTGGATTACAAATATAACTTTTTCAAATTCAGATTCATCATTTTCACTTACCAAATGTACCCCACTTTAAGAAAAATGATCAATTACCTTTTAAATACATATGAGATCAGCAATACGAATTCAATAATCCCTTCAATGATGAGATTTTCAAGTTCAGATTTAACAAGATTTAATAATTTTACTTGCCAATTATACTATACTTTAAGATAACAAATCACACACCTTTTGAACATGTACGAAACCAGCAAAACAAATCCAACAATCACCATATCCATAACAAAATGACATATCTCAACCAACCAAGTTAAAAGCGTTAAGTAGATTGAACTAACTTAACATCTAGAGTTTTCACTTACTTTGCACAAAGTCTGAACAATCCACCTTGTAGGTCTTGCATCGGAAAGTAGTGAAATTAGAGTATTTTTTGAAAGTTTGAAGGTGAAGAAAAGAGTTACGGCTAAGATGAAAATTTCCTTCGATGTTACCAAGGTTAAAGTGATGTGTAAGAGTAGATTTTAGGTGGAAGAATGCATGTACACATAGGTGGCAAATCTTCACTCAATCTGCAGCCAAGTGTAAGAAGTTAAGATATACTAGAGATGACTAATCACCAAAGGTATTAATGGCTTATGATTATGTGTCATATTAGTGTAAGAAGCTAAGTTTAAGTGTGGCATGTGGCCATGCATGAGTTCTCCAAATGCCACGTGAGTTAATGTGTCTTAAGAGGAGTTTTTGTGAGAATTTATAAGGAAAACAAAAATTCCTCTCTCTTTGACACCATATTGCAATTAATTAATTATTATCACTAATTAACTAAAGTTTAAACTAATAATATCACCCATCAATTACTAAGACAACGGTGAATTAATTAACACCGTTATAATATTAACGTATACATTGATGTATTTTAATTTGCAACATGTCAAACTCGGAACGATTTTGTTCATGAAATCATCATCCGTGCCTCACAAAATTTATGATCCAAACTAAGATTTCTACTTGTCCACCGAATTCTAAACGAAATAATACTTAACTTTATAATCTAAGTATAATTACCGGATACGGAAATTTCCAAATGTCATAAAAATACGATTACGGAAATTCCGGATGTCACACAAGACACGATAACAAACTTCTAAGGGCATCACTACTTCCAATCCTGTTACATCGCGGGGGCCACCGATTTCATCAGGGGTTATGCCCAATCCATTTATCAGGTCAAAAACAAACTTAACATATGCGAAACCATCATTTCTCTACAAAACAATAGTCGCGGCCATAAATTATTCCTGGACTTAGGAAAGCATGATTATATGCAGGATTGCAAGATAAATGCAACTACAGATATTCTAGGTGGATTCGAGGGCTACATCACGGCTCAGGGCTGCGGTAACGCGACGTACTAGCGTAATTATTGTTCCGTGGTGGCGACAAGGCCCATCTACCTCGGAAGGGCGAATAGGCACTACTCAAGAGTAGTGTTTTCCAAGACAGATCTCTCAAACGTTGTGGTGCCAGAGGGATGGGACTCCTGAAGATATGCTGGTCAAGAGTAAGGAAGTTTATCAATAAACACTGATGTCATTCCATTAAGAGCAATGATACCTATATTAATCGATTCAAATGTCAACTGATTGCCTTATTTTCTTCAAAATTGAAGAATAGGGGGACAATAACCTACGCAGAAAACAAATGAAACGGGCCAGGGCTAACATGCCCGGGCGAGTCAAGTGGGAAAAGACTCTATCAGGTGAGGAGTTCTATATAGGTTGACCAATGTCAACACATTCAGAAATCAAGATGGTTGGCTGGAGAAGCAACCCTTTTAGTCTTTGCAGAAACCATGTGCATCTCTCATTTTATTTGTTTATGATCTGATTAGCTTATTTGGGAGTTTTCGGGTGACAAAATCGACCCACATGGAAATGTTCCGAAGGTGTATATATATTGGGAATTCATACACTTTGGCATATCATAGGATGCCAAAAGTTGTTCCTCCTTTGTGGGAAGGAAATCATGCAGAGGTTGCATTTTCGGCAACTCGAATATTTTTATCAATTTCATGCTTTCACTGCCCAATTCAGAAGCAGCATTTCATTTCATATAATTAGTATGGGTTAATACCATACTTGTCATTGCTAAAGTTAATTGATTCGTTTTCTTCAGCCGTAACACTAGTGGAGTAGGTCCAAGGGAGCAACATGGCCATTTCAATTTTGCAGACAATAGAGAATCAACAGATATGACCCGGCCCTAATGAAATCCATGATATCTGACTGGATGATTCCATGTATTAGACTTCTCCTTCCCCAATAATTGTGAGTATAGATATTTGCTTTCTTTTTCAGAAAAAAAGAAGAAGAAGCTAACCATTGAATTTGGTTGGTGTATGTATTATCTTTATGGTAACTTGTAAATAGGGCCAATTAGATTCGTGTCTAATTTTTTGAGTTTACAAGAATCGTTGCATACTAAACTTTCGCCTGCATACAGATGGACGACAGAGATAATGATTCAGACCTTAGAGAACATGTTGAGATCTTGCATTACTGACTTTGGCAGCTCTTGGGATAAACACTTACACTTGGCGGCATTTTCTTATAGCTATTGCTCCAACATTAAGATGACTCATTTTGAAGTTTTATAGGGTCAAACATACAGAACTCCTATTTTTTGGGATGATGTTGATGAAAATAAACTAACTAGCCCAAAGTTTATTGAGAAATCTAAAGAGCAGGTTGATCCCAGAGCGTCTTAAAGCAACATAAAATTGTTAGAAAAATTATGCAGATCTTAAAAGAGCAGAGTAGAATTTAGTTTAGTGGGTCACGCACACCTAAATATTTCTCCTATGAAGGGCGTTATATGATTTGGTATACGTGGCAAGTTAAGTCCATGATACGTGGAGCCACTCTTAATCTTAAAGAAGATTGGCGACATTACTTACAAGCTTGCTCGGCCACTAGTTTTGTTCGGAGCACATAATGTGCTTCATCTATCTTTAGTGCGGAAATATTTGTCGTATCTTGAAAATTTACCAGATATCTACTTTTGAGGTTAAAGAAGAACTTAACTTACGAGATTTAACTTGTTCGTCCATCCATAGAAAGGATCAAGTGCCACGTCGCCCAAGTATTCCTTATCTAAAAATCTGGTGACGAAAGCACACCGACAGAGAGGCCGCTCGACAGCTCGCAGAAGAGGTAAGGCACAGATGTCCTTATTTGTTCGACCACCGAGATAAGTTCAAATTCTTAGGGCGTTCCTACATCGAAGGTTACAGCAATAAGCTGTCATTTCCTTTCAGTCCCACCAAACAGTGGCAACTGCGCGGTGTTTGGGGGAAGTTTTGATGGCAAAGCTTCCATTCGAGATTTCTTCTTCATATGGAGTGAGTCCACATCTCGAACGAGAAACAATCGATTCCATTCTCGAACCATCCATGGGAGATTCCACTTTCCATTTCGATGATTGCTTCTTTTGAGCAGCAGCTTTCAGTTTTGGCCAGATAATGATCAAATTCCGCTGTCCAAAACAAGGAGTTTGGACAGACGATATGCTCCATTTGTCTATATCTAATGAGAGCAGATTGCTGCAACACTGTCGAAAACGGCAATTCTCTCCATTGATACAATGGCTCCTTTATTAAGAAATCCATCTGTCATTCTCTTTATTGAGCTTAGAATTCATTCTCGACCATATATGGGAGGCAATCTTTAAACACCTGCCTTATAAATCATCAAAACATGGGTGAATCTTAATCCACAGAATAGAGAAAGTTGTTTGTGGCTAATGCATATTTGCTTGCCTGAGTTCCAATATAAAGCTACACATGCATAGCTTCGATTTGCTTCAAGTTTCTCTGGTCTTTGGAAGTAATCTCTTTAACTCAAGATGCAGTATTTGCCGTTTAGTGCTCTCTTATTGGCTTTGCTGAGCCTGTCAAAGGTTAGCTTTTGTCAAGACTGTAGTAATCGAGGTCAAGATTCGACGACCATAGTCGTAGATTGGTCGGGCCAGGGACAATTCACCATGGTGCAAAAAGCCGTCGACTCCATCCCGGCGCCGAACAGCGTCTGGACTCGTATCCTGGTCAGGCCCGGCATTTACAAGTAGGTCGAAAAAAATGTGACATTTCATGTGACCAAGCTAGCTCTCGAACAAAATGTAAGTGTTGTATGGTTTCTGCAGGGAAAAGGTTTCGATACCTTCGGACAAGCCATGCATAGTCCTCGAAGGGAACACGGAAAGGGACACCATCATTGAGTGGAGCAGCGCCGGTGAAGTTGATCAAAGCGCTACCTTCACGCTTTATGCGGATAATTTCAAAGCCAAAAATATAGGATTCAAGGTCAGAATTGCCCTTTCTGAGAAATTGCCATGCATACACATTCCATGGCTAATGCGGTTAACCCTGGTGTTACAGTCGGAAAAACGACCTCGTTTTTGTATGGACTTCAGTACATCTGTTGACCTTGTGCACTTCACGCTATGGTTGATTGAACGCTACTTTGATTGATTCTGCTTAACAATTGCTCCGTCTTTTTAGAATTCGTGAAAATACTTAGACTTTGTCGGAATTCCTAGCAGAATACCTACAACGAATTGACACGACGTGGAGATTTGAATTCGATCAAGCCTGCCCCGGCGTTCCAAGTAACGACGGACAAAGTCTCGTTCTATAGTTGCGCGTTCATCAGCGTGCAAGACACACTGTCAGACTACCAAGGACGTCACTACTTTGACTCCTGCTACATCGAGGGTGCCGTGGATTTCATCTGGGGAGGCGGCCAATCCATTTATCAGGTCAAACACGAACCTTACAGTCGCGAAACCTGTCCTTTCTCTACAAAACTACAACCATGGCCGTAAACTATATATTTGCAGACTTAGGAAAGCATGATCACATGTAGGGCTGCAAGATAAACGCAAGCACGGCTATCCTAGGCGGATTAGCGGGCTATATCACGGCTCAGGGCCGCAACGGCTTGAAGGACCCTAGCGGGTACGTCTTCGATCGGTGTTACGTGGTGGGGACGGGGCCCGTCTACCTCGGAAGGGCGTACAGGCCGCACGCAAGAGTTGTGTTTCACAGGGCAGGTCTTTCAAACATCATAGTACCGAAGGGATGGGATCCCTGGTTATATGCCAATGAAGAGTAAGGAAGTTTATCGATAAAATGCCGGTGTGATTGTATCAAGAGCAATGATGATTCCACAATTGATTGCTTCATTTTTTTTTTTCCTTCGAAATCGATGAACAGGGGGACAATAACCTTCGTGGAGAACCAATGCACCGGGCCTGGGGCGGACTTGTCGCAGCGGATCAAGTGGGAGAAGACACTATCAAGCAAGGAACTACATCAATTGATCACTGTCGACACATTCATAAATCAAGATGGTTGGCTGGAGAAGCAACCCTTTTAGGGTGCGTTCATTACGCGGAAAAATGAGTGATTTGGAAAACATTCTCCGAAAGATGATTGCTTTTATCGTCAGAAAAATCAATATATGGAAAATGTTTTCGTCATCATTAACAATCTATACTTAATTATTTTCGAGGGCAATGAAAATATTTTCCATTCATTTATCTTTGTAAGCGATACCAACGATTATTTTTAAAAAAATGTTTTTCGAATCGCTCATCTTTCCCGCAAAGCAAGACATTAGGATCCATCGAATTACCCCATGTTCAAGTTAGGCCTGTGATTGAATATATAGTTGGGCTTGAACTGTCCACCTGATCCATTTTCATGTGAAGACTAGAGCTCCAAGCTCAGCCCAATTAAATTTAAGTCGCAGCATTTGTCTTTTCCTTTTGAAACATGGATCTTCGGAATAAAAAAGATTTACTGGATTTTTCTTGTTTATGTTTTTTTATATAGATTTAATACCACGAAAAGCTCCAAATTAGTACACAAATCTCAAACTAGTACGCCCGTAACAAATTTTCGCCCGTTAGTTTCTGTTAAATTTTACCGTCAATTTGTTGAGTTTGGCAACACGTGGCAGTTAACGGGTATACCAGTTTAAGGGTTTTACTCTCCATTTGTCACGAGTGTGCGAGTTTGTGATTTTATGTGGTATTAATCAAATTTAATTGAAACAGATGAAGAGTAAATTTGTCACAAGTGTACCGCTTTAGAGTTTTTGGTAGTTAAAAAATTCTTTTTTTGGTAAATTTATCACGTGTGCACCAGTTTTGAGTTTTTGGTGGTTGTAAAATTAGTTCAGGATAAATTTATCACGAGTGTACCAATTCAGGGTTTTTTGTTGTATTAATCTTTTTTTTATCGGGCATCATTCTTTTTGTTATTCGTGAAAAATGGTGGCTTAAAATGTAATTACTTTTTTTTGGTCGAAAAAAAAATGCAATTACTTATTAATTCAGTGGGAGGTGGTGTTGTGAAAATGCTCACTGCGGCATCGAATTCCGCACGTGCCAAACGGCCCGTATACGCCACGCTTTCGTCCTCTTCCTTCTCCAAGACCAAGAGACTTCAATGCTCTAGCAACTATATATATATATATAGTTGCTATTTTTATGTGAGAAAACTATTTGGAAAATATTTTTTCAATCACGATTTTGAAATCATGACATGCGCGCATTCAAATGTTTTACGGTTGTGAAGACGCACGAATATTTAGTAGCCGTTCGGTTTTTCGACCGACATTAGATGATTAATAGGAAATTTGATTTAACTTACTAACCTTGGATACCCATATGCGGCTTTTACTTTATGACAGTATATTGCGTTCGAATAGACGGAAACGTGGAGTTACAGCTCGATGAGGATGACTAGAGACGCAGGTGTGCGATAGAAAATTTAAGATAGTAAAGAAACATTTCGATAGAAAAATTTTCTTTTATTAGTCTTAAAACATAAACAAAAGATTAGATGACTTTAAAAAATTAATATTTACTTACTGCAAAGACTTAAGGTGTTCAATCTGTACATTCTGACCTAAAAAAAATCTGTACATAGAAAACCTTAATTTAAATGGAAAAAAAAATAAAAAAGCTAAAATAAAAGGTCAACACATAATCCGAGCACCACTTGTATTTTCTTAGGGTTAATATCACGAAAAATTTTAAATTAGTACAGCTGTAATAAATTTATCTCAAGTTAATTTTTTAACCACCAAAAACGTAAAACTATATCGTAATTTTTATGAATGTTTTTGTACATCTTTATCTCTCTTTTCAGCTTCTATTTATAAGAAGTTAAGGATATAAACAAATCAACAATAAATCAGAAAGAAATCAAGGAGTGAATGCAAGAGATTCGCTAAATATCAGGAGCAATTGCTGAATATCGGGAATGGTTGCTAGAGATCTGCTGAATATCAGATTCCAGATTTGATATCCTTTGACATCCCCCGCAAGCTGATGTGAGAGATCTCACAGTAAGCTTGTACTACAATAGATGAAATCGAGTGGTAGATAGGGCTTTGGTGAAGATGTCCGCAGGTTGATCTATGGAGGAGATGTACTGAACATGGAGTTGCTTCTGAACCACCCGTTCCCGAACGAAATGATAGTCAATCTCAACATGTTTCGTTCGGGCATGAAAATGGGATTACCAGTGAGGTAAATAGCCAAAATATTGTCACACCATAAGACAGGAGGACTCGGCAAGGAGACATGGAGGTCGCGTAATTAGGCTTCTATCCATATGAGCTCGGCCGTTGTATCGGCTAGACACTTAAATTCCGCTTCGGTGCTAGAGCGAGAAACGGTCCGTTGTTTACGGGAGCTCCAGGAAATAAGATTAGATCCAAGAAAGACACTATAACCACCAATAGATCTACGAGTGTCATGGTCACCTGCCCAACCTGCGTCGGAGAAAGCATGTAGTTGACAAGTAGAGCTGCGAGTAAGCAGAATGCCATAATTAGTAGTACCACGCTGGAAAACGCAGAATACGCTTAACAAACTGCCAATGTGCATCGGTGGGAGCATGCATGAACTGACACGCGGTATTCACCGCATAGGCAAGATCCGGCTGAGTGATGGTAAGGTACTGGAGAGCGCCGACAGTACTACGATATAAGGTATGATCATGAAATAAAGCTCCATGCTGTAGTAAAGACGGGTCAGTACCAGTAACACAAGGAGTCATGACTGGTCGAGCATCTTGCATATTGGTACATTGAAGAATGTCGTGTGCATACTTGCCTTGATGGAGTAGTAGACCTCTGTCAGTTCTTTGCAATTCAATGTCGAGAAAATAATGGAGCTCGCCGAGGTCCTTAATAGCAAATTCTCGTTGCAGGGATTCGATTAGAGCAGATAAAGGCGTTGAGGGCAATCCAGTTAAAATTATATCATCTACATATACCAAGAGAAAGACATTGTATGCTGCCGAGTGAAGCATAAATAAAGAGGAGTCAGCGCGAGATACTTGAAACCCAAGAGAGAGAAGAAAAGAACTTAGTCGCTGGTGCCATGCACGCGGTGCCTGTTTTAGTCCATAAAGTGAACGTTGAAGATGGCATATATGGTGAGGATGAGTAGAGTCGACGAAGCCTGGAGGCTGCTGCATATAAATTTCCTCTTCAAGATGACCATGGAGAAAAGCATTCTTCACGTCCAATTGTCGAAGCTGCCATCCCTGACTGAAGGCAAGAGAAATAACGGTGCGAACCGTTACATGTTTTACCACGGGACTAAAAGTTTCATGGAAATCTACCCCTTCCTGTTGATTGAAGCCTTTGGCGACTAACCGAGCCTTGTATCTTTCAAGGGATCCGTCAGCCTTCAACTTGACTCGAAATACCCACTTACAACCAATGGGTTTGCACTGTTTCGGTGGAGATACAAGGGTCCAGGTCTGATTGTGCATCAAGGTAGTGTATTCTTCATTCATAGCCGCTCGCCATGCTGGATCTTTATTTGCTTGAGTGAAGGAAGTGGGTGTCGGTATTGAGGAAGCTTCGGTTTGCAGGGCATAAGTGTGATCAGCACGAAGTTGACGCCGTGCCAAAGTTCCATCCCGCAGCCTTGTCACCATAGGATGAGATGAGGCAGCTGGCGGTGAAGGAGAGTTGGAGGGTGCTGTCACTATCGTTTCGAACATCAGTAGTGGGTGGATCTAGGAGCAAAGATGACTCCGATTCTGAAAAAGGTGTTGGAGAGTTTTGCTGAACCTGTATAGGAGAAAGAAAATTAGTTGGGGCAGTAGAGATGCGCTCCATTGACTAAGGTTGTTCACGTTTTTGTTCAAAAATGGAGGGAGCATAAGACATGCTGGAGCCGCAACAGAAGTTTGACAAGCATTCATTGGACAAGAGGTAGTAAAGGGAAATAATTGCTCATCAAAAACTGCATCGTTGGTGATGTAGATGCGACGATCTCTTAGAGAATAGCAACAGTAGCCCTTGTAGCACGACGAATATCCTAGAAAAATGCATAAATGAGATCTGGATTGGAGCTTGTTCTTTGCATAAGATCGAAGATTGGGGTAAACCATACACCCGAAAACGTTGAGGTGCTGAATAGAGGGAACAGCTTTATGAAGTGTCTCCCATGGTGTTCGGTTCTGTAGAACTGGTGTCGGCAGCCGATTGATAATATGTACTGCAGTCTCAAATGCAAAATCCCAGAAGCGAGGTGGCACAGAAGCATGGTTAAGCATTGAAAGGCCCATTTCAACAATATGGCGATGCTTTCTCTCAGCTATGTCATTTTGATGATGTTGATGAGGACATGAGGTCCTCTGATGAATGCCACGATCCCGTAATAAACGCTGTGCACAATCACACTGAATGGTTTTGACTGTGGTGGAAAATTGATTTTCCACAAAATTAAGGAACACAGAGAAAATGGAGAGGAATTGATCACGAGATTGCAACAAGTATAGCCATGTAAATTTGGAATAGTTATCAACAAAACAAATATAATACCGATTATTAGATGTAGAGGTTACAGGAGCTGGACCCCATACATCAAAGTGAATTAACTGCAACGGAAAGGTAGACCTATGATGGATGGGTGCATGAAATTGACTAAGACTCTTACTAGACATACATGCAGGACACGGTGAGAGTGCCACCGGTGATTTATTAAGAACTTGACAAACAACTGAGAAGGCGGCATGACCAAGTCGGTTGTGCCACAGACAAACAAGATTGGTTGCAAAGGCTTGGAACACGGACGGAGATGACGATTGCGAAGAAGACCTTGGAATGAAATAAAGGTCGTGATCAGTTTCCCCTTGAAGTAGAGTCCTCCCCGTGTGACGACACTTCACAAAAAAGGAGTTTGATGAGAATAGGAAATCACAGTTGTTTTCTTGACAAAACTAATGTACAAATAGCAAATTCTTTTTTATTATGGGAAAAAACAAGAACATTAGACATACGAAAATGAGGAGAAACATAGCTACCTGTGTGAGTAATGGGTAGATGGGACCCGTTACCTATGGTGCCTTGTTGGGATCCAAAATAAGGCTGAACATTATACAGACCGGAAGCATTATTTGTCACATGGTGGGCAGCACCAGAGTCAGGATACCAGGATTCACTTGAGAAGATGGAAGGTGGAGGAGGAATTTCAGCCAAGTTGAGTTGAGAAGAAAATTCGGATGGTGGATGCGGAAGATATCTATCACGGCAAACATTGGCAATGTGACCGTGTTTGTTACAAATCTGACACCGAAGATTGCTTGGTCTCTGACTCTGGTTATTGCCAAAAGACGGATTGAAAATGGTGTTGAGATTCGGATTGTGATATTGCTGGCCAGCCTCTCGATAATTTCTGTCTCTTCCTTCTTGATTCCGATTTTGGAAAGAATGCCCATTACCTCGAGAATATCTGACAGCATGTTGTTGTCGTGATCTTTGAGGTTGTGAGGAAACCATTGTAGGCCCATCAAAATGTGCAGCAAATGCAGCCGGTGGAGCAACAGTAGACTCCATGAGGTCTAAGCGTGCTTCACGGGACAATATGAGACCGTGAAGGGCATCTCTAGTCAAATCTGGAATATGATATTCAGCAGATCTCTAGTCATTGTTTGATTTTGACTTTGCACTGATATGGATACTGCAAGGCTTTGATATTCGGCTCCCAATCCAAGAAAAATGCGAGCTTGATACTCATGATCAGAAATAATCTTGCCAATCGAAGCAAGTTGGTCTACAAGAACAGTGGCTTGTTGAAGAAATTCCGTAACTGTTTGGTTACCTTTCCGAAGAGCTTGCAGCTGCATTCTAAGATGAGTTGCTCTAGCAAGATTATGAGCAGCATAAGATGTACCAAGGAATTCCCATGCTTCTGCAGATGTGTTGCAATTCGAAAGCTGATCGACGATGGCGTCGGACGTCGTGCTAAGAACCACCCAAGTGTGATTTGATCGCGTGTTACCCACTCGTCATATGCTGGGTTCGGAATAGTGGTGGTGGTTCCATCTGCTGTTTGCACAATTTGGCTAGGTGGACATACTAAAGATCCTTCCACAATTGGTAGTAGTTTGCTTGCTCGAAGACACGGTAATAGGCGTGAACTCCAAATAACAAAATTGTCTCCTGTGAGCTTGACTTCAATTGCTGGACAGGAGACGGAATTTGCAGGAATTCCAGTGGCTGTGGATCCAAGTACCTGGGTTGTTAAGCCAGAGATGGTACTTGAGATCGAAGCAGATGCTGAAGAAGGCGAGGATGCCATTTGACAATAAAAAGAAAGCTTTCACTAGAAAAGCTTTGGTACCATGTTAAAAACGTAAAACTATATTGTAATTTTTATGAATGTTTTTGTACATCTTTATCTCTCTGTTCAGCTTCCATTTATAAGAAGTTAAGGATATTAACAGATCAACAATAAATCAGAAACAAATCAAGGAGTGATTGCAAGAGATTCGCTGAATATCAGGAGCGATTGCTGAATATCGAGAATGGTTGCTAGAGATCTGCTGAATATTAGATTCCAAATTTGATATCCTTTGACAGGTACAACTGACTCCTTTGTTAAGAAATCCATCTTTCATTCTCTTTATGGAGCTTGGAATTCATTCTCGACCATATATGAGAGGCAATCTTTAAACACCTGCCTTATAAATCATCAAAACACGGGTGAATCTTAATCCACAGAATAGAGAAAGTTGTTTGTGGCTAATGCATATTTGCTTGCCTGAGTTCCAATATAAAGCTACACATGCATAGCTTCGATTTGCTTCAAGTTTCTCTGGTCTTTGGAAGTAATCTCTTTAACTCAAGATGCAGTATTTGCCGTTTAGTGCTCTCTTATTGGCTTTGCTGAGCCTGTCAAAGGTTAGCTTTTGTCAAGACTGTAGTAATCGAGGTCAAGATTCGACGACCATAGTCGTAGATTGGTCGGGCCAGGGACAATTCACCACGGTGCAAAAAGCCGTCGACTCCATCCCGGCGCCGAACAGCGTCTGGACTCGTATCCTGGTCAGGCCCGGCATTTACAAGTAGGTCGAAAAAAATGTGACATTTCATGTGACCAAGCTAGCTCTCGAACAAAATGTAAGTGTTGTATGGTTTCTGCAGGGAAAAGGTTTCGATACCTTCGGACAAGCCATGCATAGTCCTCGAAGGGAACACGGAAAGGGACACCATCATTGAGTGGAGCAGCGCCGGTGAAGTTGATCAAAGCGGTACCTTCACGCTTTATGCGGATAATTTCAAAGCCAAAAATATAGGATTCAAGGTCAGAATTGCCCTTTCTGAGAAATTGCCATGCATACACATTCTATGGCTAATGCGGTTAACCCTGGTGTTACATTCGGGAAAACGACCTCGTTTTTGTATGGACTTCAGTACATCTGTTGACCTTGTGCACTTCACGCTATGGTTGATTGAACGCTACTTTGATTGATTCTGCCTAACAATTGCTCCGTCTTTTTAGAATTCGTGAAAATACTCAGACTTTGTCGGAATTCCTAGCAGAATACCTACAACGAATTGACACGACGTGGAGATTGGAATTCGATCAAGCCGGCCCCGGCATTCCAAGTAACGACGGACAAAGTCTCATTCTATAGTTGCGCGTTCATCAGCGTGCAAGACACACTGTCAGACTACCAAGGACGTCACTACTTCAACTCTTGCTACATCGAGGGTGCCGCGGATTTCATCTGGGGCGGCGGCCAATCCATCTATCAGGTCAAACACGAATGTTACATGCGCGAAACCTGTCCTTTCTCTACAAAACTACAACCATGGCCGTAAACTATTTGCAGACTTAGGAAAGCATGATCACATGCAGGGCTGCACGATAAACGCAAGCACGGCTATCCTAGGCGGATTAGCTGGCTATATCACGGCTCAGGGCCGCAACGGCTTGAAGGACTCTAGCGGGTACGTCTTCGATCGGTGTTACGTGGTGGGGACGGGGCCCGTCTACCTTGGAAGGGCGTACAAGCAGTACGCAAGAGTTGTGTTTCACGAGACAGGTCTCTCAAACATCATCGTGCCGAAGGGATGGGATCCCTGGTTATATGCCAATGAAGAGTAAGGAAGTTTATCGATAAAATGCCGGTGTGATTACATCAAGAGCAACGATGATTCCACAATTGATTGCTTCATTTTTTTTTCCTTCGAAATCGACGAACAGGGGCACAATAACCTTCGTGGAGAACCAATGCACCGGGCCCGGGGCGGACTTGTCGCAGCGGATCAAGTGGGAGAAGACACTATCGAGCAACGAACTACAGCAATTGATCACCGTCGACACATTCATAAATCAAGATGGCTGGCTGGAGAAGCAACCCTTTTAGGGTGCGTTCATTACGAGGAAAAATGAGTGATTTGAAAAACATTCTCCGAAGGATGATTGCTTTTATCGTTCAGAAAAATCAATAGATGGAAAATGTTTTCGTCATCAATAACAATCTATGCGTAACTATTTTCGCGGGCAATGAAAATATTTTCCATTCATTTATCTTTGTAAGCGATACGAACGATTATTTTTAGAAAAATATTTTCCAAATCACTCATTTTTCCGCGAAGCAAGACATTAGGATCCATCGAATTTCCCCATGTTCAAGTTAGGCCCGTGATTGAATATATAGTTGGGCTTGAGCTGTCCACCTGATCCATTTTCATGTGAAGACTAGAGCTCCAAGCTCGGCCCAATTAAATTTAAGTCGCAGCACTTGTCTTTTCCTTTTGAAACATGGGTCTTTGGAATAAAAATGATTTACTGGATATTTCTTGTTTATTTTTTTTTTATAGATTTAATACCACGAAATGCTCCAAATTAGTACACAAATCCCAAACTACTACGCTCGTAACAAATTTACGCCCGTTAGTTTCCGTTATATTTTACCTTCAAATTGCTAAGTTTGGCGACGCGTGGCAGTTGACGGGTATACCAGTTTGGGGGTTTTACTCTCCATTTGTCACAGGTGTACGAGTTTGTGATTTTTTGCGGTATTAATCAAATTTAAGTGAAACAGACGAAAAGTAAATTTGTCACAAGTGTACCAGTTTAGAGTTTTTGGTGGTTAAAAATTTTAGTTTTTGGTAAATTTATCACATGTGTACCAGTTTTATGTTTTTGGTGATCATAAAATTAATTTGGGATAAATTTATCATAAATGTTCCAATTCGGGATTTTTTGTGGTATTAATCTTTCTTTTTTATCGGGCATCATTCTTTTTGTTATTCGTGAAAAATGGTGGCTTAAAATGTAATTACTTTTTTTTTTGGTCGGAAAAAAAATGCAATTACTTATTAATTCAGTGGGAGGTGGTGTTGTGAAAATGCTCACTGCGGCATCGAATTCCGCACGTGCCAAACGGCCCGTGTACGCCACGCTTTCGTCCTCCTCCTTCTCCAAGACCAAGAGACTTCAATGCTCTAGCAACTATATATATATATATATATATATATATATATATATATATATATATATATATATATATATATATATATATATATATATATATATAATTATAATTATTCGAGAAAAATATTTTAAAAATAGCTTTTTTTATGTGAGAAAACTATTTGGAAAATATTTTTTCAATCGCGATTTTGAAATCATGATATGCGACGTCCAAATGTTTTACGGTTGTGAAGACGCACAAATACTTAGTAGCCGTTCGGTTTTTCGACCGACATTAGATGATTAATAGGAAATTTGATTTAACTTACTAACCTTGGATACCAATATGCGGCTTTTACTTTAGGAAAGCTAATTGCGTTCAAATAGATGGAAACGCGGAGTTACAACTCGATGAGGATGACTAGAGACGCAGGTGTTTGATAGAAAATTTTTCTTTTATCGGTCTTAAAACATAACAAAAGATTAAATGACTTTAAAAAATTAATATTTACATACTGCAAAGACTTAAGGTGTTCAATCTGTACATAAAAAACCTTAATTTAAATGGAAAAAAAATATAAAAAAGCTAAAATAAAAGGTCAACACATAATCCGAGCACCACTTGTATTTTCTTAGGGTTAACATCACGAAAAATCATAAATTGGTACAACTGTAATAAATTTATCTCAAGTTAATTTTTTAACCACCCAAAATCCCAAACTGGTGCACCTGTAAAAAAATTTATCCTCTATTAGTTTATCTAGTTGGATGACACTTGGCAGTCAATGTGTGTACCAGCTTAGGATTTTGCCCCGAAGAGTAAATTTATCACAAATATATCGATTTCAGTTTGGGGTAGATTTGTTTATAGGTGTACTAATTTATGATTTTTCGTGGTATTAATTCATTTTCTTATTGTCCATCGCATAAGTCCGGAAGAAATATAGAATAAAAAATAAAAGAAGAGAAAAAAAATAATATTAAAATCGAGGGCGTTTAATAAAGAATTAATAATTTTATTTTGTTATTGGAGCACATCAAAGGAGTGCTTGAAAAGATAGATGTCTTTCCCATCATTCAACTGAGTTCTCCGTTTTTTTTTTTTTTTTTTGTTTTTCCCAAAGAGTTTCAAGTTACAATGACTATTTCTCCCCCTTTTGCCCTTTTCTTTCTTTTCCGGGGGTATCTCGGGAATCAATGCAAGAGCAGTACAGTCTACCGCCATTACCCGAACTTGAATCTCCTCGAACTCTCCCGTGTTTGTCGCGTGCACTCCACTCCTCTCTCTCTCTCTCTTACATCACAAAAATTATTGCAGTTTTTCCTCAAATTATTACATTGTTTCTTTTGGCCAATTATGCTGTACATGTTTGACGGTCCGACCAATCTCGAATCTTCGAATTGCCCGTCGGTGTGAATTAGGTGCGTCTCGGATCAAACAGTTCGTTACGAGTGAAAAACCTTTGAAACGGCGATCAGTTGAGTTGTTTGGAAAGACTGTTTTCTCCTCTTTTTACCGGTAAAAATTGAAAGTCGGTAAGATAACGGTGGTAGGAGTGCCGATCAATGATCTCTATCACGAGGGAAGACCGAGTGATATCACCATGACTACAGTGTTGTTTGAAAAGCTTGGCGACAGACACGAACACCAACACCACCCATCTCCATTTCCCAAAAACACTTAAAAAGAATTTCCCGTTGCACAAGAAACTCCCTCGCGCTTCCCCAAACACCCTTGAGGAAAGGGACATTTCTAGATCCACAACAAAACCCACCTTGAAAACTGGGATACATTATAATAATGATATAGTGAGAGAAAGAGAGTAAACAGCCAGCTTTGCTCTCTCTCTCCCTCTCTCTCTCTCTCTCGGTCACTCGCATCAATCCCCCCAACATCACGTTAGCAAAGAACCCACATCAAAATTCATTTCACTGTATAACATAATGTGAGTTTTGTGCATTTGTTTATTTGAAGAAGACCACCTCCTTTTGTGGATCAATCCATATGGTCAAAAGAACCACTTCACCAGCAACATAACATCCGCTAGTCTTTACCCATCATTTCCCACAACCCGATGCCCCCACCCCTCCCATCATTATCGGTTGGACAAGAATTTGAAGGCACGGAAGCAAATAAGACTTGCAATCTTGAGGAAATATAGAAAGTGGGGAAGCAAAGAAATCAGGAGTGGCTTATCGCGGTCCTCTGTCAAATAATGTCTTCTTTATTAAAGAATTACTTGGTAGAAGAATGGCTTGAGCCTATCTAGCTAGCTACATTTGCCTATGCCTTTCGCTTTAATGTGCTAGTACCTTGTTTTTTTGAAGATGGGTAGTAGGGAAAATATGTTCTTTTCACCGCAGAATTTCTGTTGATGTTGGTTGACACAGTGATTTGGACTTGAAAGCGCCCATCTTTTCATGTCTATTGACATTGATAGTTGATATGTCACTTGGCTGGTTCATGTCCTCCTTTTGACACTCTTGCTTTTTTTTCTCTCTCTTCTCTCTCTCCCCCTCCCCCTCCCCCTGCTTCTACTTCCATGTGAATGCCCTGTGCTTGAGTTGAGTGGGAGCTAAAAAGATAACCTCAGAGAGAGAGAAAGAGGGAGAGAGAGAGAGAGAGAGAGAGAATGTGGTGTGGAGGAGGTGAGAGTGCAAAGAAGAAGGCAATGTGGCTCTATCCAAAGGTTGAGGGATTCAACCCTCCTGAGAGATGGGGACACACTGCTTGTTATTCTCACGGGCATCTTTACATTTTTGGGGTATGTATCTATAAGAGTTTCTTGAATTTCAGGTGGTCTTAATTTTTGTAACTGACTATCTAACATACAAGACCAGCTATCTCATGAACCTACTCTTTATGAGTGGTCTGAACGTGCAGCCTTGCCTCTGAGAATTATATTTAGCTGAAACATGTAGTCCCCTTTTTTTTTTTGTGTAAATGAGCAAGAAATTTGCTTCTTGGTTGTATAGGCTCTGTATTATCTTTGACAAGCGACAAGGTCACTTTCCCACCAGTTTTTTAGTTCTTTGCCACTTTTAATTTCTGTTTCATGATGGAAGATTTCTGGTTTTTCCTTCTGTTCTGCACTGTTTTTCCTCCATTTAGGAGGGAAGTTACAAGGCAGGGTGACAATTATCATCCTCCTTTCTTAATTTAGTAATATCGTTCTGTCTGGAATTTTTTTGTTCCAGAAATCCCTGCCTCTGCATGAACATGGCATTCTCTGCTATCTTCTTCTCCCTCATATTCTTTTCCCCCGCATAGTTTCTTTAAATTACGATGGTCACTGGGATTATATATTCCTCCTGCAAAAAAGGCTCTACGCACTTAAGAGGGAGGGCCATATAATCCGTCTTCCATATCACATCTATTTCCTTGTGTGACCGTCATGACTTTGATCTGAGTTGCTTTCTATCTTGAACTGAAATAACTTTCTCTGTAACTGTTTACATGATTTGAAGTGCCATAGATTTAGGATAGAGGACTAGAAAGAATCGAGGATTAGCAAAAGAGAATATTATTGCAAACACAGTGAATCCGCGCAAAGGTCGGACCTATTGTTTGTAGAATTTTCTTTTGCTTCCTGTTAATCCGTATTTCGTTGTCTACTCTTTGGAAGTCGGTAAACAGTTTAAAATTGGAATACATGGGAAGTAGTAGTTTGACAGTTTCAACTTTCAAGTGCTTGTTGGAACAGAAAATTCAATATGAGAAGATGAGTAAAATTTTCCCTTTGCAATCCATTTTCAGGGATGCTGTGGAGGTTTGCATTTTGGCGACGTGCTTGTTCTTGATCTCGACAATATGGTTTGGAGAACTCTTGCGACCACCGGCCAAGGACCTGGCCCGAGGGACAGTCACAGTGCTGTTCTTGTGGGGCACAGGATGATTGTGTTTGGGGGCACGAACGGCTCTAGAAAGGTTAATGACCTTCATGTACTGGATCTCAGGTCCAAAGAGTGGACTCAGCCGAACTTCAGAGGGAAACCGCCGTGCCCTCGTGAAAGTCACTCTGCCACGCTTATCGGGAATGATAAGATGGTCGTTTTTGGGGGTAGTGGCCAAGGCGAAGCAAACTACTTGAACGACTTGCATATTCTGGACCTAGAGACGATGAGGTGGATGTCTCCTGAGGTAAAAGGCGAGATTCCTGTCCCTAGGGACAGTCACAGCGCTGTTGCCATGGAAAACAAATTAGTGGTGTATGGTGGAGACTGCGGCAATCGGTATCTTGGCGATGTTGATATACTCGATACGGACACAATGACCTGGTCGAAGGTATGAAAGGGGAAGAGAAAACCCCTTGCTTGTCGTGGAGTTTTGTGTCAATAAGAACATTGCTTAGGCTTGTTTCATTTGCTTGACAGTTGAATGTTCAAGGATTTTCACCCGGAGTCAGGGCTGGTCACGGTGCTGTGAGCATCGGAACCAAGGTAACTTGCGCACCCATCTCGAGCTAGTAAGCATAAGTGATCCTAGGTGAATGCATTAAATGCTCTTAGTACTCCCACTCTCGTTGTTGAGGCCGATGTATCAGTGTCAACACGACCAAATGTGAATTAGAACTGAAAGCTCCTTGTGAAATGAGATGCAGATCTATGTCCTTGGAGGGGTCGGAGACAAGCATTATTATAATGACATTTGGGTGCTTGACATGGTCAATCATCTATGGACGCAGCTTGGTGCACATGGCCAACAACCTCGGGGCAGATTCTCACATACGGCTGTCGCTCTAGGAACTGACATTGCCATCTACGGCGGGTAAGAACCTCCCTCAATGCTCTTCACAATCTCCTGTATATCTTCGCCATTTCTTCTCTGTTCTGTGTAAAAGCAAATATTCTTATTCAGTGTTCCCAATTTGCAGATGTGGAGAGGATGAGCGTCCGCTCAATGAGCTATTGATCTTGCAGCTTGAAGAAGAACATCCTAAATCCCATCAGAACAACCCTATGTGTAGCATCTTGTCGGAGCAATGGAACAAAAAGAATAGAAGACGGCCAAGAGGAACCAGTAGCACAGTGAGTTACTGAAAAGTGCCGACTATTAAAGCATCAGATTCTCTTTGCTTTATTCGCCGTTCATTCTCTATCGCGTTTCTTGCGATGCAGAACGATACCTTTTACGATGGCAAAGACATTTTCAGCGGAGGAGTTTTGGCAGCAGGAGCCGAATTAAAGGAATCTGTTCATTTCAGTCCAGGTTGGTGCTCTATCGTAAACCTCATTAAGTTAGTTTATGAATATTTTTTTAAAGGATTTTCTTTATTAGATGCTTTTCGTCTAAAGCGGGAAAGAACTGCCAATTCGAGGGCCTTGGAGGTAGAATCAGAGCAAGAAGAGCATTCCCTCTCGCTGTCTCAGCATTCTTCCCCATCGCAGTCTGATCAAGAGCAAACTCAAGTTTTCATAGCCGCCGATTCAGTCAGAGGATCTCAAGAATATCATTTTCTTAAGAACTTCAATCAAAATCATAGCGATGGCCAACCTGATGGCAATGTTCTTAGCAGCCCGAAGACACTCACAATTGACAGTCAAGGAAGTCCGCCGGATCTCATTCTAGGGGGGCGACAAGTCATCACTAGACAAGAACCATCGTTTCATGTTGCTCACAATTATCGACAAGGATTGCATCACCGACCAGAACAGACACCGGGTGGTTCGGCGCCTATTCAAAATATGGTAATTAGTCAAATCTACTTGTCTCTTGCGATAATTTAGAATGGAACCGATCACCCTTTTTTTTAGATACAATTGTCTTACAAGTTTTGCTCTAACGCCATCATTGTCAATTCTTTTGTGCAGATTGGAGCTAATGTTTGCGGAAAAGTTGATGGAGCATTTGATTCGGGCTTCTTAGTAACCGCAAGTGTTAATGGAAAGATATTCAGAGGAGTCTTGTTTGCACCGGTAAGCGTCGTAAATCTAACATCGCATTATATATTCGTCGATTCAGCATCATAGTTTTCACTCGTCTATGAATCTTTATGACTCAGGCACCAAGCTTCATGTCCAGAGGAGCCGTTCTCACTCAAAATCCTCCACCTCGCCCAGCTCAAATTCCCCTCGTTCACCCTCTGCAAAGCTCGGGCCATGCGGAATTCATGAGACATGCTCAGCAAGCGCAAGGGACAAGGCCGCCTCAGGTCGTCAGAGCCTCTCCTCCGTTGGGCAGGGAACCGAAGCAGAGGAGCGATCTTCAAGGCGTGGTTCTGACATTGGGAGGACCGGCTAGCGGTCATTAGTTAAGCTTTTGAGCAATAACCAGCCCTCCATACTATGAAGAGGGAAAATGAGGCACTCTAACTTCTGCTGCTCATTAAGTACTGCACGCCAAGTGTAATCTCCAAGTCTTTCCCTCTTGTTTGTGCCTATGTAGTGCTCCAATGCATGCTCTCCTTTCTTTTTTTTCAATTTCAAACAAGATCAAGGAAAACAGAGAAGAGTGTATCTATCTAGTGACGCATTAAAACATTATTAGATCCAAGTAATTTCACTTCTCAGTTTTGCTTCATCACTTATGTCTGTCAACTGTAGATGGCCACCCAAGAACAGGGCAGAGTCCACCATAAACATATCAGGAAAACCCATGTGAATAGCAAGATGACAATCGCCCCTCCATTATTATCGCACGAGGGGAGGCCGCCGAGATTTGATTAAATCTTCGGAAAAAACCATCGAAAGGGATGTGATCTTTTTTCTTTTCTTTCACTGTTCTCCCCGTGAAACAAAAGCTGAAACGGAATGAAAGATGTAGGAAAACAGAGCGCGCGAGAGAGAAGGGGGGGTTTGGCGATGATTGGACGGGTGCGGAACAGAGTACGGGCGTGGTGGGGGGAGTGGGGTGGATCAGAGAAATAGCTCCCGTGCATTTCGCGGGATGATGTCCTGTCTCCGAGTAATAGACCCCTATCTCTCTCTTTCTCTCTCTCTGTGTAGGCGTCACAGTCTCGCTTGTCTTTGAGATTGATTGAATGGGAGAAGGGGTCTTTCCATTGTCACCTGTCACGCTTGTCAAAACAGGTCGCTGTCTCTCTGTCTCTGTCTGTTTTCTCTCTCTCTGTCAGTCCCTCGCTTCATTCGATCAGATTCCCCTGTTCCCAAATTCGCGTTCAAATTAGGATCCACACACACAAACCTGTCGAAATTATCAATTCAATAGGACCCATCAGAATTCACGAGGGATAACGTCGAAGTTTTTACTCTCGGTTTAGCAGCAGCGCGCGTCAATCTGTGTGGCCCATTTGGTAGAGTGATGTCGACAAATTTACGGCATTTGATTGAACAAGTTGAACAGTGGCGGATATGACTTGATATAAGTTAGAGTACTCGAATTGAGCTAGACCCTAATGCTAATTTATTAGGAATGATCATTTCACGTCGCGATCCGTGAGAAGGACCCGACAAAGAGACGGGGGAGGTGAGAAAGGATCTCTTAATCCACAGTCGAGCTCTAAACGTTGCATTATTGTTACTGCAATGAGAACGAGCAAAGAGCCTACGAGCACATCCGTAGTTTTCGCGACATAAATGTTTAATTTGGTTAGATACTTGAATGCAAATGAAGGAGTGGCAAGCTTGGGACATTACTAGTGCATCACAAACTGATGTCCAAGAAAGAAACCTTGAGGTGGGAGATCATTTGAGGCCCAATGGACTTGCTTCAGTGGGCTGTGTTAGCTCAATCCACGAGTTGAATTTGCGTGCATGGCCCAACCCCGTGTCCCATGTCTCAATAGTGTCACATACCTCAACTTTGTTGTGAGCGCGCAGCGAAAACCCAACACCTTCATTCGAGGAGCTCATCAAGAGAAAATCCAAGTCCGATCCCGTCAACATATATAGTTGAACTCATCTTCAGTGAAAAGCTTAAGCCAATGAATTATGAGCTAACTTAAATATATTAACTGCTTCTCACCACATCAATTCTCCGATGTGAAATTTCTCTAAGACAACTCACACGTACATCCTAACAAACTTTGTCAATCGGGAGGGGGGGGGGGCGAATCCAATTTATTTTTCAACGCAAAACCCTTAATTCAAGGCCGTGCCCGTCGTCCGGGAGGCCAATGGCCTCACTCGCCCTCCCGCCTCGGGTCCACCTCTAGCCGGAGAGTTCTTGAAGGCCCATTTGGATCTTTGATGCATCAAATCAATGATTATAGTAGGCAAATCTACATGTCCCGAGTCTCATCGATTGGTCATTTTCGAAGTTGGGGGTGGTCCAAGGGCTTAAGAACCATCGCTAAGCTTCTGACATTAACGACCACACCATTGAATTGCGTGGTCGACGATTAAATTTCATGGAGGATGCTAGATTCATCGATCTCACTTGCATTTCACGTGCCAAGCTCGTGGGTCGTGGATTACTAAAGTTAATCACCGGTTTATATATAATCAAAGTTGCAATCGAAAGAGGACAAGGGCATTAAGTAAAGAAGAAATGTTTCCCTATGTTTATCCATTGCCGCCGTTGTTGTTCGTATCGTTTCTTTTATCGCGTTTCGATAGTCTCCTATAAGCAAAGCCGGGATTATAAAAACAGGAGATGATCGCGCCTATTGCGGGAGAAGATCTTGTCTGCTCGAGGTGCAAGCGAACCTGGTTTACATATGTCATCGGATGAGGCGATTTTTCGCGAGGAATTCACCTCATCTAACGGTACGTATGAAATTGGGCTGATATGTATTGGTTGCGGGCAGTATTAAGCTCCTATTTTGGAAATGCAAAATGCCAGCGGATAATTCTTCAAACATGGGGACGCACTGACTATTGATCGCCTCCTTTCTTTTAGTTTGTTTGAATTAAAGCTTTGAGGCTCTACATCAGAAGAGGCAACATTGGGTGGAGCGGGACGTTTAGGGTTTGTTTAGTAATGTTTCCATTCTCTATTTTTTTGTTCTTTTGTTCCATGGAATAAAAAAAGTACAGAAATCTATTTAGTAATGTCAGTTAGTTTTTTTGTTTATCGGAACAGAAAAGTGGTCAGAGAATAGATTTGGAACAAAAATAAAAAGTACAAAAAATCTACTTTTCTGTTTCTGGAACAAAAAGAGAAATAATAGAAAAACAAGATCAACTCTCTCTCTCTCACAAATATTCTCATACCAAATCCTAAACCCCAAATGCTAAACCCTAAAACCATAAACCTTAACCCTCAAACCCTAAATCCCAAAACCTTAAACCTTAATACCCAAACCCTAAAACCCATAACCCTAAAATAAAAAAACCCGAAACCCCAAAACCCAAACCCTAAACCTTCTAAACCCCAAATCCTAAACCCAAAAACCCAAAATCCGAAATACTAAACCCTAAACCCCATAACTCCAAACCCTAAAATCTAAATCCTAAAATCGTAATTCCAAACCCTAAAATCGTAAAATGTTCAATTGCAAAACCCCGAATCCTTAATCATAAACCCTAAAATGTAAACCCTATATCCTAAGTCCCAAAACCGTAAACCCTAAACCCAAACCCTTAAACCCCAAACTCGAAACCCAAAACCCGAAACTTTAAAATCTAAACCCCAAATCCTAAACCCTAAAATCTAAAATCCAAAACCCCAAACCCCAAACCTCAAAACCAAAATCCTTAAACCCTAACCCCAAATCCTAAAATCCTACACCATAAACTGCAATTTCCTCGACCACCACCTGATATTTGCTTTGTCTATAATGAGTAATTTACTTTATGATTGTTTTAAGATCATCAAATTCTATATCATAATATATTATTATTCTATTTCTAGTCCAATTTTATCCAAACATGAATTGTTAAGTCTCATAAACTGCAATTTCCTCGACCACCACCCGGTATTTGCTTTGTCTATAAGGAGTAATTTTCTTTATGATTGTATTAAGGTCATCCAATTCTACATCATAATATATTTTTATTCTATTTTTAGTCCAATTTTATCCAAATATGAATTGTTAAGTTTCTACTGACAATTTTATATTTAAATGAAAAAATTGGGAGTAGAAATTTTTAGTGTCCTACCAAACGCATTTATCTTCTTTTTCTACTCCGGGATTAGAAATTTTGTGCAGTTACTAAACGCGTTTTTTTGCTAAGAAAATCGTTTAGGGAATGAAAATAGAAAAAACTATTTCTAAACAGAAATTGTTTCTGGAAATAGAAACATTACTAAATAGAACCTTAGTTACAGGTGAAGAGTTCAACTCACACACTCTGTAAAGAGAAAGAGTAAAACACAAATCAATGAGAATTAGAAGTGAGAATTCTCTCTCTCTCTCTCTCTCTCTCTCTCTCTCTCTCTCTCTCTCTCTCTCTCTCTCTCTCTCTCTCTCTCTCTCTCTCTCTCTCTCTCTCTCTCTCTCTGTGTGAAGCCCAAGAGGGATAAATTAGAAGTGAGAATTCTCTGCACGGTTCACTAATATGATACGGCGTGTAATTAAATAGGTTTGCGTCAGGCAACCATAATTTCGTGCCGTAAACAGGTATGACGCGTTCAATTTATTTAAACACAAATCAATGTGTATTGAGTTGAGGTGTCAATGTTTCGATGCGACACAATTAGACACATTTCAACATGTTTGGCACTCGTGCTTAGGACTTTTTTTATCTTCAAAAGGCTATAGAAACAACATTGTGTCGAAGAGAACGAACAATCGATAAAGTACAAACATAATTCCAAACACAAGAAATTCAACATAATGAAACGCATTTTTCAACGATGCACTTTAGATTAATGTGAAGTGAAATTACTCCTATTGTCTTGAAAGTATCGATATGAATTATCGCGCATAAATATGTTTTATGTGTTTTTATCATGTATACATGTTAACGTATGTGTGTGTATATATATATAAGTTAACATGCCGTGTCGTATTAAAACCCGACACTGTGACATGTTTGATGGTCGTTTAGTCAACCCGACACGGTGACACCTTTTAGTCGTTTAGTCGACCCTGACACAGTGACACGTCGTGTTGGTCATGTCTAATAGCGTAACTCGCTTTGTTTGGTGTGTTGCATTCGTTTTGAGACAATTTCACATGCTTATTACACGTGTCTTGTTTGGGTTTAACCACGCTTGTATTATACCCATATTCCGACACGATACGACTAGTTTGCCCTAAGATAAAACATCTGTCAACCAGGTCAATCACCATTTGATTACATGAGTCAGGTGTGATTTCTAAAAATTACATGGTCGTAATTAATCATGGTTCATGGGCCACGGTCCAAACAAGTGGACATAAAACGAGAATTAAATCGACTCACTTGGAAGGTTTGATTGTTTCGGAGAATAATTGAGATGATAAAAGTTGAGTCATGTTTCAAAAATTTCCATCTCGACATCAAGTTCACGCAGTGATCAAAATTGACAAATGACACGACATTTCATGTGTTTGTTCTTACATGTACGTAAATGAGTTAGCTAATCGATCATGCTAGCAAGCCAAACGAATTAAGTATCATGGAGTTCGAGTCACTCAAGTATTCTGGAAATTTGATTCGATTAGATACTCGAAGGATAAACTAGATTCAGAGTGACCCCTCGATAAGAATCAAAAAGTCGGGATTCGAATTCGAGCAACACAGAGTAGTTTGTAGCGAGGAAAGTTGCTTCTTGCGATGTTCAAGAGGGGAGCAACCACCCCATTTGGCCCTTTGCAATGTTGCCCTTGATCAAAACAAATCACTAGTTGCGTTGCCATGACATGAAACTTTCTAGCCATTCCTAATCCAAATTGCACAGTGCAGTGACATTTTCTTACGAGCATCGTTCGGTTCAGCTAATGAATGCCATACATTCTGTTTAAGGATGGCCACGATACCTCAAACTAAGGGATAAATGTCCAAAAAACTTATGATTATGACGGGATTATGAATGGAGAAATTTATGATTATTATGGGAGAAAATCTTGTCTGCTCCGAGTGCAAGTGAATCCGTTTCTTTTATATTTCTTTTCCGTTTAGATATAACAGAAATGTTTCTCTATTTTACCGATGGCCGCCGTAGTTTGCATCATTAAACTTATTCTACTTCAATTGCCTCCTAATAGCAAGCCGGGATTATTAGAAGGAGAAATTTATGATTATTACGGGAGAAAATATTATCACAGGTGCAAAGATAAAGTGATTTTTAAGAGGAACTCATCTCATCTAATGGTCCATGCGAGTCGAGGTCATTGTGCACTGAGGCTAGGATTGCCCGGGGGCGATGTTATTTTGTCTTGTTCTCTTTGTTAAAACAGTAGTCTAAGAGATTCCAACTGTGATTCTTTTCCTAGAATGATAATAGCAGAGATGATCTTTCAACTTTGATTTAATATATAACGTCCTTCTCTGAACTTTTAATTTATGCGATATCATCCCTGAAATTTGGCCCAATATGCAATATTGTCCCTAAACTTTTTAATTTGTTCAACGTGGTACTTGAACTATTGTTAAATGTTCAATGCATTCCCTAGACTATATGGAAATGTTTAAAATTTCATGGATCATATTGAGCATTGACCAAATTTCAGGGACCACGTTGAATAAATTAAAAGTTCATAGACGACATTGCATATTAAGTCAAAATTCCTGAACCATTTATTCAATGGACGGCATTGCACATTCGATCGAAGTGTTGGGATCATTTGTGACATTTTCCCTTTTTCCAACTGCCAAGATCTCTCTCTCTCTGAAGCTTCGGAGGGATAAATTTGAATTGACAATCCTCAACGCGATCTATTTACAAGACACGGCGCATAACTACATAAGGTTTGTAATTGGCATTACGGGGTTATGTCATGTAACGAATATAGCACTGTTAATACCGTTTCTTATGTGGGTTGACCGCTTACCCTATTTAAACATATATCATTGCGCATAAATTAATGTGTTGATGGGTCATCTGTTTTGCTGCGACACGCATCAACCGGCTTTAACACGTGTACTTACGTACTTGGAGACTTTTTTATTGTGGGAAATTTTTAAAAACAACACTCATGTCAAATAGAATATAAAGCAAGAACACAATTCCAAACAAAAGCCACTAAACATAAAGAAGTACTAACTTAATAGTACAATTTAGATTACTGTGAAGCGAGGATACTCATATCGTCTAGAAAATCTTAACCCCAATTATCATATATAAACATTTTGTATGTATTTATCATGTATACAAATTAACGTATCATGTTGTGTACGGCGTTTGATAATTGTATTAGTCATTAACTCGCTTTTATTAGGTGTGTATTGCTCATATCAAGATACTTTAACACTAATTCGGATAAATCATATTCATATTATACCAATGTTTCCACACGACACGACATGCTAAGAAGATAAATACTTATCAAGATCAACTAGGCCTATCACCATTGTTGATTACACGGGCCTTGCGTGATTTTTACAAATTCAATGGTCGTGATTACACATGGTTCGTGGATCTCATCCAAACACATGGACTTAAAATGAGAATCAAATCTAGTTACTTTGAAGGTTTTATTATAATTATTTCGGAGTATAATTGAGATAAGTTGAGTTTACACGTTTCTATTTGCAAACTTGATTTGTCCGGAACCTTAAGGCACAACATTTTGACTCGATGAGGTAGTTGATATGCTTAAATTCAACTCAACTTGACAATTAAGGATGCAAAAGTACGAGCATTAGCATGGTCGGCTTTAAATTGGAATTTGAACTTGAAATCAAGTTCATGCAGTGATTAAAAAAGACAAATAACATGACATTTTCATGGGCCTAATTCCAAAAAAAAAAAGCACTAACTTTACCTAAAATGACAATTTCTTGCCCGAACCTTTTTTTGTTTAGTAAAAAATTACCAACTTTCACTTAAATCTCAAATTTGGCTCAATTTACTTGGAATCTTTAATTGTCCAATGTGACTATTTAACCTCAGCAATAAATTCACGTTGCTTGCTAGTCGAATTTAAAACATTATTTATTGTCTTTTTTTCTGAGTCACAGCTTGAAAAAATGTGAATTTGTTCATGATCTCATTCACTTCATCGGCAAGTTAAAAAGATCTCAAGATTAAATCTCTCCGACCGGCCTCCACCCATTTTGTTGTAATCTGAAGTTGTGGACCACCACTCGTCGGGAGACGACATGATCAAGATCCGTCAAGTTCACGACCAAAACATTTTTTCTGAAACAAGCCCAAGCCCTCCCCTTGAAACTTCGAAGTCTACGTCGGATGGACATTAATAAATTGATTTTGTTGGGAAATATAGTGAAGGAGATTCTAAAGCTGTGTCATACCAAAGTACTTGTAACAATTTACAAGATGTTAAGCTTTGGTTAATGGGGATCAAATTTAGAACTCAAGTAAAAGTTAGTAATTTTTATTGAGAAAAAAAAATTCAAGCCAGAATTAAAGGTAAAGTCGATGTTTTTTATTTTTTTTTGGAATTTGCTCCATTTTCATGTGTTTATGCTTACATGTACATAAACAAGTCAGCTACTTGATCACACTCGCAAGTTAAATTAATAAATTATTACATAGTTCGAGTGACTTAAGTATTATCGAATTTGATTTAATTCGATACTCAAAAGATAAACTAGAGACAGAGTGGCCCGTTCGATAAGAATCAAATCGCATGTCGCTATTCGCACGCAAGAAAAGTTACTTCTTGCAATGTACAAGAGAGCTGCAACTAGACCAGTCGGCCCTTTGCCATGTTGGCATGACATGAAACTTTCTAGCCATTCCCAACCCAAATCGAGCAGTGCAAGGACATCTTCTTTCAAGCATCGTCCGGTTCATCTTAGGAATCATACTCGAATATATGCAAGACTTTCCGTTTAAGGACGGCCTCGATACCTCGAAGCGTTCGCTCTTGAAGTAATCCGATTCTGACGTAAGCTGAAAGACCTTCGACGAGGGGCATTTCCATCGGCAATTATGATGGTGGGTAGGCATTGGAATCATCGGCTGAAGTTGGTAAACGATGAGTAAATTTGGTGGGTACCAAACAGAAAGGCTGGTTTTCCTTCCGAAGAGTGTATTGATGAACAAGCTGGCGCAATCAATGAAGGATAAGTTCATCAGATTATACCAAATCTCACCTGCAAATTTGATAGAAACTTAAAAGGCACACTTAGAAAAGACCTTGAAAAAGTTTCCAACTTTTGTTTAAATTACATAGCTTGCATCCTACTTGAGTTCAGCTACTCATCTACAGCCTATAGTTTCTGAAAAGGGCAAATTGACAGGTATAGTGACAAAACCCCCCTTTCATAATTCAAATGTCAAGCAGGCCTTTTCTTTTTTTACCAAAGTCCTTCCTCTCATAACGCAGCAAAGCATCTTGCAGACCCACTTTCGTCAATCCTTTCAAAAAGTCTCCTGCTTTTGGCATTCATTGAGCTCTGTTTACCACACCCTTTTCTTTCTTTTTTCAAATTAAAGAACATCTTGGCAGGGTCGAACTGTTGAAACTCGAATCCACCCGAAAGGGCCTCGTCACGGCACCGTAGTGCCAAGAACAATGGCGCTACCTCGGTTCAAAGATCTGCTGCTGTCATTTTGAAAGCGGGGGAAGTTTGAAGTTCTTGATGGTAGAAAGAACATGGGCGGCAGTGGACCTTCTATCATCATTTGAGGTGTCATTCCTCAGTCGGAACGTGATCTTGATTATTATGCATGACTTGTCGGGATCTTTAGAGTCCATCAAATTTAGGCTCAAAAGCGTCGATGTTCTGTTTTTATTGTGTTTTTTGACCCAGAAAGGCTGGGACTTTAGTCTTCCAAAGTTCTGACAAGACATAGCGAAAGCAAATATGAAGCTCGCTCTCTCTCTCTCTCTCTCTCTCTCTCTCTACTGAAAAACTGACACACATCACGTGCCTCGCCAAGCCCTCGCTACTGAACTCTCCCATGTTTCTCTTTTGATCTTGTCTCAACTCACCCGCCCTCTCTCTGTATCTCTCTTCCCCGCCGTGCTGCTCACCAACGCTCTCTTTCTTCCTTCCACCTTCTCTTTACACCCAATTCTTGAAATCGGCCATTCTTGCTTCTCAAGACCCTGTGGGAGCTCTAGCTCCTTCCTGGATCTGCCTCTGCAGGGGTAAAGGTACATCCTTTTTCTCGGCCGTGTCTCCGTTTTTTTTTTTATTATTGCCGTGCGTTATGTGCTTACTTGTTGGTTTGATCATTGCCTTTTGCTCGCCCCTCTCTTCTCTCTCTCTCTCTCTCTCTCTCTCTCTCTCTCTTGCGCGTTTCTGTTGAGGTTTGGTCTTCTGGGCGTTCGAGACATTGCTCGTGTGACTCTCTCGATGCTGCTTTGTCTGTGAACATTTTTTTTTTGACATGGTTGGTTAGTGTTATGTTCTCTTGCTACTGGTGTTGTCGTCAAAATGTGCTTACTTTAAGCATTACCGAATTGTTTTTGAACCTTACGATGGTTTGTTGCGATCATGCCTACTGTATTTTGGGCTGTACCTGGCGTGTTTCGACTTTCATGGTGCAGAATCTGCAGATCTTTGATATGAGTAGGTACTTCGGTTTTTAGCCCCAATATTTCTGAAAAAAGAGGTCTTTGTTGTTCCTTCGGTGTCTACCAGTGAATGCCGCAATTTTTAGTAAGATTGGCGGTCTTTATCGGTGATCTTTCCACCATAATAACATTCAAGCTCCAGTTTTCAGAGATTCGATTTGTGATATTACTTTTTCCTCTGGGTGTTTCTTTCTCTCTATTTCTAGTTGGAATGTTATTCTTTGCTTGTACTCTTTGATTTCTGACCTTTGTTGGTCCCTGGGGGCAATTGAAATGTCTGGAACTTTTGCAGGAGATGGGTTTCATCTCCAGGAAGATCTTTCCAGCATGTGGAAGCATGTGTGTGTGCTGCCCCGCTATGAGGTCAAGATCACGTCAACCCGTCAAGAGATACAAGAAGCTTCTTGCTGACATTTTCCCTAAGTCCCCTGTGAGTGTCCTACAAAGTTTCATGGCATTTGTGCTCTGACCTTTATATGTGGACAGATTAATCGTTTCAAACAGTAACTTTACTAATTTGTATGACAGGATGGTTCACCCAGTGATAGGAAAATTGGCAAATTATGCGAATATGCTGCAAAAAACCCTTTTCGAATTCCAAAGGTGATGCTCTTGTTGAACTTCTTATGGGTTGTCGGTCACTTGTGCTTTTATATGGGAATTGGCTTTCTAAATTCTGGATCTTTCTGGCAATGGTTATCAACTATAGATTGTCAAGTATCTCGAAGAAAGGTGCTACAAAGAGCTTCGAAGCGAGCACATCAAGTTCATAAATATTGTTGTTGAGGCCTATAACAAATTACTGTGCATGTGCAAGGAGCAGATGTAAGTGACTCTGTCCATTCTCTCCCTTATCAATCATAAATCCTCAATTCAGATCGTTTTGGCTTTCATTGCACAGATGGCATTCTAGTGTGCTCAATGTATTTTGCACTTTTTTATGAGAAAGATTGTGTTGAACCTACAGTAGAAGGGACATTACAATCGTTCTGATAGACTTGGCTTCTCATGTTTCAATTATAAAGTGCTGAAGGTGCTCATTTTAATTAACTGTGCACAACTTTAATCATTTGCATTTGGCAGGGTATATTTTGCTGTTAGTTTGTTGACTGTCGTTAGCGAGCTTTTGGATAATGGCAAGCAAGATGCTCTGCAGATACTTGGTTGCCAAACCTTGACAAAATTCATCTACAGCCAGGTAAACTATGGTCTAGTCGATCCTTTAGGAGCCAAAGTTTCTTCCCATCTTGCTGGATGAACTGGATAAGATTAAATATGTGGTGTTTTATTTGTTGGGTGCATTTAATGTAGGACAGTAGGAAAGGCATTTTTACGTTTGTGCTATTGTATACTTAATATACATCTCTTGGATTGGGGTTTCTATGCTCAAATTATCTGCTAGTTTTAGTTTATACATATATTGAATTTGGAGCTCATTCTATCTTCTATTTTGGGCAGTCTGATTTGTGTACTTGTTGACCAACACTCCTCTCTGACTAGAAAGAACCAAAGTCCCGAGGGTATTGCATCACTAGACTGTTTAGAGTTTTCTAATAGATTAACTTCAATTTGATGTTATTTAGATGCTGTGAAAGGATGCTAGACATATTGTCGATGATGCTCGCTAGTATTGTTGTAGTCGTTTGTTTTCTAGCATTTTGTGGGATGGTTGGTGGATTATAATGATACTTGTTTTTCTCGTACAAACTGCTTATAGGATGTGAAGTATACTTTTTCCTTCTTGTTTTCCCATTTTGATTTACCAATTTGATTGATAGAAATTATCCCAGCTGTAAGGGAAAACTTTATTCTTTGCTTATTTTCTCGTTTTCTCCATTGTGTTGTTCAATGCAGTCAGATTCAACTTATGCTCATAATATCGAGAAGTTTGTACATAAAGTATGTATGCTGGCACAAATGAGTGGGGAAGGCCACCAACAGTGTGCTCTGAGGGCTTCAAGCTTGCAATGTCTTTCTGCCATGGTGATTTCCTTTTCCTATATTTAATTGCTTCTGTATTTCTTGCATGTCTATACCATTTCTCTCCTTTGACAGGTATTCTGATTCTCAACTTGTTTGTTTGGCTTTTTATCTGTTGGAGTGGACTTTGCTGATAACTTTTCTTCTGACAGGTTTGGTTTATGGTCGAGTTTTCAAGCATATTTGAAGGTTTTGACGAGGTGTGTCATCACTTTTTGCATTTTAGAACATACGAATCTACAATTTTTGAGACATAGATGCTCCTTCGTTGTGCGAGTGATTTATTGCAGAAATGTCTTTGATTTGATGTCGTGTTTCTGTTTTACCATCGCAAGTGTTTTAGTATCTGAGATAGTATTAATGGCAATTGACTGTATGTATTGTGTTCAAATTGCAGATTGTCCAAGCCACTTTAGATAACTATGAGCCTGATATGTGTAACGAAGAAGAGGATGAAAGAGGTGGATCACTTCACAATTGGGTCGATGAAGTTGTAAGATCTGAAGGCAGAACTGCAGGGGAGAGTAGTCCTAACTGCATCATCTTGAGACCGCGGCCCGTGATTAAAGATCCTTCACTTTTAACAAAGTAATCTGTGCTCAATAACCTGTAATATCTTCCGAGCATGGAAGTTGAAATCGTGTTAATGATGTAAACTTAACGAACTAATTATTACCTCTAATTGTTTTTTTTTCTTTCTGTGAGACAGAGAGGAGCTTGATACACCGAAGGTATGGGCTCAAATCTGTATCCAGAGAATGGCTGATCTGGCCAAAGAGAGTATTACGGCTATGCGAAGGGTGATGGACCCGATGCTTGCATACTTTGATTCTGGCCATCACTGGGTTCCTCGAGATGGGTTGTCCTCACTCGTTTTGTCTGACATGAGTTACAAATTGGAGACTTCAGGTAGCTATTATCTTTTAGATTTTATCCGTGGTCTCATCTGTGCTTACATATTTGTAAGCACAGATGAGACAGTGGTCTGAGTACCTGCAGCATTCTTGTTGTTGTGTATGTTTTGATTCTATTGCCATTGCATTCTTGGTTCAATTTTCTTCTTTCTCTGAACTTGCCAGGGAATCAGCAGTTAATCTTGGCATCAGTTATTCGTCACCTGGACCACAAAAATATATTTCATGATCTCCAGCTCAAATCCTGTGTTATCCGAGTTGCCACTGCTTTGGCTAGGCAGATCGGAATCAGTTCTGCGCTGACTGAAATTGGATCCGTAAGTGATCTCTGCAGGCATTTGAGGAAAAGCCTTCAAGTGACGGTCGAAGCAGTGGGAGAAGAAGAGTTGAACTTGAATTATTCACTTCAGAATGCCATTGAAGATTGCTTAGTAGAGATAGCCAAGGGGGTAAATGCAATCTGCCTTTGCGACTGTGGTTGCTGCTTTCTTTTTGGTTCTCTTTGTTAACCCTGACATAAATATGCTAGGTTTGTGACGCACAACCACTATTTGACCTGATGGCTATAACGCTTGAGAAGATGCCCACTGCTGGAGCTGTTGCTAGGGCAACTATGGGATCGTCAATGATACTGGCTCATATGATAGCATTAGTATCAGTCTCTTCACCCCATCGACAGGTGAGAGAATGTGAAACTTTTAGACAAATTCCAAGTTCCTATGGAATCTCCAGATAGACTTATCTCATTTCGAATTCTGGACATTCCATTTGTATGATGAAATGTCCTCAGAGGGAATTATTTGCTTACTTCCTTTTTTATCTCTTTCAGAATTTGGCAGGGAGGAAATTGATATATTATCATTTTAAGATACATTCACATGGATATCCACAGAAACTTTTGACATTTTGATTACGTTCCTTATATGGATGCTATGTTTTCTCTTTTCTGGGCCTTTCCATGTTTGTCGTTAACAGTTGCAATGACTAAGAATTTTTTCCATTGGCATCTAGGTGTTCCCCGAGGCACTTCTTGTACAACTTCTGCACGTAATGTTACATCCAGATGTTGAAGTGCGAGTGAGAGGACACCAAATATTATCTATCCTTCTGGTTCCAAATTCTAGCTGCCCTAGACACGAAGTGTCTTCTGTACGAGCTAACTGTCCTTATGAGTCAAGAAGATGGGAGTCTAGTACTGCATCTGCACTTGCTTCAATTACTGCTCGTCTTGAAAAGCTTAGGAGAGAGAAGAATGGTGCTACACCAGAGAAGCAGGGGCATGCTGTTCAAGATGATTTCAAGGGGATGGACGTTAGCAATGAAGAGGGAAAGCAGGGTTTTGCTCGCAAGAATTCCCCCAACTTTTGCAAGATTTCTATTATGGAAAAAGCAGCTGGATCTGCAGGCTTATCTGATGTGGTAAATAAGTTATCGAGTGGATAATCTGTTCAATAACACGCAGTCTGTATACTTGTAAATATTCAATTATTGATCTGAACTTCTATGCATTACAGGAGCCCTATATACTGAAGTTTAGTGAAGATCAGATTGGCCAGTTGCTATCTGCACTTTGGATACAAGCTAATGTTCCTGATAATTTGCCTTCAAATTTTGAAGCTATAGCTCACTCCTTCGTCCTGACCCTTCTTTCTTCGCGTTTGACGGTGAGACTTCTAATTAATTTGATGGTCCATAAGCACTAGTATCTCTTTGAAGGCTAGGTGTTGCTTGCTCATTCTACATTAACTTCTTTGATAACTGGTGAAATAAGTACATATCCCGTACAAGTCGACTCAAACCTTCTCTGTGCTGTTTTCTTACTGCTCCTTGGTTCAAACTTTTGCAGAACCCTTGTAAAAACCTTGTGATTCGGTTCTTCCATCTTCCCCTGTCACTGCGGATTATATCCCTGGATGCTAATAATGGTACGTCTGTGTGAGTTTCTGTGGACTAGCTTTGTAATTTTTGCGGAAGGCTTGAATGCTATTGATTATCTGTTGTAGGAATGTTGTTCCCAGCATGCCGCAGATCTATTTTTACCCTAGCGACTAGTATGTTGATGTTTGCCGCCAAGATATATCAAATCCATGATCTTATTGATCTGCTCAAATCGGTTGATCCATCTAACGTGAGTTCTTTATCTCAACAGTTGTGTTCACATGCATGAGTACATTCCTTTTCCTTAAAGTTGCTAGTAGCGTCTTGTGGTGAAATAATGTTGCTCATCTTTTTCTTCTCTGAAATTCAGATGGATCCATATTTGGGCATTAGCAAGGACTTGCATTTATTTGTTAGGCCTCAGGCTGATGTTAGAGAGTATGGATCTGCTTTGGATAATCAAAAGGCCTCATCTTTGCTCCTCCACTTGAGGAGCCAAACGTGCGAGTCTGACAAGGTCCTCCTGAACATCTTGATCCAAAGTCTATCTAATATTACCGAGGTATGCTTCACTCTTTGATGTTTTGGAGCTCATATGCTCTCTCTCTCTCTCTCTCTCTCTCTCTCTCTCTCTCTCTCTCTCTCTCTCTCTCATTATTATGAATTTTGTTCGATAAGGTCGATGGAGAAGATTTGGCTAAGCAGCTATCAGAGGCATATAAACCAGAAGATACATTTGTTTTTGGTCCTCAATTAATACTTGATTTGGACAATAATCAAATTGTTGTCCACTCCAAAAAATCACTATCGTTCGATGAGGTATGCACTTCATCATACAGTTACGTTCTTGCTGTTAAACCTTGATTGTATTCTGAGTTTCTTGTTGCAGATAGCCTTTATGCGTGCAGTAAAATAATGTAGTGCACGCATCGAGGATTTGATGATGTAACTGAAAATGAGAAATTGATATAAATGAGACTGTTTGCTTATTGAAGCTGTTCCAACATTTTATGTTGCAGGAATTTTCAACTAATTCGTCTGTTGATGATGACACGATGAGTGAAGCATCTGTTGCTATGAGCAGGATGCCGTCAACTCCATCTTTCTCTGATGTCATCAGTATTGGGAAGCTACTAGAAACGGTGATCTATTCCAAACATAAATATCGGCATATATATATGCATATTGCCTCCCTTTTTATTCTTGATAACGACTCTGAAATTAGCAGAATTCTGATTTTGACTCTTGTGGAAAATTTGCTGAATGTATTCTCAGGCACTTGAGGTGGCTGGTCAAGTGGCTGGAACGACTGTTTCGACATCGCCGCTCCCATATAATACCATGGCTAGTCAATGTGAAGCGCTTGGCACAGGTCCGAGGAGGAAGCTTTCCAATTGGTTGGCCCATGAAAACAACCGTGCCAGATCAGCGGCAGATCACTTCTTCCCAGCAACAGATGGACGCGCAGCAATTAAGAAGGTGGGCATTACACTGTCATCTTCACATTAATGTGTAGTTACAACTCAAAGTTGCTGATTGTAGCTTTATATTCTACTTCGTTGCTCGTCACATGCCCTTTTTTCTTGTGCATGCACAAGATTACTAGCAATGATGCCTTTCTTCAAGGAGACATAATGCCGAAGGATCAATGCTTGACGATGAAACTGCCTCCAGCGAGCCCGTTTGACAACTTCCTCAGAGCAGCTGGATGCTGAGTTGGAATTAACTAATTTGTTCGTGTGATATTTTCCTGTTAGCTAAAGCCATTTATCAGGAACGGTGGCCTAACCTCTTTATTTTGCAATCAGGGAAGTAGTAGTCAACCTCTGTTTGAACAGTTCTTGGTCTTGTAGATGTCCTCCCTGATCTGTATGTCCTATGTACCTATGCTTCTTAGGTTGCAGTGTAATTAATCTCTATGATTTTATTGCTTCCATTAATTAGTTGAAGTGTGAGCCATCTTCGCGTGCAAGTATGTGGTTTCGTATACCGGTACTGGCACGAGCTACGGTTCTGATTCTTCAAAATTGGCCCCTACATTATTTTCTAATTCTTCTTAGAAGTCATGATGCGAGTTTCTCTTCAACGACAATTCATCTTGGTGGTGGCGGTGTTCGATCCATCTAGATTATTGCTAAAGAGGTCTGCTAATGTCTCATCTCACTAAACACTCCCTTCTCCACCCGAGATACACGAGATATGCGAAAATGTGATGACCCATAATTTTTCTTGAAGAGTTTTAATTAGTTCTTCAGAACATGTAGAGAAACCATAGAAAGAAAGATTGGTTTTATCCAATCTACTAGTAAATCAAATATTGAGAAGCACATCTCATGCTAGCAGTTGGGCTTGCATGGAATCTGATCCGATCGACCGGTTCAACCAGGCATCGATCGATTCTTGCTGCACGACGTTTTCTTTCAGGATTTTGCCGGTTTGACCAAATCATCATCCGGTTCAATCTTTTGCTCAATCGTCATGCAGTGTTGGATTTGCCAGAGAGATGGAAGGGAACATGACATTATTGAAGTGTGGTCAAGCCGGTCAAAGGATGGGAACAAAGTCAAACGAAAACGTGCCCCACGCCCAAGCAGTTCCCACTCCCAATTTTTCTCGAATGGCTCATCAATGATGAGGCCGCAAACAGCCACTCGCAGTTTCTCTGGGTCACTTTTCTGATGCCAACGTGCGGTGGGTCTCACTGCCAGTGCCAACGACCTCTATTTCGTTTCTTGTACTGCATTAAAGACATTGGACCATTCATACCTCAACCTGCTCCGTGCGGCAAGACTTGCTATTTTATACGCTTCAGTGAAAACAAAACTGCTACCGAAACCTATCTAGCTTCTTGACATTCCAATTTTCATGTAAGGATGAGCGAGACGTGGTGATGTTGGTCGCCGGGGTATTGCAAGATCGAACCTGGTCGTTGCTGATAGTACCAGAGTGGGGTCTTTCCGGTAGAATGTGTGTGGTTCTAAGGATAGACTAAGCCCGGGCCGACTTGGACGAGGTGTGGTTCTTGGCAAGCTTCCAGAACGGCCAAAGGGCGGGAATGGACCAGAATACTTACCAAACAAGAAGAGTATGGCTAGGAGGTAAAAGCCAATACTAACGAAGGCGCCGGTCCTTGATGTGGGGGAGCTTGTGATGTCAAAGCCCCACATCGAATGGGCAACGCCTTGTGATCCGATTCACGCATAAGATCCTCCATCAAACTGTCATCATCTTGTACGGTCAATCGAACACTGCTTTCAACGGCTCGATTCACATGAAACGAGTTGTGTGATCATTACGTGTATCGTTACTGGTTAGTATTGAACAATGAATCTTTGCAGAATTTATTAGTCGGTGATGGGATTTACTCTTCCTTTTCCTTTCTTTTTCTGTTCTAATTGCGATTCCATGTTTCTAGTATTTATAGCTTTAGCCGATGAGGAAGCTTAATGCCCGCTGGCTGGCCAGACAGTAGGGTATGGCTTGGTGCTCAAGACACAATGCGTGGCTTATGGATGACCGCATTTCGTACATCGCATTGATGCCATGCCCAAATGGAGAGACTCGAGGTTGGGGCGATCCTAAATCCCCTAGCCATTTAAAGACTCGATACCAATGCAATGCCACGAGAAAGATGGTGAAGCCGGGACGTAATGCACGTCAAATAAAACAACGATAATAGCTCCGATACCAGCTGGTGCCCAGGTATCCTGAACAAACGAATCAATAAAACGGATTTTCCGATCCCGACATGGTCGATTCAATTCACCCACTATAACCGAATCACCACTTTGGAAGGCCAATCCAAGGATACTGAATTCTCTTTGACTGCTCGTGAACCCTAAGAATCAAACTAACTAAAAGGGACAAAGAGAACGAGGGGATTCCCAAGAATGAAACTTTATTCAAAAATACAACCGGATGCCATAATGAACGACCCGGGACTTTTATAGCTAAGATTCTAGTACCCTTTCGAGTAACCTCCGGGTAAAGAACAAATGACCTAACGAAAATAGGAAATTTTAACTAGTGACGGTGTTACCAAATTCCTAATCTGGATAAGTGCAACCTAAAAAGTAATCAGAATAGACATGCGGAACATGGAAACATATACCATCCCTATTGCTTGAAATCATCAAATACGGAATTGAAACATCCACGGTGTCGTTCTCTCTCGGTTGAAGTAAGATTCGTCGCACGAGGCCATCTTCATCGAGCTCCTGCTGTTCATGATATGGAAAGTAGCAGAAATGCCGTAGTCCCCTCCAAAACTCGAAAACCACCATTCGCTCGAGGAGTTAAACTTAGCATGATGGACCGGGTAGGAATCGTTCTTTCCTCAAATGAATCCACACAAGATAAGACAACCTTCTTAAGAAGTAACATGCTTTCTGGTGTTATTTGCCAGACCGCGATACTTGTCAAGTCTGCTTTTGAAGTCCTCTTCCTCGCTTCTTCATGTGACTTGCTTTGATTTCTCTTTAGCATTTATACTGGATTCACGCTCAGTGGGCAAATGGAGCAAAGATCCAAATGTCTTAAACCGATTACTTTCGACGCACAACTTGAACATGAACAATACCGACATGAAAGATGCGCGCAATTCATGCAAGGTGAAGTGGTTGTCGATTTGTGGGTAAACGGAGAGACAAAATGAATAAAGAAAATGATCTTCGATTAAAGTGTTGCAAACTTTAATTGTTTTTTTTTATTACAGAAGATTTCATGAAATTTGATAGAAAATTGAAAAGAAGGATGGCACTGCAATCAACAATTTTTTTAAAAAAAAAGAAGAGTTAAAAAAAGAAAAACAACAATACCTGGTCGCCAAAAAGGAAAGCCATTTTCGATTCAGGTCAAAGATTTGGTTCCATGAGATTTTGCAACTTTTGAAGCTGACAATCATTTCAATGAGATTATTGGTAATATGGCGTCTAAAGCAGTCTTCTACTCATTGATGATTGCATTTTTTTTCTCTTGACAGCGACAATCACTATGTTAAACCAAAATTTTAAAATAAAATTATACATTTTTTAATTAAAACGTGTGTAAAATATTGTCTATTTGGATTATCTTAATTATAATGAGTGCCCCAAATCCATTTGGATATATTAAAATTGATTCGAACGTTCCGAAAAATGTTATTAAAAGACACACGCCATTCATCCATATACAAAATGAAAACCCGAAACATCCAATAATTATATATATATATATATATATATATATATATATATTGTGGGGAAGCACCATGATTTCTCGTTTTGATTTACCTCAAATGGTGGAGGAGATGCTCCCCAAGGGAAATGGAGTGATGTAAGAAGAGAGCATATTCTAGAGAAGTAATCTTATGGGGATGACCACGTGACTTCCAGACCAGGACTTTGTTGAACAACCACAGTTTGTAAAATTACTTAATTGAGGACAAACTCATGAACGGAGGGCCCCATCCCACAGTGCAAACCTACTAATTTATTGGAAGACGGGCTGCTATCAACTCTTTAAAAAGTATCTAGTAAGTGTACTAAAAATTTAAAAACTTATTATGAAAGTGCAATCGAATCGTAAAATTTTAAAAAGTACAATCGAGAGTCCTAAAACTTGCCATGTAAGTGCAATCGAGCCCTAAATTTTTCAAAAAGTGTAATCAATTGAAGGATGTGATTGAACCAATTGGACAATTTTTATGATTTAATTGCATTTTTTTTATAGTTTAGAATTCAATTACACTTTTGCGATGAGTTTTAGGACTTAATTGTACTTTTTAAAAAAATTTAGGATTCGATTGTACTTTTGTAACAAGTTTTAGGACTTCCAATACACTTATTCATGGGTCAATTAATATTTAAGTACTCCAACAAGAATGAAGCATTTGGATTCCCCTCCATATCGTACCAACATCGTGCCAGGCGCTACGCGTGGGCATGATCGTCGAGGGGATATATATGAAGAGCATGAAGTAATTTTCGGAAAGAAAATTGAGTTATTTAATTGAGTGGGTGTAGATGGGTATTACAAATATACGTGAAGAAAGAGTAACGGTGTTTATTAAAATTTGTATATAACTCCATGTAAGAGAATTAGTGGAAAATCCAAAAAGTGAGACATAAGTACACATATAAATATATAATATATATATATATATATATATATATATATATCCATTGGAGATTAAATTTAACACTACTTAACACAATCGATGTATATATATGAGTTTAAGGGGCTGTTTGGTAACCTGCCAAACAGTATCCGATTATATTTTTTTGTTTCCCGGGACAAAAAAAAGAACAGAAATTCAGTTGGTAAATTTTTCGTTCCCAGGCACAAATTTGTTCCCAGAATCAGTTTTGGAATATAATCAAGAATAAAAACAAAAGTTGATTCTTGATTCTAGGAACAAGAATCATAAATGGAAAAGAATTTTTTTTTTCTTTTTCTTCTTCTTGGTTGGTCTTCTTCATTTTTCTTGGCATGTGGTCGGTCGCCGGTCGTCGGCCACCGACGATAGGCCACAGGCCAGGGCCGGCGAGGGCAACCCTCGCCTAGGCCGCGAGGGCGGCCCTCGCCCAGGCCGCGACCCGCCCTCCCCCAAGCCGCGACCCGCCCTCGCCGGCCCTGCCCATGGGCCAAGGAAGGGGAAGAAGAAAAAAAGAAAAGGAAATAAAGGAAAATAAAAAGAGAAAAAAATATTAAAACATTCAAAATATTATTAATAAAAAGAAATTTTGTGCAGTTACCAAGCGCATCTCTGTTCTTTTTTCTATTTCAAGAATATAAATTTTGGACAGTTACCAAACGCCTTCAAATGCTTAGAAATTATTTCCGGGAATATAATAAAAAAAATCATTTCTGAACAGAAATTATTTTTGGGAACAGAATGGTTACCAAACGCACCCTAACTCTCTACAACTTTCGATAATCACAAATTTAGGAGTGTCCAGTTTCCTTGAGAAAACTGTGAATGCCAATTGGTGGATCAAATTAACAAAATAAAAAAAGACTTATTTGAAAACAACATCAATATAGAATATTATTACATTCAATATAAAAGCAATGGTTAAACATATTTATTATGAGGCAAAATATATGTAGGATATCTATTAACAACGTCTCTACTATAAAAGATTTTTCACACTTGCAGTTGTAACAGAAAATATCCACTTACTTACCTTACCAAAAACAAGAAAAAGAAAATATCCATCGTTTAACAAAATGAATACAATTGTGTGAATCAAGACTCGGATACCCAATTTACACGACTTAAAGCATAAATAAATTCTACTCGAGTCATTGCGGTCCAAGTTAACTTGAAAATCAAAATTATAATCATCACGTGACTAACTAAATATGAAATTTATCTAAAAATTTAAAGTATATTGACTTTGTTTGATAAAAATTTTTACCTCACCACCTTTTTCTTTTCGTACAACTCCACTTTTTCATCATGCTAGCCAACTTTCAAATTTTTTCACTTGTTCTGTAATTTTTTTAAATCTCATGAGTTAGGTTGAAATACATGTGTGGGTTGGTCAATTGACTTTCATTGAAAATGTTCTCGCAAATCCATTGCAAAAGAATTGAGTTTTACATTGAAGTATTACAAAAAGTTTACAAGCATCGAGTGTATTTCCTTCTCGATGATTTCAATTTCTTTATGGAAAAATAAATTATTGTCCAATATTTGAGGATTTCCTATCAATATTTATTTTCCAAAATTGTTCCATGTTATGGCTCTGGTTGCCCATTCCCATTGAATGGCAATTTGTGGTCCGCAAGGCACCATTGCTCACAGCACCGTTATTCTATATGGATAACATTATCGTTCCCTTAGCAACTTATCATTAAACGCACAATCTTTTTATACATCAACATTCAATTTTTCACGGGAAAACAAATAATGGTAAAAAAGTTACACGATCGAAGAGGAGATCAATTTGTCATCACAAAGAGTATATAATATAAATAAAAAAAGAAGCTAATCTTCAATTCATGATTTAGGATCTCATTGAAAATCTCACGTATTCGATCTCCTCAAATGACATTTTTGGTCTAATAACATAGATATAGATACTACGACTTACTTTTCTAGCAAATTTTTATGTTGAAAGTCACATGTATCGATGCAACTCTTCTTTCAATGACGGTGTACATTCGGTGCATGATAATGTCCAAATATTGTGTTAATCGGGCATTCATATAATACACGCTTTGTATACATTTTTTGCAAGTAATTTTTATGAGTCATCTTTATCGTCATGGAGTCGAATAGTTAGATTAGTTCAAACTATAATTATTCAATTAAGAATGATGGAGATGGGCCATTGTATACTTAATATTAAACCTAGGTTAAAAAGTAAACTTTTGCATGTTTGGGTACTCGAGCTCATTCTTTGTTTCCAGACCAGTTGGTACGGGAGAGGTGGTGCATCCAATTAAGTGCGTGGTAGCTTGAAAGAATGCAGCTCCACTACCATTAGGGTTATGATTACATGCTCCCCGAAATGTCCCTGGAGAATTAGCAAAATGCCCTCGATGGCAATAATCAACAAAAGGCAAATGCCTTTTGAATTTTTTCAAAAAAAGGGAAAAATAATCACTAGAAATTAAGATGGCAATGATTACACCCTCCCTGGTCATGTGTTTAGGCCAATGAAGATGTCGGGGTGGACAGCATGATTGGTGTAAAAATGGCTGAGTTTTTGGACCGAACATGTTTTGATAATTTGTAACAAAGGCATAGGATAAGGTCTTCCATGGCGGAAAAATCATTAATCCAATTTCGTGTTTCCTAAATAAATGATCATACTTATGAAAATGGCGAAATAAATTATCGTGACTTTGATAATTCTGTGCATACGATTTTGAAAGATTTTTAGTACTCGACATTAGAGGAAAAGTTTGTTTTCTAATATCCAAAAGACGTAAATAAGATAAAGCAATGTGTAAAAATCAAACTAAATAACCTCTAATTTTTCACCAGGTGTGTGCATGGTTATATGGGAAAAAGGAAAATTAAAAGAAAAATTGAAGATGAATATTAGGGTCTAATCTATTAGTGCCTTCACCTTACTAAGAATTCTTTTTATAGGTCTTTCAGTCATTCTTACATTATCCTTATTCCTAATGAGGTATGAGATAAATAGTTTTCTTTATAGTTAAACTATAAAACTTGAGCACATATTTCTCAATAATCTTGTTATGCGTAAGTCGCATTTTAGGCGTGTAATCATATGTAATAATAAAAATAATAAACCATACAATTTGAAATAACGATATGTACTCAGACATCAAAATCACACAACCATTAAAAACAAGCCAACAATCTTTATAACATATATTATTATATATACGTTTAATCTTAATTTTACCCTACTTAATTTTCCTTATTTCCATCTTAGTCGATATTTAGAAAAGAAGATTTTGCAAATGAGTACCTAACCACCAAACACAAAGAATTTACAATCAATAATAAACCATGTTTTTCATATTATTTGTAATGAATACTTTGAAAATCAGATCATAGGCATACTCGCCACAATGATCCTTAAAAAGATAGACTAATGCTTCTCCTATTTTTTTGGAAATAAACAAAGATCCTGAATCGATAGACTGTAGCTTACAAATAGAGTGCTAAACTACATGATAAATGGGCTATATTTAAAAGTAATTTTCTCCAACTGTGTCATGAGTTGATGAGTTAAAAATTATGGATATTATCCATATACTCATAAAAAATGAATGTCGCCGATATCCATGCAATGTATCAATCGAAGGCTTGGTTGAGGGAGTTTACTCCAATTTTAGTTGCAGAAAAGCATTGCCCATGACAAATCACAATTGAAGTATTTAAATAAGTGATCATATTTAGGATGCGTTTATTTTGCGAAAAATGAATGATTTGATAATTATTTTTCTAAAAATGATCGTTTTTATCATTTGTAAAAATGAATGAAGTATAAATATTTTCTTCATAGATATAAATTATTGCTGATAATGAAAATATTTTTCATTCATTAATTATTTCAAGCGATATGAGCGATCATTTTTAAGAAATTTTTTTAAATTATTCATTTTCCGCAAAACGAACGAAATCTTAGTTTATAATAAGAGCTACAGACACTATTCAATGTAATAATTTTGTCAAAATGAGTTAATATACAGGGTTGATACAACGAAAAATCCTAAATCGGCACATTTATGACAAATCTACCCCAAAATAAATTTTAATTCGTAAAAAACCTTAACCTGATAAACCTGTGACAAATTTGCTCTAAATTGATATGAATTTCCACGTGGACTTGCCATGATAATCAAGTTATTTCTAGGTGTCATTCGATTCAGCGATTTCACCGTAAAATTTGACGGAAGCTAACAGAAGATAAATATATCACGAGTGTATAAATTTCAAGTTTATTTTTATTTTTCGTGATATTAATCCTAGTATATACTAATATTATCCTTAAATCAACAAAATGAAACCCTTCCTCGTGAAGAGAGAGAGAGAGGATGAACAGAGGATAGAGGGTACAGTACGTGTATCGGATACCACTCCCTGGGGCAATGTTCTTTGGGACCCACTTTCAGCAGATGTCCCCCAATGGCGTCGTGATACGTGGATCGAATGTCACGTCACAGTTGTCACCAGAGAGAAAGAGGGAGAGGGAGGGACAGGGACACGACCTCTACAAACCCGGGCTACGCAAAAATCTACCTCTCACCAGATCACAGGGCGTCGAAATCTTTCTTAACTGTATGAACACACTGAAAAAATCTAACTGCAACTACACTAACGTTTCACTGTGCCAGTGCGTGCAAGAACGTGCGATGTAATAAAGCGCTCCCTCTCTCTCTTCCTCTCTCTCTCTTCCTAGTCATTGCCTTTCTTTTTCCGGTTTTTCCACTCGTTCTACTCTTCTTGGGAAAGAAAGCTGTGTCTGGTCCTTTTCAAGCACTTGGCTTTCTTTGGGTCTTTATGTTAACGATTTAAAAAATCAGACCTCCTGCTCCTTCCTCAGGTGTTTCTGAAGCCAGCTTCTCCTCTCTCTCTCTCTCTAGAGGGGTTTGTTTGGGATGGCGGCACCCACTGTTGCGCCTTCTCTTTCTGCTCTCACATGGGTCATCTTGTTCTCGATCGTTTAAGCTCCTTCAAGATCATCTTCAGTTTGCAGTCGGCATCTTCGGAGAAGAACATAAGAAAATTTGAGCTTTTTGTGTGCTTCGAAAGAGGGTTTTTAATGGTACCTCCAGATCCTTCGTATTCCTAGAGAGTTCGCGGTTGGGAGAAGTTAAGAGCCTTTAGGGGTGGGCCTGGCCTTTGCTTTTCAGTTCAAGAACTTGGAACGGTCATGACTGGGGAGTGAACGGTGAACAAGAATGGAAGAGTTTTACAGGCTTGACACTTCGGTTCAGTGTTCGGATGAAATGGTTAGGGTAGAGAGCATCACTGGTGCTGCTAGCACTGCCGACGCTGATGACGATAATGATTTCCAAGGGTCCTTGAACGACTTGGTCCGGTCCGGGTCGGGTAGATTCATGGAATCCGGTGAAGGGTTCGAGATGTCTGATCTGATCAAGACCCAGATTGCCACTCACCCTTTGTATCCTCAACTTGTGTCTGCCTATGTAGAATGTCAAAAGGTACGTACACAAAGCAAAACCCTTTTTGCTTTGGTTGATCTTGGATCATGATGAGCATCGCTAGGCCTAGCTTTTGGAATGTTTTCATTTTTCCTTTGGTGTCAAAACTTGTGTTTTCGCTGGAAAACAAATACTAATGTTGCGCCTTTGGAACTGGACCCTTGGTGCTGTAATCTGACGTTGCAGCAGTCATCTGTCAAATCACGTGTCGATTGTGTAATTTGAATTCTTTGCCTTTTCTACTATTGGGTTTGGTTGCAGGTTGGAGCACCTCCAGAAATCGCCACACTTCTTGAAGAGATTGGCCGAGACCAAAAACGCCGGACAGGAGCTTGCGCCGAATACGGAGCTGATCCGGAACTTGATGAGTTCATGGTATTTTGCCCAAAATTAAGAATTTTTTCTCACTAGATGGATCGCGAATTGTTACCCCCTTTGCCCACTGACTGAGACGGGACAATCTTGATGGGTGTTTTCTTGATGTTGAAGGAATCCTACTGTGAGGTCCTTCACACATACAAGGAGGAGCTGTCCAAGCCCTTTGATGAGGCCACTATCTTCTTGAGCAACATCGAGTCACAACTTAGCAACCTTTGTATAGATGCTCCAACAGCTTTTCGTTCAGGGCATTGCATCTCAGGTAATGTCCATTTTTTTTTCCCTTTTTTGGGGTGCGGTGCTTTTATTCAGATATCCTTTACTTGCACTTAAATACTGGGTGCTGTCTCCTTTGATGGGTCATGTTGGTGCTGTGCATGAAATGACATGTATGGTGTGTAGAGAGTCTTTATCCGTGCTTGGTGTTTCGAGAAAATTTAACATTTTTTCTTTCACTTGGATAATTCAACAGATGCATTCGAGAAACCCTTATTATATAATTGGCGTTCCCCTTATGTTAATGTTTTTTATATGGATCTTGCTGTTGGCCCCACCCTTGTTACATGTGTCATTTTGCAACTGAATACCTTAGCCAGACTTAGTATGTATAGTAGTTTACTATGTAAAAATTCTCGCTATTCTTTAATCCAGACTCGATATATATTCTAACTTGAAACTGAATGTTCTTTATATTGATTTTCGTGCAAAGATAACACTTGAATAAGTGCGTTATGCATTCTGTCTACTCAAAGGCCCGAGTTCTTCACTCATCCGTCAACCTCACAGTTCACTGGAAATGACCGAAGGCGTATCATACTATGTTAAAGTGTCGTGGCTTCAAATAAAATGTTTTTCGAGCATGTACTTTTACAATTAAGCATACAAAGACTCGATAGGTAATAGAGCGCAATGGCGTGAAAGTATTTATTTGGCTGACCCAAGGCATAGTTGATGTAGTATACTTTGACCAACGAACTGTTGAGTTTCAGCTATTAAGATTTTTCATCGCCAAATGTGCTTTGGTGTTGCAATTAAATCATAAATCTAACAGCTTCTCCCCTATGGTGTAGGCCTATGGTAATCCAGACATTCCATTACGTTTGTTGATAAATTGCCTGCATTTTGTCTCAACCTGCCATGTTAATTTAAATGAAGATGCAAGTACTTGTATTGCTGAGAGAGAGTCTCACATTTATTGAAGAACTCGTTGGATTAGTCAGTTTTTGTGCATAAACTTAATGCATGAGTATAAGTAGGTGGAGCATAATGAACGAACTGTGAGAAGGACAACTACTAAGGACGAGAATCCATGGTGTAGAAATGATCACATGGAGTTGCGTACTGAGATTAAATGGTGAACTAGGAGCTGGCTATTAATAGCAGCTAAAAGCTAGCGGCAGCATTTTGCTGGTGAAAAGCAAGCTAGAATTGGTTTAGGGAGTCTATAAAGGTGGCTGTACTTTGGTGAATTTGGAAGCCTGTGAAAAGTCCTAATGGAGATCCCAAGATTTGGCAAGTTATGAGAATTTGTATGGTTAGAAGTGCACTGACTTCGTGGGAGTGTTGGTCAGTGACACAGTGCACTGGTAGGAGTCATGTTTAAATTAGAGGGAGAACATCGTCTAGGTTTGTATTTTTAGAGAAAGTGCTCTCAGAAATTTTTATTCCTTAGAGTTGGAATAGAAACACCAATAATTCATGCTTCACTAAATTTTAAGGTGATCCTTTCCTTATTTAGGCGATTCGATCTCTTCATTCAACAATAACAATTTATCTTGTGTCATGCATGAAGTGGACTACTTTGGTGAGGCAAAGTTCTTTAGGTTTTGTTATTTGTGATTGGAAGGAGAAAAGATCTTTCCAGTTCTTGATGCCTAAGGATATCTTTTAATGAGAGGAAGTTCACGGTCTCTTAGGTATTTGCGAAGGTAGAGACTGAGGTGTTGATGGTTGTTTACCTAAAACTCAGGAGCCCCTGGCAGTCATCTGACAAATAATGCGCAGAGTCCACAAAATGTCTAGGGATTTTTTTTTTTTATTCACCATGGTTATTCCTGGTATATACGAAAGTTTTCCATCAAGCTACGTAACCAATATTGAACTGATCAGTCCTTTATGGTTTTACAAAGTTGGCTCTTTATGAAAGCGAGTATCCTTCACCGTCCTTTCTTATTTTGCGGGCAAAAGTTCAGGTGAAAAATTGCGTAGAATCTTAAGTCCAATAAGAAGGTGTAGATTGGGCTATCTGACAAAATATTTAGGATAGGACAATAGGAGTTGCTCCACATATCTGTCATTGCTCATCGTCTGAGTCTTTCATTGCCTTGGTCTTTACCATTTTATATCTCCTTCTCAATTCAAAATATTGGCTGACCTGTATCTTTCCACTTAATCCCTAACACAGAAAATGGTGTTATAAGGGTTGAAAGATTGGTTGGAAATATCTTGACATTCTAGTTTATTATGAGATAATTGAAGCAATAATTAAGGCTACTTGGAAGAAGCACTCGACAACATGTAATTGTAGTGTTCAGCCAAAAAAAAAAAAAAGCCGCCTATGAACGAATGCAACGATGCTCTTTAAAAGCTTAGGATATGAATGTGTTAAATAAAGCGTTGATGCGGTTTGGAAATTGTTTGTGCTATGAGATAATAATGTTAGTGTCTTTTTTCCATGTTCTGATGAAAACAAAATTATTTGAGAGCAGTTCTTCTATCTCGAGCTTCCTTTAGACAGATGATCCTAGCTCTATCTGTCAACATTTCACATTACTATATGTTTGGCCAAAGCATTCCGTCCTCTAGAGACGAGGCGCATTGTCGGCGAAAGACGGGACACCTTCCCTCTAGGAATGTGCTGGTCGATTGCATATATAAGTCAAACCTATTATACTTAATATGCCATCGATAAAATAGACTTGATACATTGCCTTTTCGACTGGTTTCAGATGAAGTGGGCGGGAGTTCAGAAGAGGAGCTCAGTTGCGGGGAAGTAGAAGCGCCGGAAGGTCAAGAATATTTGTTCGGGATGCCTCCTTGCGACAAGAACCTGAAGGAGGTTCTCCTGCGCAAGTACAGCGGCTACCTCAGCAGTTTGAGGAAGGAGTTCTTGAAGAAGAGGAAAAACGGGAAGTTACCGAAGGATGCAAGGATGACGCTTCTCAACTGGTGGAACTCCCACTATCGATGGCCATATCCGACGGTACTATCATCATTTCGCACATGTCTGTTTTTTAAGTGTCCTAATTGCAAGAGAAGCCAATTAATACTAACTAGTTTTGGCCTGAATTCCTAGGAAATATGCATGGCATCTGATTTTCGATGGTTGGTTTTTGTACTGATGTTAGACTCAGATTTTATCCTTCTAGAATTGAAAGTTGATGTTTTCAGCCTGACTATTGAATAATCATTCATGACTTGTTTCTGTTTCCTAAATTTCACAGTAGTTGAGTCTTGGCCTCAAGTTTATTTTGGTATCAAAATGACTGATTCTCCTCTGCTTGAGATGCTCGCACTTCTCGTGCAGGAGGAAAAAGTTTTGTTCTCACTATGCACAGTTTTTCCTGCCATACAGTGTCCAATATTCTGTCTTTTCTAAACTTTTGAAGATTATCATGATATGAGGTTGATCTTCAGAAAAAGCTAGCTTGTACACATTTTCTTTTCCGTTAGTGCAACGTGGCTAATGAGCGATATGTATTGCAGGAAGAGGAAAAATTGAAACTATCTGAAGTCACGGGGCTAGACCAAAAGCAAATTAACAATTGGTTCATAAACCAGAGGAAGCGGCATTGGAAGCCATCCGAAGACATGAGATTCGCCTTGATGGAGGGCGTCAGCAGTGGTATTGGAACGGCTGCATATTTCGATACTGGAGGTGGAGGTCAGAATGATGTTTAAAATTGATCGACAGACTCTGGATTGGACTCGTGTTATGTTCTTCCTCTCGATGCCAGTCATTCTTTGCCCGTGTATGTTGTTTCTTCATGTATGTAATTTCTTCGAACACGCAACTCCTTATAGATAGTTAAACTGTCTGCATATTTTAGCTCTGGTGTCTGAGTTCCAAGCAAAACGGAAAGGCGGTACCTGTTTATCTCATAGAAGGAATAGATGAGAGGCATAAGATAGTTCTCTCCGTTGTGTTTAGACATGACTTTTTATGCTTTTTTCTTATTAAGACACTCTCCTGGCTCGTTATATTAGATCAAGTCGATCAACAGCTTAGAACACAATGAGATCAGCACTGACAAGGACATCCTGAGTTGCTGTCCCGTGATTGATTTCATCCATAATGTTATGCTGTCTAATGGACGAGTCCATACACTAGTTTCGGTTGTCATATGTTGGTGGACGGTATTCTTGTGGCTGGCTCTTGAAGGTTGGATCTGTCTGTGTTCGTGGTTGGCTGTTGTATCGCCTTTCTTGACCCTTAACTCTTGCCCGTTGTCGGATTGAAGCTATGTTGGCACAGTAATTGACTTGTAATTCGCCAGTTCCAACTGTGCATGTGGCCATTTGTGGGAGAGAATGAAACTGGAACTAAGACTCCCTTTGTTTTGTTTTGCGGAAAATGACATTTTTGGAAAATGTTTTTGAAAGAGTCATTTTTCAGGAAAACGACACAATTTTCTGGTATTCGGCTGAAATCTGAAAGAGCCGGAAAATATTTTCCGCCGTTTGGTATGGAAAATCTGATTTGGTTTTTCACTATGCATTACTTTTAATGATTTTTTATATTTATTTAAAATTATTTAAAAATTTTCTTTTCTTTATTTTTTTTTCTCTTCTTCTCCGGCCGGCAAGTCGAGCCTCGCCAGCCTTGAGCGAGGCTCGAGCTCCCAAAATTCGGTGAGCTTGGCGAGGCTCTTAGGCCTCGTCGCCCCAATTTGCAAGGCTCAAGTCTTGTCGGCCTCTGGCGAGGCTCGAGCTTGCCTGTGGCCGGTCGTCGGCTTTCGCCGTGGCCAGAGGCTGGTCGAAGGAGTAAAAAGGAAAAAAAGAAAAAGAAAAAGAAAAAAATAATTAAAAATTATACTTTTAAAATAGAAAAAATTAAAATTAAGATAATTAAAATGAACGGTAAAAGAAGGTGGAAATCATTTTCTTCATTTTTAATGGTTTTTTTTTTACCATTGATGGAAATTCCTTGATTTGTTTATTTTCGGTGAATCGAAATGCTGAAAAATCTAAAAAGCTTTTTCCTGGAAGTTATTTTCGCGAAACGAACGGAGAAGGAATAAAATTGAAAGAAGAAAGTGTGTCGATTTTGTATATTCCTAATGACGTGCTGTCGTGGTAGAAAAGTTGATTCTGGAAACAAAATTTCGAATCGTCAAGAAAATGACCAATACGTCTCCCGAGGTTTGCTCTATTGATCTTGCTCGATAAGCCCTTCATGTAATCCAATTCCACGGGTTTTCTTCGTCAAGGTTAACAAAGAATTTAACCTAATATCCGAACCTTAATTATAATTTGCTGAATTCATTATAGCCAAAGAACATTACCCTAAAACATATCATCCTCAGAAATGGGCCTTTTGCATTGCACTGAAGAACGTCACACAGTCCGACAAGATGGGACTCATTAACCCACGAAATCACAGTAACAACAACAGACATGTTCTGAACTTTGAGAAATGTAACCATTTGGGTCATCCACAACACGTACTTCGTTCGCAAGATTAGGACGTTGGAGTTGGTGAATACTTCGGGGATCCTTGTTTCTCACACCGGGTACGCCCACGTGAGCTTAGGGAAACTGAAGTGTTATCCAACGACATGTGACCCCTGCGTGTGGAATGCGGGAGTTCGGGGGCAGCGCCTCCGACACGGGTGTCCCGCTGCTCGGTGAGCGGGCGGGGGTTTGGGGGCAGCGCCCCCCGACGGGGGTTCCGCTGCCCGGTCAGCGGACGGCTGTCCCGCTCGTCGGTGAGCGGGCGGAGGCTCGAGGGCAACGCCGTATGGTGCGAGATTATGAGATTTCGTATAGGTTTAGGTTTTGGGCCCGTTTGGGGCATATATATATTTTGCTCGTTTTTCTGATCATTGTAACGAGTTGAGTGGCTGTAAACCGAAAATATAGTGAAATCTCTTTGCAGGACGTAGCCCTATTCGAGGGTGAACCTGGATAAATTCTTGCATCGTCTATTTTCTCTGATTTCTGCATGATCGTTCTGTTTCGGTTCTCGATACATCCCTTCGTAGGAAGCTTCCGTGCTAATGTTCATCCCTTCTTGCAGAAGTTGACCGAAGCAATGAGATATAAATGAATGACTTGGGAAGAGACTCCCGGTACATAATAATAGTTCAGTCTTCGTAGACGAGAAGTTCTTGTCCAGACTTGATCGAGCTAAAACACAGTGCCTGATGGTTCTAAAAGTCGTCGACAAAACGAAAAACACCTTAAGATTCTATTAAACACCAACACATTTCAAGTTAGGATGAATACGGATTGAGTCGCCCATGGCAAAGTTAAAACATGCCTGAACATTTGCCTTGTTTTTGAATAGCTGGTGCAAGGATCTCGTAGATAGAAGGTTATTGAGTGATGATTCTCTCAATGGCCAATTCCTCATTCACATACATATTTACTAGGTCAATACATTACTTGAAAACCCTTACTCTGCAACAGAAAGATTCATCGGAGTGAAAGGACCACCTCTATAAACAAGAGAGATTCTCGGATTGTATCGATCGAGTCACGACAGAGTGCCCGATGCTCGTAACAGAAAAGTCATTGACAAAAAGTGGAGGTACCGTGCCCAATGCTCGTAATGAAAAAGTCGTCGACAAAGAGTGGAAGTGCCGTAAATTCAAATCAAAATACCACGTCACGGTTTCTTAAAACAAACATACCTGCGTAGTTATATGCAGGATAATTACAGCATAATAACATATCATGAAGAAGATTGAAACTTAACTTGTAAGTGAAGAATAGGGGGGATATGGAATTTCAAAGGAAGAAATTCCTCAAATTTGCTCCTCTCAGTGGCCAAATCTTCGGCTATATGTTCCCTATGTCTCTTCAATTCCGATACATCTCCTCGCGCTACTTGTGCGGTCACACGTCATGATTCATGATCAATACTTGCGCGCTACGATAACTGAATTGATAACCTCATCCTTGGGATGAAACACCAAAAGAACCTCGAACCCTCCAAGATCACTATGAACATCCACCATTGGATACAGAAACGCCCTAGCGCCATGCGCGCTCCTCACCATCAGAATAGCCCCACTCTTCATGTACCTCCCCAAGTGCTCGATCGCCCGAGCCTTCTCTTCCTTGTCCATGCCCACGAGCGCGGCAAGAAACACGACATCGTACTCCTCCAACTCCTTAGTAACTTTGAGAACGTCGCAGGTGTGGAACAGCACCCTCTTGGACAAATCCGGGTCGGACGCGATCAACTGAATTGCCTTGGAATTAGCCGAGGGGTCGATGTCGTAGTTGTGGAACGAGGTGGCTGTCAAGTGATTCGAGGCTAGTACTAGGGAGGTGAGAGGGAGCGGGCCAGAACCCACAAAGGCAACCTTGTTGGGGACACGAGTGCAGTGTTGGGTCAAGAGGGTGAACTCGAGTTGGGCCAATTTGAGATAGTTTTTATAGTAAGGGAAGATTTCAAGATTCTCAATTGGGCGATCGAAAGACCCCAAGATCGTCGCGAAATGGCTCTCCAAGAGGCCCTCCGCTTCGCCGCACAGCCTTATGAGGTCTGACCTCATCTCTTGAGCCTTCTTGCACAACCTGTTGACATCGATGTGGTGGTAGCCGTGGGGCATGCACGTGAGGACGAGCTGCGTGAAGAGGGTGTCGACATCTTTGCATGGCTTGAGGCTGTCGAGACTGGAGATCTTCTCGTGCAGCTCGAAGACTCGTTGGATCAACGGGTGTCCGTGGCAAACCATGTCGACACTATGAGCTTATCTGGAGACAAAAACACACGACTGTTTCAAGAAGCAATCTACAAATCAGAAGAAGCAGGTTCGCTTGAAACGTAGTTGAAAAACGAAGAATTTCAGAGCACGATGGTAACATCTTGCGGCCAGTCCAATGAGAGGGCATTATTTATGGGCGTCTCTGGGGTCCACTTACGGTGGAGGGTTGGCATTGTCTTTGCGTATTTCAGCAATGAAGACGTGTTCATGCTGTTTCTTGTAAAAGGTTACAAACAGTTCCGGAGGAGGAAACGATTTGCCATTTTTCCCTTTCTTGATACGTTTCCACAAGTTCCTGATCCTAATATTGTTCCCATACTCAGATCGAGAGATTAATCCACCTTGACGGGTAGAGTCGACGGGCGATGAGCATTTTCCGTCCCAAAGGGCTGAAAATGCGACCACCATTTTGTTTTCAGTGATGGTTTAGGGCCAAGCAGCCCGTGGTCGGCTTTTTACTTGCAAATTACAGGCGACGGCCTAGCGGGACGCATCGCACGGCCATGAAAACGTGTGATAAGAACCGCGGTCCTGCCGCTAGAAGCTCCCTGAAAATTTGCGACCTATGTTTCTTTACTTAAGGAAATAGAGACACTGTTGCCATCCCTAAAAGGGCTGCTAGCGAAGGTGCTGCTTCCCTGATGAAAATTAGGAAATGTTTTTATCAGTTCCCACTGCTCTTTTAAGTTGATCTGCTTGATTCAATTCAAATATGTATTTATGGCAATCACACAACAGAAACTCTGGAAAAGAAAAGGTACAGGAACATTTCCATTAGTGACAAGTGCAAGTATGTAGTTTTGTTTATACATACATCTAAGAAACCAAATCCTGTGGTTAGAGATGCCCTAAAACACTTCTATCTATTTAAGAGGTTACCCACTACACTCTATTTTCGAAATTTTCCTATTATATTCCCCTTCGGTGCCCTTTTATCCTTAGAACTTACCATTTCATATGGAACTCTGTTAATTTATTAAGCTACTTTTGTTTCGATTCTAAAGAATCGGTATTTGGTATAGGAAATAACGTGTCAGACTACAAGTGGATATCGGAAAAGCGGATTCTTTAACACTCGACAAGAGCCCGTCATGTTATTTACTGAATCAATTTTTCTCTCGGAATGGAACTTTATCAATTTAAAGTCTATTCCCCTCAATTTCCCAACCACTTCACACGCTTCCATGTGATCTACTTCCTTCCTTCCTTAAAAGTTCACTTTACAATGCAGTAATTAAGGAGTCATGATTAAGAATTTGTATAGAGTTTATGCAAGTTAGCTATCAATTTCTCTACCACGTCATCTTGATTGACTTTGATCGATCATTATTGATTATGTTATTGTCATTGAGGTGAATTTCGGGCAAGTTCTCCTCGGGACGTAGACACTAGAACCGTCCTCGGTTTCGTTTGTCAACGTTGCCAAGAGAACAAACAACTTCAAACGACATACAAAAGAAGTTAATTTCAGCAATTCGACATCGATTTCCAACTAATAAGATATCATGCCACAAGAAGAAACCTAACATTCGTAGTTCGATCATCGGTGTTGGTTCACATAGGTCGAATTAGGAGTGACACGGGGTAAAGGAAATCCCTCGAAACCCTAGCCCTCTCATACATCCAAAAATCTCACTCAAGAATTCAAGTTCCCATCAACAAATTTTGGGTATTGAAGTAACAAATCAAAAAACAAAAAATCAAAATGGTTGAAGTGCAGAATCTTCTAGAATTCAGCATGAAGATGATACATTAGGCAGAGTATCCACAATTCATCATTTGGAGATCTTTTCTGATTGTTTTTTATTCAAATTTCAATGTAGATCAAATTGTTATCTTTTATCTTTAACTTTCACCATAATTATAGGTAGTGATATTACTATTCATACTATACAACATATCGATGAAATGTAAGGCTTCTTCGACTCAATTTTTTGTTTTCTTTAGTGGGAGATTCTTTCCCTCGTGCTTTTCACACTCCTGTCTTTTGTCTCACTTCTTGTCACTTGACTCTATCGCTTAATTACTTGCAAGAAGCGACAATGGTTCAAGCTTGTTGTATTCAATAATCTAATAGCTAGCTAGCAAGCTAGTTATTCTTAATTATTTAGTGATAATCAGCATCTCTCAGTTCACACTGATTGCCTATTTAAAACTACCACCGTTGTTGTATCCAGTTGTGTTACATGGTGATTAATTGTCAAAGTGATTTTGAGTGCGAGAAGACTAATATATAGCACCACCCAATGATTTTGCAGAAGAATTACAAGAATGGCAATCGATTATTGATAGTCCAACTTCTTTTACCAAAAGGTTATTGATGAAAACATGTTGCTTCCTCGAAATAAGTATGGAAAATGAGCATCGTGTGTGATATTGTGCGGTGCATGATAGGTTCTAATATACCTAAGATTTTCACAATTGAGAGGAAAGGGAAGACCCGATACCCGTTGGATCAATGTAGTACCGTGTGCAAACAGCCTAATGGTTGGGCCATCGAATCAATCCTTGCTTTTGCGAGCACATTACTCGATTCATGAAATTGGTATCTTATGGTCCAAATTTCACCATCTAATCACTTAAGGCGGGCTTTCTCGCCATTACAAAAAGGAGAAAGAAAAGAAAACCGCTTCACCCATATAAATCTCGATATCATCACGAAACCTTCTAATCTCTCTATTGAATACGGAAACTACCATTTTGCCCGCATACACACGAGGAAAACTTATCTTCTTCCCACAAAACTAAAGTTAGAAAAAGAATGATGGAGTCGATCAATGAATGAATGATTAAATCTCGTCGAACGTTGCGATGGGAAACCCCCTTTTTCCCGAGGTTTTGCTCTAAAGTCCGGTGTGAACGCTGAGATTCTATTGGGGACTTCTTTTCGTACGAGAGTTGATAAATCGGATTGAAAGCTACTTTTTGTCCTTAGTCTTGCATCAACACGCATGCCTGCCCCGGAGAAACATCATTGGCTAGGATCATCCTTCGTCGCCCTGTGAAAATGGCGACTTTTCGGGCAATGCGGGGTCAACAATTTAAGAGCTAATCTGCTTGACATTTTCATGCCTTCGAAAACTCATTTTAGCTTTAATAGAAAACATGTTATCAAAGAATTTTATGTGGATGGCGGTCCTATTGCCTCTTCGATCGTCAATTTTCGTGCCCTTCTCCACCAAAGTTCCCTTGATGCAAGAATTAAGGGATTAATTTAACTTTTAATTATTGTGATTTGTTACTACTACAACATAGGGATGATCGGTTCCTGAGTGGTTCGATTCCCACCTAGGAACTGAGAACCGAAGCAGAGAGCCCGGTTCCTAGGTGGACCGATGAAACCGGTGACATATTCTGTTTCTTTTTTTTTATTTGCCCTTATATTCTCTTGTTAAATCAATTTAATATCGTTAGATCGGTGTTCGACGTATGTTTTCAAATTAAATGTCTTCTGCAGGTTCTAGCTCTGAATGTTTCTTATCATGGGGATACTCTAGGTGCTATGGAAGCACAACTACCATCATCCTATACCGGCTTTATTCAGCAATCATGGTATGGCATTTGTTCATGAACATACATCAAACACTGAGATGAGACGAAGGTTTGTGTTTTCAAGGAAGGATTAGGGCTATTTAGATTATACAGATTTGTAATAGATTAAAAAAAATTAATCCAGTTCGGGTGGTCCGGGTGCGCGGTTTCACACATGGAATCGAAACCGGACCGAAAAACATCAGTTCCAAAAATTAGGACTGGGAACTAAACCAGTGCTTTTAGAAACCGCCCAAAATCGGTCGATTTGATATGGTCCAGGCGATTTCTGGTCCGAACAATTTCTTTTACTCACCCCTACAGTGCAACATGTTGAAGGGCTCATACAATTTCCAATGCACTTTATTTTAGTTTGGCATTGTGATTGCGACTGAGATAAAGTCGTGGGGGATGAGCATGGCTGCCACACGACACCGTTTGCCACATCCGTGTTGATTGGGACCCTCTGGTGTAAAGCTAGCTAATCGTCTCCATTTATTGAGTGCGACCGTGGATTTTGGCTCGCTCCCTCCATTAAAAAGGAAATGTAACCACCAATCAGTCACCAATACACTCATATGCCCGGAAATCTATGGCAAAAAATATGGTTAAATTATTGCGGTGCGGGTATAATCGCCTTATCGGTTTCCAAGAAATTGAGTTTTGACGAAAAGATTCAGATCTTCAATGTTAATACAAATTCTAACCCAAAGTCGGTGTACGCAAAAATCATATATTACCAATCATGGTCTTCCCGAACGACACTTAAATCCTAATGGATTGAAATCCTTCGCGGTTATGGTATGATGTAGTAAAGAGACCTATCTGCGAATTTTCATTTTTTTGGGCGATTTGTCTTTCCAACATCATCGGGTAAATATGATCCGGTGTTATAATGCTTTGTATGTAAGAAGTGGCTTGATTTGGAAGAGTGTAGCTGTGTATTGAAATAGATAGTCTATTAAGCTTATCATCAAGAATCATTATCATAGTAGAACCAACCCTATGTTATCCTGAGGCATAATTAGAGTTTTAGAGTGCATATAATTCATGGAAAAGCAACGATTTGGAAAACATTTTTCTCATTGACAAAAAATATGTTTATGCATAGAACATCAACAATGATTGAAATATTTATGTTGATTGATTGTTTTAAATGATACAAACAATCAATTTTTGGGAAATAGCTTTCAAATTATTGATTTTCCACAAACAAGAGCACCATTAATAACATTCATAAAGCTCAACTTAATAGTACGAAGAAGATATGATCATAATCTGCTCTGTAATGCACATATAACAGTAATATACAGTAACGACAATGTTGATCAACCCCAAAGAGCGGTTTAATCATGTTTGATCTACTCTAATCATTGGGAAGACAAATAGTGGTCCGGAAAAATTCAAACTCGGAATCTCCTACTTTAATACAATATGAGATTTTGTGATACCACTGCCGACTATTCTAAAAGGTTAAGCTTTTAGATGAAAGCGTGATTTAATATTTAAATATTCTATCATTCCCTCCATATGAGATTTGTGGGACAATTGTCGCTTGTTTTAAAAGCTTAAACTTTTAGATGAAAGTGTGATTTGATATTTAAATGCTCTGATATTGCGTGAGATTTGTGGGACTACTGTTAATTGTTCTAAAAGTTTAAGATATTAGATGAAAGTGTGTGAAATTTGTGGGATGACTATCAATTGTTCTAAAAGCTTAAAATATTAGATGAAAGTGTGATTTAATATTTAAATAATTGAAACATTTGCTTCCTCCAAATAAGTATGGAAAATGAGCATCGTGTGTGATGTTGTGTAGTGCATGATAGGTTCTAATATACCTAAGATTTTCAAAATTGAGAGGAAAGGGAAGACCCGACAAGTGTTGGATCAACGTAGTACTGTGTGCAAACAATCTAATGGTTGGGCTACCGAATCAATCCTTGCTTTTACTAGCATATTACTGTATCCATGAAATTAGCCAGGTCTTTTATGAGTCCAAATTTTACCATCTAATCACTTAAGGTTGGCTTTCTCGTCATTACATGGAGGAGAAGAAAAGAAAACCATTTCACCCATATAAATCTCGATATCATCAACGAAACCTTCTAATCTCTATCGAATGGACACTACCATCTTGCCCACAAACATACGAGGAAAACTTATCTTCTTCCCACAAAACTTGAGTTGAAAAGAATGAAGGAGTCGATCAATGAATGAATGATTAAATCTCCTCGAACGTTGCGATGGGAAACCCCTTTTTTCCTGAGGTTTTGCCCTATAGTCCGGTGTGAACGGTGAAATTCTATTGGGGACTTCTTTTCTTGCGAGAGTCGATGAATGGGATTGAAAGCTGCTTTTTGTCCTTTAGTCTTGCATCAACATGCAAGCTTGCCCTGGCGAAACATCGCTGGCTAGAATCATCCTTCTTCGCTCTATGGAAAATGGCGACATTTCGGGCAATGCGGGGTCGACAATCGAAGAGCTAATCTCCTTGACATTTTCATGCCTTGGATAGCTCATTTTAGCTTTAATGGAAAACATATTATCTTTATGTGGATGGCGCTCCTATTGCCTCTTCAAACGTCAATTTCCATGCCCTTCTCCACCAAAGTTCCCTCCATGCAAGAATTAGGGGATTGATTTAACTTTTTATCATTGCGATTTGTTAGTAGTACAACATAGGGCTGATCGGTTCCCGGATGATCCGGCTCCCGAGTGGGCCAATGGAATCGGTGGCATATTCTGTTTTTTTTTTATTTTTAATTTTTCGTTATATACTCTCGTTAAATCAGTGTAATATAGTCAGATCAGTGTTTGATCTATGTTTTCAAATTAAACTTCTACTGCAGGTTCTAGCTCTCAAGGTTCTTATCATGGAGATACTCATAAATGCAATGGAAGCAAAATCACCATCATCCTATATAGGCTTTATTCAGCAACCATGGTACGTCATTTGTTCATGAACATACATCAAACACTGAGCTAAGAGTTTGTGTTGTAGACCTGTTAAACGGGTGGGTCGGGTCGGGTTTGGGTCGGGTCATAAATGGTCCGACCCAAATTGACCCATTAACCCGTTTATGATCCATTTATTCATAGTGTAAATATCTCGACCCATACCCGACCCAACCCATACCCAACCCATACCCGACCCGACCCATATTGCTAAAACACTTTTATATTTAACCTAATCTAGGAATACTTGTTTCTTATGATTTTTTTTTTAAAATTATACTACTAAAACATTTTATGCAATACAAAGTTAGTGAAAAAAATTTATAATTTTTTTTGAAAATTGAGGTTCTGTTTGTTTTACGAAAAATGCAACATTTCTAAAAAATATTTTCCATAAAGTCATTATCCAAGAAAATAAAAAAAATTAATATATTTTTTATTTTTTAAATCGAATTTTTAATTATTTTTTATTTTTATTTTTTCCCTTTTCCTTTATTTTTGGCCGATCGCCGGCCGCCGTGGCCGGCGATTGACCATAGGCGAGGACGAGCTCGCCGGCCTCAGGCGAGCTCGACCTCGCCGGATCACGGTGAGGTGGAGCCTCGCCGAGGCGCGGCTCGAGGCTCGCCGAGGCTAGCGAGCTCGAGCTCGCCAGGCCTCGGCGAGGCTCCACCTCGCCCGATTCGGCGAGGTCGAGGCTCGCCCGAGGTCGGCGAGCTCGAGTCTCGCCCGGATCGGCGAGGTGGAGCCTCGCCACGGGTCGGCAAGGCTCCGGCCTCGCGGGATCGGCGAGCCTCGAGGTCGCCGGAATCGGGCGAGCTCGAGGCTCGCCGGAATCGGGCGAGCTCGAGGCTCGCCAGATCGGCGAGGCTCGAGCCTCGCCCGAGGCCCGCGAGCTCGAGCTTCGCCGGCCTCCGGCGAGGTCGTCCAGCCCAGGTGGCCGGTCGCCGTGGCCGACCACTGGCCGGAATAAAAAAAAAAAGAAAAAGAAAGAAGAGAAAAGAAAAAACAAAAGAAAAAGAGAAAAAAAAAATTTTAATTTCGATTTTTTTTAAACATTTTTGTAAAGAGGGAGAAAGTGTGTGGATGGGTCTAGTAGGTGGGTTGGATATGGGTTCCAAACTCAACCCATTTAGATCCATTTATCTTTAAGCTTTAAAATTTAAAACCCATTTAAGGTTGACTCTTTAAAATTAAAGTGACCCCTATATGATCCATTTATTTTTAAATGGGTCATATATGGGTTTAAGACCCATTTTGACACCTCTATTGTGTTATGAATGAAGGATTATGGCTTTTTAGTTTTTACAGATTTGTAATAAATTAAAAAACAAATCGGTCCGATCCGGATAGACAAGGTGGGCGGCTTCACACATGGAACCGCGAATCAGATCGAAAATCACTGGTTCTAATTTTTTGAAATCGAAAACTGGACCAGTGCCCTCGAGAACTGCCTAGAACCGGCCGGTTCAGTCCGGTTCACATGGTTCTTTTTGCTCACCCTTACAATACAACATGTTGTTGGAGTGCTCGTACAATTTCCAATTCAATTTATATTAGTTTGGCATTGTGATTGCGGCTGAGATGAGTAGTGTGGGAAGAGCACGGCAGCCACACGACACCGTTTGCCACATCCGTGTTGATTGGGACGGGCCCTCTTGTGGAAGCTAGCTAATCGTCTCCATATATTGAGTGCGACCATGGACTTTGGCTCTCTCCCTCCGTTGAAAAGGAGATGTAACCACCAATCAATCGCCAATACATTCACATGCCCAGTGATCTATGACCGAAAATATGGTTCAATTATGGCGGTGCGGGTAGAATTGCCTCATCGGTGTCCAAGAAATTGAGCTTCGATGAAAGAGATTCAAATCTCCAATGCGATACCCAATTCTAACCTAGAGTCGGTGTTGGCAAAAATCAAAGATTATCAATCATGGTCTTCCTGAATGACACTTAATCCCAATGGATTGAAATCCTCCGCGGTTGTGGTACGATGTAGTAAAGAGACCTATCGGCGAATTTTCATTTTTTGTAGGTGATTTGTCTTTCCAACATCATCAGGTAAATATGATCTGGTGTTATAATGCTTTCTATGTAAGTAGTGGCTTGATTTGAAAGATTGTAGTTGCGTATCAAAATATGCTCGTGAACTCGAAATGGATAGTCTATTAAGGATAGCATGGGGCTGGTTCGACTATGAGAATGATTCTCGATGGCAAGTTTAGGATGCGTTTGTTAACATTTTTGCTCCCCAGAATAGTTATTTTTCAGAAATAGTTTTTTCTATTTCTATTCCCTAGACGAGTTTCTAAATAAAATAATGTATCTGGTAACTGCACAATAAAAAAGCATTTGGTACGACCCTAAAATTTTTTGTGACATGGGATTTTTTTTAGTTTTTTTAAAATTTTCTAAGATATTTTGATGTTTTTGAAATTTTCTTTTTTTCTCCTTTCTTCTTCCTCTTCTAGCCAGTCGCTGGGCCTTGTCGATGAACGGTGATCGGCTAGAGACAAGGGGCGGCAAGGTCGACTTCGCCGGCCCCGACGAGGTTGAGGGCGAGGTTGGCAAGGTCCCTTGTCTCTAGCCAGTCGCTAGCCATTGCCGAGGCCTGGTGACCGGCTAGAGGAGGAAGAAGAAGGAAGGAGAAAAAGAAAAGACAAAAAGAAAATGACATTGATTTAGAAATTGTTTTTGGGACCAAAGAAGTAGATTTATTTTACTTTTTGTTTCTGTTCCAAATCTATTCTCTGGCCACTTTTCTATTTCGGCGATAAAAAAATTAATTGACGTTACCAAACGGATTTATGTTCTTTTTTTGTTCCGAAGAACAAAAAAATATAAAGAAATAGGAGTGTGAGGTATAATTAGAGTTTTAGAGTGCATAAAATTCATGAAAAAGCAATGATTTGGAAAATGTTTTCCTCATCGACGAAAATATATTTAGGTATAGAAAATCAACAATGATTGAAATATTTTTTATGACAAATCTCCAATGTGATACCCAATTCTGACCCAGAGTCGTTTAGGCACAAATGATAGATTATCAATCATAGTCTTCTCAAACGACATTTAAATCCTAATAGAATGAAATCATCCGCAGTTATGGTATGATTTTAGTATTGAGACTTGTCGGCGAATTTTCATTATTAAAGGTGATTTGTCTTTCCAATATCATCAGGTAAATATGATCTGGTGTTATAATGCTTTGTATGTAAGAAGTGGCTTGATTTGGAAGAGTGTAGCTTCGTATCGAAATATGCTCATGAACCCGAAATGGATAGTCTATCAAACCTTCCATCAAAAATCATTCTCATAGTTGAACCAACCCCATGCTATCCTGAGGTATAATTAGAGTTTTAGACTGCATATAATTCATGAAAAAGCAACGATTTGGAAAATATTTTCCTCATTGCAGAAATATGTTTAGGTATATAGATCTTCAACAATGATTGAAATATTTTCGTTGACTGGTTTTTTAAAATGATACAAACAATCAATTTTGAAAAATATCTTTCAAATTATCGATTTTTCGCGAACAAGCGCACCGTTAATAACATTCATAAAGCTCAACTTGATAGCGATAGTTCGAAGAAGATATGATCATAACCTGCTCTGTGATGCACATAAAACAGTAATATACAGTAACAACAATGTTGATCAACCACAAAGAGCAGTTTAATCATATTTTATCTACTCTAATCATACAAAACTAATCTCACCAATTTTGCCGTCGAAAGCCTGCACTCTAAAACTTATAACTCTTCGTATGATTCGGAGTACGTAGTTGACTCATGAGCATCATAATTTTCAGAAGCCTCGGAGTAAGTAGCTGACTCGTGAGCATCATAATCTTCGGATGCGTCGGAGCTCTTGCCTAAAGGAGTTTCATAAGACTCTTCAGAACCTTCGAAACTTTTGTAAACTGGGGATTCATTAACTCCTGCTTCCTCTTCTTGAGGCTGAACAAACTGAAGCAAGAATTGCACTCCATTGACGACATCGTAAACCATAAGCCCGATCCTACCTCCAACCCAACTGCCTAGATGGCTTCCCACCAGATATCCGAACTTCCCAAGTCTCTGCTCGCCAAGGAACCCTCCAGCATAAGCACCAAACAGAGTCCCAGACCCCCTGAGAACACCCTCTGTCACCGTACCGCCATAGTAAATAGCTTCGAAAAAATCCCACCCTGAAGATATGATGGGTCCTATTATGCGTTTGGCCTGCCGACTCGCGAGTTTTGCCGCTTTGGCCCCTTCTTTCTGCGCCTGCGTGGCCGCGTCCTTGGCTGTTAACCCTTGTGATAATGCGTCGACAATTGCAGTCTCCATTGCGAGGTGCCTAGCCCTTTCGACATGGGCCGCCCGTATGTTGTAGAAATAGAGCTTCACACCCTCCTTCACTGAGCATGCAAGGGTTCCAGAGCCCATGTCAAGGCAATTTAATAATGTAAACTTTCCGCTCTGGGACGATGCCTCCTCCCCCATGAGCTCTCGGCATTTTTCAGCTGCAAAAGACCAAAGGTTGGTAAACATCATCACTTTTCATAGATGCCAAAAGATTGAAAAAGAAAATCCACAGGTCATTGTAGAGCCTTAACACACATATCTCAAAAAACCATAAAAGAAACCAATGTAATCACATGATTCCTCCAGCTCGGTGGATGATTATAAGCAAGCTCTGGCAATTATCTCTCCAACATCCTACTCGAATTCTCGTTGTCACGTTGCGTGACTGATGTTGATCAACAAAATGTACACTAAAATCTACTAAGTCGCTTAAGAAATAACAGGGGATACGCAGTTTGAAAATCGAAATGTTTCCGTACATGTTACCGTCTAGGCTGTCACAAATTAAATTGGATCCCTGTTAGATGCTCTAAGCAAATGGAAACAACATTAATGGGCATAATTTACATTTATTTCAGCAAGATACTATCTACTATCGACAATTCGGCCGGATTACTGCGACATGATAACAACTGGATCTTCAAGAGATTGCAAAAACTCAACACTTCATCACCCAACAACATAGGATGCGCCGATCACGGAAAAATACGAAATTTACATCAAGTAGAATACTTCATGAACTACCTACCCCCTTATCGATCTACTTCAACATCACATTCCCAAAATTAGGAAAAAGAGATTCTAAACAAAACCCACAAGCACAAGCACCATGATTCGACTAGCAGGAACACTGATCACCCAATTCTGTATTCAAACAAAGAATTGCAGCCCAAGACTCGAACTCGCACATCACGGAAACCAAACTGCACAATCGCTTCAATTTCACCAAAACCCAGTTCGGACCAAGATCTAAACTCCTCAAAACTTGCGGTTGCGGGGGAGAAGGAACGATATTTACAGACCGAACGCGGTAGAGCAGATCTATGCAAAATTACAGTACCCGTGATGCTGAGTGCGATGATGCCGGCGACGAAGACCAGGAGCTGAACTCTCTTCCGCTGGATATCCATCGCTACCCAGCAGCAACAATGCGCCGATTCAAGAACCCTCGTTCAGATTTGGCCCCAACCCAATAGAATTTCAAGGGAATGGACCACATCAAACGGGGAAAGATCGAAGCTTTTCACGCAGAGGGAAAGAATCTGAAGCGCCCGCGGAGAGTGGGAGCGAAGTTGAACACGAAGTAGGAAGGAGGAGGGCGAATGATCGGGCGATTAGCGTGAACGCGCCAATTGGGATCGAAAGGTCAACGCTACGAAGAACGGATAGTGGGCCGGGCTTACGTTGTCCGGCCCGGCCCATCGGGAAGGTAACGGGCCCATTGAAGTTTGATGATTGGACCCCGTTTTTTTTTTAAGGTTGTTCGGAGAACTGGAATGGGGTTAGCCAAATTGGTTGAGAATCGATGTTGGTTTGCATTCGTGGATTCTAGGCGTGGGTCCGAGCCCCCGGGCTGCGAAAATGATGTCGGAACTATCGGTACTGGTCTCCCGCCCTGCGATTCTCGGGTCGCGGTGGGGCGTTGAGAATGCGATGGCTTGATCGGGTTTATGGTGTGCTTTGAGATGTCCGAAATGCCAACCTCATACAAAAAGAGGTTCTCGTGACATGCTCAAACATCTCGATGGATGGCAACGAGTGTTGAAATACAAAAATGTGTCGTCGATTTTAAAGCACGGATTCGTTGCAAAGCAATCTTTGTGTTGATGCCAATTAACAACAATTAGGGGTGAGCATGGTCCGGGTGGTCGGTTCCCACCATGGAACCGGGAACTGCTCACTAAGGATTTGTTCCTAAAAATTAGAATTGAAAACCGCCCGTTGGTTCCATGGATCCACTTGAGAATCGGACCGTCGGTCCTATCCTGTTCCCGGGTGAGTCCATGGAATCTGTCTCACCAAGTTTCACGCAAATGGAGGTGACCGAGAGCAAAAGAGGGAGTTGATAAATGGCCGGAGGCGTGGCCGTGAGTTGAAAGTCAAGGCAGTGAGTCGATGGGCGATGAGCTTAAGAGTCAAGTGCTTGAATGACAGATAGAGAGACGACTTAAACAAAGTAAGAGTAAGATAAGACGAGCACTTAGTTAATGAGCGTTGAGCTTTAGATTAGGGATTTTAGGGTTTTCATTTTTCTTAAAATGTTTTTTTTCTTTTTTTGGTTGGAAATTTTCTTAAAAGTTATATATATTACCGATCCGGTCCGAATGGGTAGGCGGACGGTTCCACGCCTAGAACTGGGAACCGGATCAGTACTCATTGGTTCTAGTGAATTGGAACTGAGAACCAGATCGGTCCCCACAAGAACCACCGGTTCCGATCCGATCCGATTCCGGGTGGTTCCCGGTTTCTTTGCCCACCCCTAATAACAACATTATGCATATATTATTTTTAGGGAAAATTGTCCAAAAAGTTTTAAACATATTGTATGAATGTCAATTCAGTTTTAAATCTTTCAATTGTGCCAGTTTATTCCTTAACCCTTTGACGATTTGCCAATTTAATCATAAACTTCTTGATGATTTGTCAATTTAGTCATAAACCTTTTGACTATTTGTCAATGTAATCATTCCGGCCAAATATCCAAATAATAGGTTTAGAATTAAATTGGCAAATCTTCAAAAGGTGTATGAATAAATTGACACAAATAAAGGTTTATAACTTAATTGGCAAATCGTCAAAAGGTTTAATACTAAATATTATAGCACAATTGAAAGGTTTAATGAATTGATCTAAGTACAATGGGTTTAGGACATTTTGGATAATTTTACCCTTATTCTTACCACAATCTTCTCCCAAATACTAGCGTTAACCTTCAAAATGGGAAACTCGTAGAAATTAATAATATGCCACAAGTGGAAGTTGAACATATGATCCTGTTAGAGAAATGAAAACCCTCGTATTCCTAACGTTCATAGCGATAGCTGCGAAAACGGCACCGTAAAATCTCCATAGCTAAAAATTTAGAACACAATAATGTATAAAAATAGATTTGCTCACTTGATTTGGAATTTATTGTTCTTAATGCAGGATAGCGACAATCCAGAACTCAAGTACATCTCCTCTATTGCCCCATCACTGGCTCAATGAGACTATTCCTCGCGAATTGCGTTTTATAATTGCTCCTTATGAGAGGTTATTTGTACATCCGGGTTAGAGGAAAGATTTGAGCACTATTTATAGATTTCTCAGCCACAGACTCTCTCATTGCAAGCCGGGCTATTCTTGACCCCACTAGCCAGCCTTCTATTAGACTTATTAAGAATATTTATATTTTAATTTTTACGATAAATTTCAATATCAGTGAATATATCTCACATAAGAAAACGCTTACACATAGCCCCCTTACACATAGCCCCATCTTCTTTTGTCCGATCACCTTCATTCATCATAAGGCTTTCGACCAAGAGGCGAGGAGCTCGACGATTCGATCGTCAAACGTGTCCCAATGACCAAAGTCAGTGTGGAAAGGACGATTCTTTTGCAGCCGACGCACGCTGTGGAAAAAGGGATTGCAAGTGTTATCATGTCAGTGTTGGTGCGAGCTCCCAGCAGAGTTATGACTTCTGTGTCAACTCCAGCTCCAGCTCATCCAAACTTCGACTGACACTCGAGTGCCTTGGAGAAAAGACCATGTTTGATTCCTTTTCTTCTTTCGTTTTCAATTCTTATCGGGTATGCAGTAGTTTTTCAAGATTTGGAAGAATTTCAGGATCACGAGAGATTAGCATCTTTGGCCGGTAAATGTTCCCATCTTGAATTAGAAATTCCGGACTCGCAATGTACTTCACTAATCTCACGGATCAAAGCAAAGTTTGAGCAAAAATCCCGCTGCCAATGGTCCACATATGCAATCATTTGCACTTGGCGGTACGGAACTCGTACTGTATGCCTAATCGACATACATAAATGTATTTTTTAACGTCAACATGAAACGAAACGAAAAAATAATAATTTATGAATGTGTTTAAGCTCAGCTCACTAGGGTTTAAGTAAAAATCCACCATAGGAATGGTCCTTGCTCCTTCCTTGAAGATAAAAGAGACTTGGCCGACCTGAATATATATATCTTGAAAGTGGGTCGTGGACATTTCAATGAGCAATGACCCCTCTCATGATTAGAAAGTGTGGAGAGGGGCAAAATAACGAACTGCAACATCAAATCAAGACTCCCGAGTTCAACTAGGGCAAAAGCATTCCACTCATGAGCACACAAACGTGGAATTCTCGATGCTTCGACATACGTTTCAAAAGGAGTAAAGATGGACACCGAAACGTGCAACTTTGGTTCCCAAGTTCCACGCATGGCTTCTCATCATCAGAAGAAATGGATCCCACCAAAGATCCTGTGCATGTATCTTGATTCTGCATTTTACTCTAATAAGAGCATGGTATGGAGTGTGCATGGCTATGATACTCAAGATCTCAACCCTTAAAAGTGTAGGTGATCTACTTTTAGTACAAATGTGTATGACCGATATGAACACGGGAGTTAAGAAGCATAATCAATCACTTCTGTATGGTAATGAGTCGAGTTTCGGAACAGTCTCGGCTTTCAAGATTTTCGATTACTTCAAGATTTTCTATGCAAATTGTAAAATTTTGTGAGACCAGAGCCAACTGATATGAAAGTTTAGGTTCTTAAACGAATATGTGATTTGATAGCTAAATCTTATAATACTCACCCTCACGCGTAGGCTGGACTTTTGGCCCATGATTAAGAGTCGAAACGTATAACAGAGGAAGCAAATAAAGGGTCGATAAAGATTTGAACTCATGATCTCCCGTTACTGTACCACTAAAAATTCTCTTAAAACAACAATTGGCCATGAGAACACAAAATATTGCATAAATGTTACACAAACATTAAAGAAGAGAAGAAGAAACGAAAATGAGTGTGGGGACCAATCCCCAAGCTGGTGCACACTTCAGTCCATCTCATTCTTCCACCATGTAGATATATGTCAGGAATTTCTCCTCACGCCCTATATTTATCTATGTTGGGAGTGGCATGTGACGACTGCAAAATCACAATCGATGCCCCATCAAATCCAAACTTGTGCTTTCCTAGAAAGTGATTAGGTCATCTACCGGGGTCAGAAGAAAGATGGCCCCCCTTCTCGAAATCGACAGCAACTTTGTGAGAAGTTCATGTGTGGAAAGAGAGGCATGTGCCATCTTCTATCTAATTTTTCATAATCATTCCCTTTGGTGTGCTTAGCCTCTCTCTTATCCATTTGAAGCTTTTGAGCAGCCCCACGAAAGGGTCCTCCATCAATCTCAAGACTAAAAAAGCTTGTAGGGTCGATAGAGAATAAATTGAAATGTTGACATGCTCTTTGGAAATGATTTAAAGAAGCGAATCTTCTTACATTTCTTTAAATCACTAATTTATGTATTGAGATAGTCGGGTCTCTGCACTAGTCTTTTTTTTATCACGAAAAAGATTGTTAATTAGATGAGGTGATGACGGTCCTGTTGATCAATTATTTATGCAGTTGTTGTAGTTTTGTTTCAAAATCTAGGTGATTTCATCGTATGTATGGAGTAAAAACCGTACAATTCCCAAAACCAACTTCATACGTGACATTGAGAAGAGACTTACACTCAATTCTTGAGAACTTCTTTAGGCTTTTATTGCATATAATTTAGCGGAATTCATTGAACTCACAAGGTTAGACACTTTCGGTTAATTGCACAACAATTTGATGGTAAAAAGAAGATTACATCCCTAATTTGAATTTTCTAGGTCGTTGGGGGAGGGGTGAGGGTAGTTAGTCATCACTAGCCAAAGTAATCATCTAGATGGATAATAAAGTTCGCTGGAGATGCTGACCCCTATATTGTTAAATTGCTTGATTTGAATCCACTTCCAAACTCTATCCCAAGGGAAGAAATAGTGGAAAGCACTAATTTATTTTGGAGATAAATGTACAGGAAATTCTAAAACTTATCATAAAAGTATAATTGAGTTCTAAAATTTTTAAAAAGTGAAATCAAGTCATAAAACTTACGAAATTGATTCGATCAAGTACTTTCGTTAGCTCCGTCCAATTAGGCTAATGGAAAATGCTCATGTGTCTTATTTTATTATCTTCTTGAGACACGTGGAGCGCCACGTTAGAAAAAAGTATTCAAAGATTAAAAAAAATACAAACTATATTAAATTTAAAAAATAAAAAAAAAAGCCAATTTTTTTAATAAAAAAAACCAAACTCGAATCAACGGTTGTGGCCAAGCCCTCATAGGTGGCCGCTGGGAAGGGCTGACGAAGGTCACTTGGGCCTTCCCAAAACCAGGTGACCCTCACCTAGGGCGGACCCTTCTCAGTGGCCACTGGCGAGGGCCATAGCCGTTGAGTTGAATTTGTGTGTGTGTATGTGTATTTTTTTTTATTTTAGCTTTTTTTAAATCTAATTTAGTTTGTATTTTTTATTTTTTTGAATATTTTTTTTGCCGTGTCGCTTAGTGGGCATCGCCACGTGTCTTAAGAAAATAATAAAATAAGACACGTTAGCATTTTCCATTAGCCTAATTGGATGGAGTTAATAGAAGGACTTGATTAAATCATTTTGACAAGTTTTAAAATTTGATTGCACTTTTTGAAAGTTTTAAGACTTAATTGTACTTTCATGACAAATTTTAGGACTTCAAGTGCACTTATCCCTTTAAATTAAATGATCGTCGGAAATTGGAATGAAGAGATTTTCAGGTAAACCGAGAGTACAACAATTCTGTCCACTCGAAACCAATATTGAGTATCGAAATACTTTGACATGTCACAATCAACTTCGGGCGCTGCGAAATGTCGTATGCCCAAAACGCATAAAAGTTTCACCGTAAAAAATAAGGTTTTCGTTTTTACTCAGCCGCTAGACACATTTAAGTTCCCAAAAACAATAGAAACTAAAGTAATTGTCCATCTCGCACTCCGATCGCCTCTCCAACTTTACCCGGTATGCAGAGACGAGGTGACAACCACCCTTGATAACGTTTTGCGAAAACGGATTCTGGGTCATGAAATTTTTCCGGATTAGCCAAAAACACAAAAAAAAAAAAAAAAGTAGAGACATTGATTCATAGAATAGCCTACTTATAAATTTGTATCTAAGTTACACATCCAACGAGTTTCAATCTTATCACACTACAGACTCCTTCCACTTATTTACTAGATAAGAATATCATATTAATTAATACATAATCACACATACTAATGATGGCTTCAATCAATGCTTATCCATCTACCTAGAAGTTGCTCTGGATCTCTTTCACTTAACTGGTGGATCTCCACAAAGGTGAGATGTCCTGATCTGCCGTCTTGTCATTGCATGACCTCGCATGATATCTTTATCAATTTTCTCCCACGGGCACTGCAATTTTTAAGTACAAAAATGAGTTGCACGTGCCCAAGTTTTCATATTATAGAATAAGCTATTGGCTAAATCCTCCCATTACTTTAATGATTGTGACGATCTTCCATCATGACTCCCTCCATCAAATGTGATCATCTCTTTTAAAGATGACTCGGACGAGGACCTTGGATGTTCCCAAGTGGTGCACATGCAAGAAACTCCTTATTTTATACTACACTATCTCTATACATGGTTGCAAATCTAAAGTAAGTTTGGAACACATAACATTCCATTTATCTAGAACATCATGTGAACTCCAAATAAATCGAACAAGCGATCGACCTGATATTGGTCCGTAGGATTCACTAGAATGCCTGAAAATTTTCAAGTGTGGTTCCTATCAACCGAATTCCATGTATGTCCCTCTCATGAAGAAAGGAATAATAGCGACTTAGTAAGCTGTAAATTTTAGAATGGATGTTTACTTAAAACATACCTTTTGGTGTTTCTAGTTGGAAAGCATACATGAACCCAATCATATGGAGACTTGAGCCAATGTCAAATTGAGTGCATACAAGTGCTTGCTATTGCCTTTTGGGCCGGCGGCCACTGTTGAACACTTATGGACCTTTAAGGGATCAAAATTTCCATAGTTTTTTTTTTTTGGTAAAGAAAATTTCCATAGTTGATGTACAGTTCAATCATTATCCACTTTAGAAAGAAGAAGTCCCACTTTTAGTTCTTTGCTCTTTATGAGATGTCATTTTCCCTCGGGGATAATTGGCAATTGGACAAAGGAGCTTGAGTTTGGCTCGAGGAAAAATTGTTGTGGGGTGCCCCCTTCATATATGATATGTTTGAGTCATTGAATCTGACGAGCTGTACGTTTAAATTTGATGACGCATGCCTCTATTATGGCTTTAAGTGACATGACGGCTCTCATGCTTTCGACCAGGGGCTGCCCCCGAGCCTCTATGTTAGGGAAATTCGCGAAATTCTAACTCGTTCCTATTGATACCTAGTTTGCATAAGCTTTATATTTCATGTCGTGAATTTTGATAATGAATTCGTTTTTCAGTTTAGATATGAATTTTTGAATTTAAGGTTTAACGATGAATTCTACTAAATGCATGAATAAAAAATTATGATATTGGAGATTAATCTTTTTTGGGGTTACGGAAAAATAACTATCACACGACGTAAAATATGCTTCGCAATGGCATTTCTGCATGAAAAATTTAAGTAACCCAGAAAACTTATGAGTGCATATTTCCACTCAAATGCCCAAATTACAATCTGAAGAAGCTAATATAAGAGGATGACCTTCTGGTTCTAATTTATGCTCTAATCTTAACTAGTTCCTTGAACCTACAAAGAATGTACAATTGAAAGTGAGAAGCATGAAATAAAACTCTTATGTTAATAAAAGTCACACTAGATGCCTCCTATGTTTCTCTCAACCACAGTCAAACATGAGCTTGTTAATTGCTAAGTTATCTACATAATTTTTTTTGGGCAAAAAAAAAAACTTGCAATATATCTGGAAATTTGGAGGGAATTGAATTGCCGGGTGTTTTTTTTTTTTCTTTACTAAGTTAATTCCGTTAAGGTTGGACGAGTGAATAAAATTTCAAAAATAGATTTTGCCTCATATTCCCCAACAAACAGACAGTAGTCAGATCTCGCAGGACTCTTAAATTCACTCGAGATTTTCTCTTTACTTAATCTTTTTCTTTTATGCTGGAAAATCAAGTATTGGAGAGTACCGTTTTATCTATCGGATTAGGACTTCTCAGAGGGATATTGCTTACAACCACTTTCAATGGATAAAATTTATCACATCTGAAAAAAACAGATCGATCCACACGAAGTAAAGCAACCCAGAGAATATGTGAAAGCATCTCGGAATATACCGACACAAAAAGAAAGGTTGAACGTTACAATTTGTGATTGGTTTTCTCTATTAAACCGGTCACCAGACTCACTCTGTAGAGAGATATACATCGACTCCATATGGTTTTCTTAACATGGTTAAATGAAAACGGTTCAAATCCAACGCTTAGTCATAGAATACGTATGTCCATTTGGATTTTCTTTTGGGTATGTATGTATATGTATATAATAGATTAGCCCATGCAAGATTGTGACGTATTCATGTGGGCTCTCTCTTTTTTTCTCCTTTAGATTTTCAGAATCTGGTGTTGGCTTCTTTCTGGATCTATAAATAGAAGCGGAGTTGCGTGCACTGCTCTCACTCGTCTCTGCAACCGGTTTTACTTCCATCATCATACCAACAGCCCTCTCTCTTCTCTTCTCTTCCCCTCTCTTCTCTTCTCTTCATCCTTATTTTGCTCCCAATCTCATCTCACGGTTTCAGTCAACCGAAGAATGGTCATGGCGTCACCATCAAAGCCTACACCAGAATCTCGCAAACAGGTTCTTCCTCTTCTTTTTTGGATGCTTATGATGTCAAGAACCATCAAAAAGCGAAAAGATGTAATGCACAATGGTGATGATAATGTCGATGCGTCATCTGGGTCTCTTCTTGGGTTAACAGATCGTTGAACTGCGTAGACAAGTTTGAAAATTTCTTGCCATGCACGAAGAGATCTCCGAATCTTTTTTGGATGTTCATGATCTACTGCTGTCTTTCTGCAGGCTAAGAGATTCGCTGAGACTCTCAAGAACTTGCCTCTGCTGGGGCTACGGCTCAATAAGACCGACTCTTTCGTGTACCAGGCAAGAATGGGAAGGCCCCAGAAATCAAAGCCCTCTCGTCAACCTGCACAGGTCGGTGACCCCCTAGCGGAACTTCAACGCAGAGAGAAGTTAAAAGCCGCACACATTCCTGCTACATTAATCAGAATTGGTTCGTGCCAGGTAACTACCGACTTGGTTTCGGTCCTGTAATATTTTGTGACTCCGCTCCCAACTGTACTTAACTATTAAGCCGTTAGACAACGGTGTGGTTTAATATTTAAATATTTTAATAATCTCAGCTAGATTTTGGCCTAACGTTTGAAAAAGATTTAAACTTGGACCAATGTAAAATTTTGTGGAATGGCTGCTAATTATTTTAGACGCTTCAGCTGTTCTATTTAATTTTTTTTTTAATATTCTAGCAACTTCTTGATAAGTTACAATTGATGAGGAAGAGCAGAAATTTTCTTTTGTCACTTTCTTTTTGTTAAGTAACCAACGGTGTATACGCGTGCAGCTTGCTTCTGTACATGAAGCAGATTTGGTAGCAAAGTTCTACTTCGCAACGAGGAAATTAGTCTGGGAAGTGCTCGCGAACGGAACGAAGAATAAGATGGAGATACCATGGTCGGACATTTCTGCTATAAGAGCCACTATTGAAGAAAACAAGCCGGGAATCCTCGAAATTGAGGTTGCAAATTATATCTTTCGACCCACGAATTTTTTGAGTTACGATCTGGCATTTTTTACCATAATACTAATGTGATCCAGTCACTGTCGTGTGCAGTTGCACCAGCCGCCCACCTTCTACGGGGAGACTGATCCGCAGCCCCGGCATCACTCGATTTGGATCTCGGCGGATGATTTCACTGGCGGCCAAGCTCTTATGTGCAGGTACTTACATTATCTTGTTGGGTACATCAGCCACATATTTCAGTATTTCCTGTCACTATATGATAATGAACTACAGTGTACATAAATGACTTCACAGGTTTAGTCATATAATAGAAACTGATAATTTGATCCATCCAATATGAAGTAATGCTTATTCTTGGTCTCTTCTCAGGAGACACTATCTTGAATTTCCTTCAGCGGCCCTCGACAAGAGCTACGTCAAGCTTCTGAACAGTGACCGCCGTTTGCTTGAGTTGAGCCAGAGCGGCTTTCCGAGCAGTGTAGAAACCACATTCTGCACGTTGCAACACTTTAATTTGGATATATATCCCCCAAGATTAGCAATCGCGATGCCACAAGCGCGTCAGGTCCTTCGTCAAAGCGCAAATCTGCCGGCGTTGACCCCCCAGCAGAGACGATCGTATGAAGCAGCGAAGCAACAAGCCCTTCAATGGAAAAATTCTACCCCGCCAATGTCAGGTATGGAGCGTCCTCGTCGTGGTTCTTGGCGAGAAAGTTTTAGTCACCTTGAGAGTTTACTTCTTTTTTACTTCTATAGAGATACCTGTGGAATATGATCACTTTATTCGTCACCTTTACGTCATATGTTTCTGTCCCTCCCTTATGTTTCATATAGTCTTCCCTTTTCACTAAATATGCATAAATCAAAACTGGAAATTTGTCTCAAAACAATCACAGGCTCACTTTCTTCACTCTCAATTTGTTGGTGTAACACAGTATTGGATTCTCGACATCTCGAAAACCACAGATTGGAGAATTCACAAATGACTCCATGGGATCAAGTACCTCGCGACTTCTCCCAGTTCGAAGCCCTTCCGCCTCTACACCCTGCAGCCGCAGCCAGTCCAGCCCTCTATCATAGAGAAGATTTGTACTCGCCCTATGTTGGAGATGCAGGGGTCCTCCCCCTGCAGACTCCTGCAATCATGAGGAATACACAAGCACAACGGCGGTTATTCTCCGATCCAATCAGTTCATATCACCCGAGGCTTCCACCTGCAATTCACGGCACTTTCGCATTGCCCATAGATTCGCTGAGTGCGATAGGTTCTGCCAGCAATAGTGATGCAATGGGTGTCAGACAGGAGCATAATGGATATGCTGACAGTGGCGGGCAATTCATCATTGGTCCCTCGGAGCAGAATGGCACTTTCACAACACCGACAGGTATGCCGAGTGCAGTAGGTTTTGCAAGCGATGGCGTTGCAATGGGTTTCCAACAGGAACATGATGGATACGCGAACAGTAGCGGGCAATACATCATCTGTCCCTCGGAGCAGAATGGCACTTTCGCATCACCGATAGGATCGCCAAGTGCAGTAGGTTCTGCAAACAATGGCAATTCAATGGATGGATGTGCTAACAATAACCAGCAACTCATCTTCGGTCCCCCAGAGCCGAATGGCACTTTCACATCACCAGTAGGTTCGTTTGCAGTAGGATCTGCAAGCCATGGCGATGCAATGGGAGTTGGACAGGAACATAATGGATATGCTAGCATCGACGGGCAATTCAACTTTGGTCCATCTGTGTCTGAAGAACAAATTTATGAGCAACTTGCTCCTTTGATGCGCCATCAAGCTTACGAGCGAAAACCGCACGGTGGATCACCTTGGAAATGATGTTCTGTGTCAAACTCTGATTCAAGACTCAAGGAGTGAAAACTTGGGTTGAGCTGAGGAATTCATCAGTAGGGCAGTCACAGTTTTTCAACTTGAGATTAGGCTGAGTTGAAGATGTTGGGGGCTTCTCTTTTCGTTTCTGTTCTTTTTTTTTCCTTTTCTGCTCTTTATTGTAGCCAAAGTGGGGTCTTCTTCGTTTCTTTTCCAAGTTTTGTTGCTGAAAACTAAATTGGGATGAGTACAATCTTATCTCCACCTTGCAGTCTGTAATATGGGCCGCAAACTTAATTTGTCAGCAATTCAAATGCTCGAACTTAGGATGCCTACCACTGTAAACTTAATATCGAAAGGCATTAAAGAAATTTTTTTTGTCAGTACCTGAATTTGGCACTTCAATTTATAAAATAAAGCTAGAAATCTCTGACATTCACCATAAAAAAAAAGATGGATCACTTCAACCTTTACATAAGCCAAATCTTTTCTTTAACCATGCAAGCCGGAAACGTTGATCCCTATTTGTTGGTCATTGTCTGTCATTTTAACCATACAAGCCGCTTTTTATGAATTCAATGAAGCAAGTTGTTTTTTTTTTTTTTTCTTTCGGGTTAATTCCATTTTAGGTTTTTTATTTGGAGAAGAACGCTAGAAGTGCCAAAAGTTGTATACCGCGCTCACTTAAGTGTCACTTAAAAAAAAAAACGATCCTTTAAGTACCAACTCCGATCCGAATCGCCGGAAATCCACTAACTCAAAAAACAAGAAGGCAGAAGTATTCCCTTGTTAATAAATCTGATCAAAAGCCACAGTTTGGTGATTAGAGTCTCCAGGAAGTGATGATGAGTAGAATCGACAACGTGGAGGAACCTTTTGGAATAAACATTTAATTACAAATGCCACGTAAGACTTATGGCCGGAAGTTATCGTCGGAGGCACTTAAGTGATTGTTTTTTTTCGATTTGGTACTTAAGTGATCGGGCGAAAACTTTTGGCATTAAAGTGAGGACCAGAGACAACTTTTAGCACTTTTAGAGTCCTTTCGCCGTTTTTTTCTTTATTAAGTTAATGCCATTGAGGGAATCAAGTTCAGAAAAAGATTTGCTTCATCTTCCCCAGCAAAGACACAGTAGTCAGATTTTGTAGAACTCCAGTTCAGACAACTCATGAAGGTTCTCTGTTTTTTTTTCTATCTTTTGATTGTAGAACATCAAATGGTAGAGAATTATTGATATGTGCAAAGTAATCGTTTAGGAGGACTACTCTTTTGCATGGCTATGAGATATTACAATCACTTTTAACTTTAAACTGATCAAACTTATCAAACCTATAAAAAATAAATTGATAGACACAAAATAAAGCAACTGAAAGAGCATAAAAAAGTATACCGAAAAATACCAACACAAAAAGAAAGTGGATAGCATCGATTTTATCTGTCGAACTGGGTACGGGACTCACTCTGCAGAGAGAGATATGTGACTCGATGTATCTTCTTGAAAAACGTCAAATGAAAACGACTCGAATCCGACACTTAGTCATGGAACCGAGTATGTGTGAGAGAGGAGTTTAATGCATACATGTCTATTTGGGATTTTCCTTGGGGCATTAGTACTTAAAAATATAGGCATGCATATGAAATTTAGATTAGCTCATGCATGATTGTGACATATTCATGTGGGCTCTCTCTTTTTCTTTCAATGGTGCTATACTTTGGCTTCTTCAGATTTTGTGATTCTGGGTGTTGGCACTTCTTTTTTGCAGAGTTGAGCGCAGTGCTGTCACTCTTCTCTCTGCTTCTGGGGAGTTTCCGCTTCATCCTCATAACAACCCTCTCTCCTCTCGTCATTATCATTTGGTTCCCAACTTCATCAAACGGTTTCAGCCAACCGCAGCATTGTCATGCCGTCACCATCCAAACCTCCACCAGAATCTGGCGACCAGGTTCTTCTTCTTCTTCTTCTTCTCTGTGAGTCTTATGATGATATCAAGAATCATCAAAAGGCAAAAAAGATGGAATGTATCATGATAGTAATGCCAATGCCAATGTGCCATCTGGGTCTTCTTCTTGGTTTGACGGGTTCTTGACCTGCGTGGACGAGAAACTTTTCTGCCGTGCACGATGTCTGGCACTTTTTGGGTGTGATCTACTGTTATCTTTTTTGCAGGCTAAAGAACTCGCCGAGACCCTGCCTCTGCGGCTAAGGCTCGATAAGGACGACTCTTATATGAACCAAGTGCGGACAGCTCTGTCCCAGAAATCAAAGCCCTTTCGTACTCAGGCACTAGTCAATTACCCGCAATCAAATCTTGGCGAGAGAGAGAAGTTAAAACCCGCGCATGTTCCTTCTACATTAATCAGAATCGGTTCGTGGCAGGTAATTAAGATTCAATGTCAGTTCTACGCAATTTACGATTGATGGAGAAGCGCAGAAATTTTCCTCCTTTTCTTTCCTCGCGTTAAGTAATCAATGGTATACGTATGTGCAGTTTGCTTCAGAACATGAACCAGATTTGGTAGGAAAGTTCTACTTCGCATCGAGGAAATTAGTCTGGGAAGTGCTCACGAACGGTCTGAAGAATAAGATGGAGATACACTGGCGGAACATTTCCGCTATAAGAGCCACTATTGAAGAAAACAAGCCGGGAATCCTCGAAATAGAGGTTGCAAATGGTATCTTTTGACCCTGGGATTTTATGTGACTGAATATCCAGCATTTTTCCCCATAATACTAATGCGATCCAATCACTGTCACCATCGTGCAGTTACACCGGCCACCCACCTTCTACAAGGAGACTGATCCGCAGCCACAGCGTCCCTCGTTTTGGATAAAGACGGATGATTTCACCGCCGGCCAAGCTCTTATGTGCCGGTACTTTATTATCCTGTTCGATTCATTGGCCACATACTCCAGTATTTCCTGTTACTATATGATGCTGAACTATAGTATAGATAAATGACTTTCGCAGGTTTAGTCATATGGTAGAAACTGATAATTCCATCCATTAATGGGAAGTAATGCTTATTGTTAGTCTCTTCTCAGGAGGCACTATCTTGAATTTCCTTCAGCAGCCCTCGACAGAAACTACATCAAGCTTCTGAGCAGCGTCCGCCGGTTGCTTGAGTTGAGCCAGAGCAGCTTTCCGAGTAGCACAGAAACGACATTCTGTACGTTGCAACAATCTGGATTCGAGAATTCACAAATGACTCAAGAATCCAACAACCTCTCTCAGTTGGAAGCCCTTCCACATCCACGCCCTGCAGCTGCAGCCGATTCAGCCCTCCATCTTAGAGACCATTTAAACTCACCCCATGTTGGAGTTGCAGGGGCCCCCACCCTGCAATCTACTGCAATCATGAGGAATACACAACGGCATTTTGTCTTTCATCAAGATCCAATCGGTTGGTATCACCTGAGGCTTCCACCTGCAATTAACAGCACTTTCACATCACTGATAGGTTCGTCGAGTGCAATAGGTTCTGCAATCAATGACGATGCAATGGGTGTCCAACAGGAACATGATGGATATGCTAATAATAGAGGGAAATTCATCGGTCCCTCGGAGCAGAATGAGACTTTCACATCACCGATAGGTTCGTCGAGTGCAGTTGGTTCTGCAAGCAATGACGATGCAATGGGTGTCCAACAGGAACATGATGGATATGCCAACAATAGAGGGAAATTCATCAGTCCCTCGGAGCCGAATGAGACTCTCACATCACCGACAGGTTCGTCGAGTGCCGGAGCTTCGGGAAGCAATGGTGATGCAATGGATGAGACAGAAACAAGATGGATGCTAACAGTAACAGGCAATTCAACTTTTGGTCCCCCTGTGTCTCAGGGACAGACTTATGAGCAACTCGCTTCATTGATGCGCCATCAAAGCTTATGAGCAAAAACCACACAATGGATCACCTCGGGAATGAAGTTCTGTGTCAAATCCTGATTCAAGAGTCAAGCAAATGAAAACTTGGGTTGAGCTGAGGAATATGTCAGTAGGGCAGTCACAGTTTTGCATATTAGGATTAGGATGAGCTTAAGATGTTGGTGGCTTATCTTTTCTTTTCTGTTCTTTCCTTTCCATTGTTACACATTTTTGTTTCTGGCCGATGATTGTAGCCAAAAAGTACAGTGCTCATCTTTCTTTTCCAATTTTTGAATGTATCAGCAACAAAACAAGGAAAAACAAAATCAGGATGAGAGCTTTGTTTTCTCCACCTTGCAGTCTGTAATATGGTCCACAAACTTAATTTGTCATCATTTCAATCCTTGAACTTAGGATGCCTACACCAATCGGATGCATTGTAAGCTTAACATCGAAAAGCATTTAAGAAATGCTAGCAACCTCTTACATGCACCATAAAAAGAGCGTGGATCACCTCAACCTTTACAGAAGCCAATGCATCCAAAAATATGTTCAAAACTACGATTTAATAGCCTTTATTGTCAAGTATCTAGCATTACAACTATAGGTACGATTACGAAGAGATAGAAAGAATAAATGAAATATAGACTCTTCATTATATCAGTTGAGAAAATAATGAACGAGAAGAAAGGATAATTTGTGTATATTTCGATGTATAAAAAAGGGTACATGAAGAACCTATTTGTTGGCTTTTAATGGAAAACTATCTAAAGAAATCAAATCGAATAGGCATAATCAAAATAGATAGAGAAAATCAAAGAAAATATTCTAAATATCTCTAGAAGATATATAAAAATCTCTAACATCTCCTCAAACTCAAAGTGAGTAAGTCAGCTTAAGTTTGAAATGAAATCAAGTCTACCAGCGTTCAGCCGTGGCGAAGGCACCTCTTTGTGGCGAGACTTCTAGATCTAGGCGACGAGTGTGGAAAGGTCGAGAATTAGGGGGGAAATAGCAAGCAGCCATGCGGCTGGCTTGCAAAATAATGACCGAGCGACGCGACCTATGCGGCTGGCTTGGAAAATAGTTACTGGGATACGGCCTGTGTGGAAGCCACCTCCGTGAAAAAAAGCTCAACTCGGTGATGCGATCAGTGCGATTATCGTCAAACAACTATTATAAAATGGACTTGATTCAATGCTTCCTCAGACGAGACTTGTGCGCACGAAGAAACGCTGTTGAGCTGTGGATAGGGATGGATTTATTCTGATGTGCAGCGGGGTGCTCGGGGTGGATGGGTGCACTGAGAAAATAACGAAGCAGAAGATACCACTCTGAGTTCATATAGAAAAACTTCTCCTTTGAAGCAGAGTGAAAGTCCTCTATTCCATTGTCAACGATAGCTCGAAATTTCCTCATTTCTAATGGCGTAGAGAGATTATAACCACTTTTAACTGATCAAATTAATCGCACCTAAAAATACAGATTGATCTACCCATAAAGCCACTAAAAGAACATTAAAAAGCATACCAAAATATATCATCACAAAAAAAAAGCTGATACTATCGAACTTATCAATCAAACCGGTTATGGGACGTACTCTGTAGAGAGAGATATATATCAACTCCATATATCTTCTTAACAATAAAAACGACTCAAACACGACACTTATTGATGGAATTGAGTCTATGCGAGAGAGAGAAGTCTAATACATATGTCTATTTGGGATTTTTTTTTTTTTGGGAGGGGGGCATTAGCACTGAAAAATATTGGTATGTATATTTCTTTTAGAACTAGATCATGCATGATTGACACAAATTCATGTGAGCTCTCGTTTCTTTTTCTTCTTCAGATCTTGTGAATCTCTGGTGTAGGCACTTGTTTGCATCTATAAATAGAAGCAGAGTTACGTGCAGTGCTCTCAGTCTTCTCTCTGCTTCTGGGTAGTTTCCGTTTCATCGACATAACAAAACAATCGCTTGGCTCCCTGCTTCATCAAACAGTTTCAGCCAGCTGAAGCATTGTCATGGCGTCACCATCCAAACCTCCACCAGAATCTAGCGACGAGGTTCTTCTTCTTCTTCTTCAGCTTCTTATAATGTCAAGAATCATCAAAAAGCAAAAAAAGATGAGATGTGTCATGATAGTTACAAGAATGCCAATGTGTCATCTGGGTTCCTTCTTGGGTTGACGGATTCTTCAACTGCGTAGACAAGTTTGAAACTTTTGTGCCATGCACGAAAAGATCTCTGACGCTTTTTGGATGTTCATCATCTACCGTTATCTTCTTGCAGGCTGAGGGACTCGCCGAGACTCTCAAGAACTTGGCTCTGCGCGTGCGGAGGCTCGTCGACTCTTTTATGAACCCAGTGCGGGCTGCTCTGTCCCCGAAATCAGAGCCCTTTCGTCCTCCTGCACAAGTCAATGACCTGGAAGCGAATCTTCACGACAGTGGGAAGTTAGAATCTCCACCAGAATTTCATCAAACAGTTTCAGCCAACGGAAGCATTGTCATGGCACCATCAAAATCTCCACCAGAATCTAGCGACCAGGTTCTTCTTCTTCTTCTTCGGATTCTTATGATGACATCAAGAATCATCAAAAAGCTTAAAAGATGAAATGTATCATAATGGTAATAATTATGCCAATGTGCCATCTGGGCCTCTTCTTGGGTTGACAGATTCTTGAACTGCGTAGACTAGTTTGAAACTTTTTTGCCATGCACGAAAAGATCCGACACTTTTTGGATGTTCATGATCTATTGTTATCTTTTTACTGGCTAAGGAATTCGCTGAGACGCTCGAGAACTTGGCTCTGCTTGGGCTAAGGCTCGACAAGGACGACTCTTGCAAAAACCAAGTGCAGACTGCTCTGTCCCAGAAATCAAAGCCCTTTCCTCCTCCAGCACAAGTCAATAACCCTCAAGCGAATCTTCCCAGCAGAGAGAAGTTGAAAGCCGCGCAAGTTCCTGTGGCATTAATCAAAATCGGTTCGTGGCAGGTAATTAAGATTGAGTATTAGTTCTACATTATTTACAATTGATGAAGAAGAGAAGAATTCTTGTTTTTCCTTTCTTTCCTTTCGTTTGGCAATCAACATTATATGTATGTGCAGTTTGCTTCCGTACATGAAGCAGATTTGGTAGGAAAGTTCTACTTCGCAACGAGGAAATTAGTCTGGGAAGTGCTAGTGAACGGTCTGAAGAATAAGATGGAGATACAGTAGTTGGACATTTCTTGTATAAGAGCCACTATTGAAGAAAACAAGCCGGGAATCCTCGAAATAGAGGTTGCAAATGATATCTTTTGACACTGGAAATTTATCTGACTTCAGATCTGACATTTTTTACCACAATACTAATGCAATCCAATCACTGTCACCATCGTGCAGTTACACCAGCCGCCCACCTTCTACAAGGAGACTGATCCACAGACCCGGCATCAAGCGCTTTGGATCTTGACGGATGATTTCACTGGCGGCCAAGCTCTTACATGCGGTACTTTAATATCTTGTTCGATACATTGGCCACATACTTCAGTATTTCCCATCACTATATGATGATGAACTATAGTGTAGACAAATGACTTCACAGGTTTAGTTCTATAGTAGAAACTGATAATTCCATCCGTTAATAGGAAGTAATGCTTATTGTTAGTCTCTTCTCAGGAGGCACTATCTTGAATTTCCTTCAGCAGCCCTCGACAGAAACTACATCAAGCTTCTGAGCAGCGACTGCCGGTTGCTTGAGTTGAGCCAGAGCAGCTTTCCGAGCAGCACCAAAACGACATTCTGTAAGTTGCAACAATGTGGATTGGAGAATTCACAAATGACTCAAGAATCCAACAACCTCCCTCAGTTCGAAGCCCTTCCACATCCACGCCCTGCAGCTGCAGCCAATTCAGCCCTCCATCTTAGAGAACATTTAAACTCACCCCATGTTGGAGTTGCAGGGGCACCCACCCTGCAATCTTCTGCAATCACGAGGAATACACAACGGCATTTTGTCTTTGATCAAGATCCAATCGGTTGGTATCACCTGAGGCTTCCACCTGCAATTAACAGCACTTTCACATCACTGATAGGTTCGTCGAGTGCAATAGGTTCTGCAATCAATGACGATGCAATTGGTGTCCAACAGGAACATGATGGATATGCTAACAATAGAGGGAAATTCATCGGTCCCTCGGAGCAGAATGAGACTTTCACATAACCGATAGGTTCGTCGAGTGCAGTTGGTTCTGCAAGCAATGACGATGCAATGGGTGTCCAACAGGAACATGATGGATGATGCTGACAGTAACAAGCAATTCAACTTTGGTCCCTCTGTGTCTCAGGGACAAACTTATGAGCAACTCGCGTCATTGATGCGCCATCAAAGCCTATGAGTGAAAACCACACAATGGATCACCTTAGAAATGAAGTTCTGTGTCAATCCTGATTCATGAGTCAAGGAATGAAAACTTGGGTCGAGCTGAGGAATATATCAGCAGGGCAGTCACAGTTTTACATATTAGGATTAGGATGAGTTGAAGATGTTGGTGGCTTATCTTTTCTTTTCTGGTCTTTCCTTTTCATTGTTACACATTTTCCAATTTTTGAATATATCAGCAGCAATGCAAGGAAAAAAAAATCAAGATGAGAGCATTGTTTTCTCCACCTTGCAGTCTGTAATATGGTCCACAAACTTAATTTGCCATCATTTCAATTTTCGAACTCAGGATGCCCACACAATTGGGATGCACTGTAAGCTTAACATCGAAAAGCATTTTAGAAAATGCTAGCAACCTCTTACATTCACCATAAAAAGAAAATGGATCACCTCGACCTTTACAGAAGCCAATGCATACAAAAATATGTTCAAAACTACAAGTTAATATTATTATCAAGTATCTAGCAAAACAACTACTAGTACTAAGACTAGAGATACAAAGTAAAAAAGAAATACAGACTCTTCATCACTATATCATAACCCTCGATATGAAATACATTGAACCAACTGGAGCATAGAAACTACAGTTACATTTTAAACTGCAAGTCCAGTCATAAAACTGACAGCGACATCTTCCCAAAGATGCTGCTGGGCAATTGACATACTGCTTCCAATCCTGAAAGGACTGATGAAAAGTTCTGCTTGAAGGTCTTATAGAATAGAGGACTCTTCCACACATTTCATATGATTTCAGCCGAGTGGATTATGTCCTAAAAGCACTCAATTAGTTCATATCACCGAAACTTCTCTTCTTTAATGCATAGTGAAATTCCTCTGTTCCATTGTCCATTTTAGCTCAAAATTTCGTCATATGGCGCAGACAGATTATAAACACTTTTGACTGATCAAATTAAAAGCACCTAAAAAAACAAATTGACCGACGCAAAATAAAGCAACTAAGAGAACATTATATCGAAATACGCCTACACAAAAAAAAAAAGTTGACATTAATGGATTTATCAATTAAACCGGTATATATATCGACTCCGTATATCTTCTTAACAACAAAAACTACCCAAATCCAATGCTTTGTCATGGAATTGAATCTAATACATATATGTCTATTTGGGATTTTTTTTTGGGGGGCAGGGCATTAGCACTGAAAAATATAGGAATGTATAGCTATTTTATATTAGCTCATGCATGATTGACGCATATTCATATGTGCGCTCTTTTTCTTCAATGGTGTTATACTTTTCCTTCTTCAGATTATATGAATCTGGTGTTGGCACTTATTTGCATCTATAAATAGAAGCAGAGTTGAGTGCAGTGCTCTCACTCTTCTCTCTGCTTCTTGGGAGTTTCCGTTTCATCATCATAACGACCCTCTCTCTTCTAGTCATTATCATTTGGCTCCCAACTTCATCAAACAGTTTCAGCCAACCGAAGCATTGTCATGGCATCACCGTCCAAACCTCCACCAGAATCTAGCGATCAGGTCTTCTTCTTCTTCTTCTTCTTCTTCTTCGGATTCTTATGATGATATCAAGAATCATCAAAAAGTAAAAAAGTTGAAATGTTTCATAATAGTAAGAATAATGCAAAATGTGCCATCTGGGCCTCTTCTTGTGTTGACAGATTCTTGAACTGCGTAGACAAGTTTGAAACTTTTTCTGTCATGCACGAAAAGATCTGACACTTTTTGGATGTTCATGATCTACTGTTATCTTTTTGCATGCTAAGGAACTCGCTGAGACTCTCAAGATCAAGAACTTGGCTTCTCTTGGGCTGAGGCTCGATAGGGACGACTCTTTCATGAACCAAGTGCAGACTGCTCTGTCCCAGAAATCAAAGCCCCTTCCTCCTCCAGCACAAGTCAATAACCCTCAAGTGAATCTTCGCGACAGAGAGAAGTTAAAAGCCGGGCATGTTCCTGCTACATTAATCAAAATTGGTTCATGGCAGGTAATCAAGATTCAATATTAGTTCTACATAATTTACAATTAATGAAGATGAGCAAAATTTTTATTTTCCTTTCTTTCCTTTCTTTATCAATCAACGGTATATGTATGTGCAGTTTGCTTCTGTACATGAAGCAGATTTGGTAGGAAAGTTCTACTTCGCAACGAGGAAATTAGTCTGGGAAGTGCTTGCGAACGGTCTGAGGAATAAGATGGAGATACAATGGTCGGACATTTCTGCTATAAGAGCCACTATTGAAGAAAACAAGCCCGGAATCCTCGAAATAGAGGTTGCAAATGATATCTTTTGACACTGGGAATTTATCTGACTTCAAATCCAACATTTATAACCATAATACTAATGCAATCCCATCATTGTCACCATCGTGCAGTTACGCCGGCCGCCCACCTTCTACAAGGAGACTGATCCACAGACCTGGCGTCACGCCCTTTGGATCTCGGCGGATGATTTCACTGGCGGCCAAGCTCTTGTGTGCCGGTACTTTATTATCATGTTCAATACATTGGCCACATACTCTAGAATTTCCCGTCACTATATGATGATGAACCGTAGTGTACATAAATGACTTCACAGGTTTAGTCACATAGTAGAAACTGATGATTCCATCCATTAATAGGAAGTAATGCTTATTCTTAGTCTCTTCTCAGGAGGCACTATCTTGAATTTCCTTCAGCAGCCCTCGACAGACACTACATCAAGCTTCTGAGCAGCGACCGCCGGTTGCTTGATTTGAGCCAGAGCGGCTTTCCGAGCAGCACAGAAACAACATCCTGCACGTTGCAATACTATGGATTCAAGAATTCACAAATGATTCCAGTATGCGACAACCCCTCTCATTTCCAAGCCCATCTGTCTCTACGACCTGCAGCTGCAGCCGATTCAGCTCTCTATCTTAGAGAACATTTAAACTCACCCTATGTTGGAGAAGCAGGTGTCCTCCCTTTTCAAATTCCTGCACTCATGAGGAAGACACAATGGCAATTAGCCTCGGATCCCAATCCAATCAGTTGGTATCACCCAAGGCAGACTGCTCTGTCCCAGAAATCAAAGCCCTTTCGTCCTCCTGCACAAGTCAATAACCCTCAAGCGGATCTTCGCAACAGAGAAAAGTTAAAAGTGGGCCATGTTCCTGCTACATTAATCAAAATCGGTTCGTGGCAGGTAATTAAGATTCAATATTAGTTCTATATAATTTACAATTGATGAAGAAGAGCAGAATTTTTTTTTCCTTTCGTTTAGCGATCAACAGTATATGTACGTGCAGCTTGCTTCTGTACATGAAGCAGATTTGGTAGGAAAGTTCTACTTTGCAAAGAGGAAATTAGTCTGGGAAGTGTTCACGAACGGTCTGAAGAATAAGTTGGAGATACAATGGTCAGACATTTCTGCTATAAGAGCCACTATTGAAGAAAACAAGCCAGGAATCCTCGAAATAGAGGTTGCAAATGATATCTTTTGACCCTGGAAATATATCTAACTTCAGATCCGACACTTTTTACCATAATACTAATGCGATCCAATCACTGTCACCATCGTGCAGTTACACCAGCCACCCACCTTCTACAAGGAGACTGATCCACAGCCCCGGCGTCACTCGCTTTGGATCCCGGCGGATGATTTCACTGGTGGCCAAGCTCTTACATGCCGGTACTTTATTATCTTGTTCGATACATTGGCCACATACTTCAGTATTTCCTGGCACTATATGAACTATAGTGTAGATGAATGACTTCACAGGTTTAGTCATATAGTAGAAACTGATAATTCGATCCATTAATATGAAGTAATGCTTATTTTAGTCTCTTCTCAGGAGGCACTACCTTGAATTTTCTTCAACAGCCCTCGACAAAAACTACATCAAGCTTCTGAGCAGCGACCGCCGGTTGCTTGAGTTGAGCCAGAGCGGCTTTCCGAGCAGCACAGAAACGACTTTCTGCACGTTGCAACAATGTGGATTGGAGAATTCACAAGTGACTCAAGAATCCAACAGCCTCTCTCAGTTTGAAGCCCTTCCGCATCCCCTCCGTGCAGCTGCAGCCGATTCAGCCCTCTATCTTAGACAAAATTTAAGCTCACCCCATGTTGGAGAAGCAGGGGCCCCCCCTTTCCAAATTCCTGCAATCATTAGGAAGTCAAAACGGCAGTTACCCTTGGATCCCAATCCAATCAGTAGGTATCGCCCAAGGCTCCCACCTGCAATTAACAGCACTTCCACATCACCGATAGGTTCGTCGAGTGCAGTAGGTTCTGCAACCAATAGCGAGGCAATGGGTGTCCGACAGGAACATGATGGGAATGCTAACAATATCCAGAAATTCATAAGGCCCTCAGAGCAGAATGAGACTTCCACATCGCCGATAGGTTCGTCGAGTGCAGGAGGTTCTGGAAGCAAAGGTGATGCAATGGGTGAGAAGGAACATGATGGATGCTAACAGCAACAGGCAATTCAACTTTGGTCCCTCTGTGTCCGAGGGACAAACTTATGAGCAACTTGCTTCTTTGATGCGCCATCAAAGCTTATGTTCGAAAACCGCACATTGGATCGCCTTGGAAATGAAGTTCTGTGCCAAACCCTGATTCAAGAGTCAATGAATGATAACTTGGGTTGAGCAGAGGAATATAACAGTAGGGCAGTCAAGAGTCTTGCATATTAGGATTAGGACGAGTTGAAGATGTTGTTGGCTTCTCTTTCCTTTTCTGTTCTTTCCTTTTCATTGATACACATTTTTGTTTCTGGATGATGATTGTCGCCAAAAAGTATCGTGTTCATCTTCTTTTCCAAGTTCTGAATGTATCAGCAACAAAACAAGGAAAAACAAAATTCGGATGAGAGCATTTTCTCCTACACCTTGCAGTCTGTAATATGGTCCACAAACTTAATTTTGTCTATCATTTCAATTCTCGAACTTAGGATGCCTACACAATTAGGATGCACTGTAAGCTTAACACTGAAAAGCAATTAAGATAATGCGAGAAACCTCTGGCATTCACCATAAAAAAAACATGGATCACCTCAACCTTTACAGAAGCCAATGCATACAAAAATATGTTTAAACTACGAGTTAATAGCCTTACTATGAAGTATCTAGCAAAACTACTACTATTACTAAGACTAGAGATACAAAGTAAAAAATGAAATACAGACTCTTCATCACTATATCATAACCCTCGATATGAAATACATTGAACCAACTAGAGCACAGAAACTACAGTTATATTCAAAACTTCAAGTCCTGTCATAAAACTGACAGTGACATCTTCCCAAAGATGCTGCTTGACAATTGACATGCTGCTTCAAATCCTGAAAGAACTGATGAAATGTTCTGCTTAAAGGTCTCATAATGGACTCTTTCACACATTTCATATAAAGTTCAGCTGAGTGGATCATGTCCTCAAAGCGCTTAAAAAGGTAGGACGGCAACAATTGCCCGATTCCTTTACAAATCCATCTACTCTCAGTTCATATCACCAAAACTTCTCTTCTTTGAAGCAGAGTGAATTTCGTCTGTTCCATTGTCAACATTAGCATGCTTCTCTTTGCCTCTGGGCTCATCTTTTGCTCTATCTGGTTGTGCTTCAACAAATAGTGGGGCTTCTCTTCCACTTAATCGACAGAAAACTCTTTCTACTGTCTCACTTATTTCTTTCCCCAGCCCATTACTGTCAAGAATTAACTCCCAAACAGATTTGGAAGCCTTCTCAAGCACTGGGGCCCTGCGCAAAAATGAACATAAGCAATTTAATAAAAATCCAATGGCCACCAACAATGCATGCCGACAAATTAGCTTCATCCAGAAGTGATAGTTCTGCCAGTCAGCCTAACAGGTGCGCCGACAATTGAATGAATCGACATAGATCTTCTTCTAGCAAAATGTCATACCTTTGGAAATCAAAAGGTGGCGAACATATACTTAAAATGTTTCTGTATAGCTGCACAGAGCGCATAAATAGGGACGAATATGGTAATTTACGGATCTGGATTATCTGACATAAATCTACTAGCAGTCCATACAATCGGCATTACTTTACACAGGATCTTTCCCTCAGAACAAACTTCCCTGATGACACAAAATTTAGCTGCAAACAGCTTGTCACGTGTTTGTAAAAATCGTGTGATTCATAAGATCAAACTAATTCACATGTATGAATCAGATTTGGCAAGAGTTGTGTTTCGGACTCACGCTTCTGTCACAATTTGCCAATGCAGAGCAGCTAGTAGAGGAGACTAATTCAATCAATTAACATCTTTGTTAGATTAAATAATTAACTCATCTCTTTCAAATTAATTTCTTAGTCCCTCAACCCCCGCTAACATCTTCTCAGGGAGACACGGCCATTATTCTCCACCATCTGTTCTCAACTGGGGTTCATGAAAAATAAAGATGACGCTAACTTACAACTATAACCACAAGAGATGCTAGGAGGATAAGTCTGCTTATTCACCAACCCCCACAGCCACTCAAACCACGCTTCCCATAGAGAGAGAGAGAACGAGAGAAAGAGAGAGAGAGAGAGAGAGAGAGAGAGAGAGAGAGAGAGAGAGAGAGAGAGAGAGAGAGGATGCTTGAGGAATGAAACGATCGCATTTTGTCTGTCTTATGGCTGTGAGCTCCACTTATGATAGGATGCAATTTAATATTTAACTTTAACTGCAGTCGACATGTATTACCAAGATACTTGGAATTTGTGAAGTCGATACTGAAGATTAAGTGAGCAATGCTTCCCTTTTAAGGTTTTTCCGATTTGTTTCCAAGGTTTACAAGTCACAATTCCCATCGATCAATTTCATATTTGGAAAAAGGGGAGTTTAAATTCAAGATTCGTATCTTATTTTGACGACTGTGTTATTTTGTTACTACAATGCAACCCAGCATGTTTCCACTGAACCGCCACCTTCTGAATCTTATACCACCCATATATCAATTGCCAACATTATATTTGAAATTTTACTTGCAATCAACAATGAGGTCAGACTTTCACCAATCTCACCTACTGTGAACTTCCATGTCGACCCAAAAAAGCCAAAGTCAACTAAATTCTAGTACATGGCAACAACACCATGTAGATAACTGCCGGTTTGGAATTTGAGATCCTGAGGCATTGATTTCTCAATGCCAACCAAGCTACACGGCCATGTAAAAGGCTGTATTGGACCGCGCTCTGCCCTTCGGTTTTGGTAATCTACTTCATAGCAGCAGAATCAACAGCATTTTGGCATGAGGCAGCAAGCGTAGAAACTGCATCAACATTAACTAGGGAGTCTTTTTCATTTCTTTTATCTCCTTCCCACCATCTCAAACAGGCGTGTTGGGGGAAGGTAGGGATCAAAATCTAGACTTCTTGACTCTTGGTAGGGGAGAACAACGACTGGCCATTCCCTTGCTCCCTCATTTCATAGGGAGAAGAATCACTTGTAGCACCAAGGGCACTTTGACAGTTTAGCACCGTAACTACTACTGCAACATCTCCCCCTTTGACAGTCGGCTTTTTCAGTGAGAGGCTAAGAAATCATGGATGACACAAGGATCAAGATGGCTGAAAGCCACACATGGTAAGCACTAGATTGCATCTCGAAACCGTTGTCCATCTAGCTTGTCGAAAAAATGCATTGACTACTCTAGCAACGGGGGAGGGAGCGAGCAAGTTCGGAGCACGAATGAAATGCTAACATACGCAACCGGCGCTATGTTACGATATAAACTCGAACTAAAGAATAGCACGTTCTTACTCTAGCTCCTGGCGCAGAGCATCGAACAGCTCTCTCTTGGTCTGTTTCTCGGCTCCGGGGGTATTAAGAACTTTGCTCTGCTCAGCCATTTTAATCGTGGTGCTCTTCAGCTCCTCCTGCGAAACCCACATCCAGATAAGAGAGGAAAAACAAGAAACTTCAAGCCAGCTAAAAAAACCAAATGCAAAACGAGAGAGGCCAAAGCAGAATGTCAACACTCGCGCAACGTCAAGCATGAGAACAACGAATCCTCCTTTCCCACGCTAAGAAACACCATTAAACGAAGACAAAAAAAAAAAAAAGCCAAGAACTGACGATTACGTATAAATTCCACCCCCCACCCTCCCCCCGAAATTCATACCAGAGGACACTAAAACGAGCCGATTCAATCCAAAAGAACACCACCCACCATGCCCACGACCCACAACTCGAACCATCCTCAAAAGGGCAACGGAATTTTTGCAGGAAAAGTGCGGGGGCTCACGTTGGCTTTGAGCTGGTTGATGATCTTCAGCCGGAGAGCGTCGATGGTGCCGTCGTTCATGAGCGACTCCAAGACGTCTTCCGGGGTGATCACCGAGGCCGAAGAGGAAGAAGAAGACGCCATGGACGCGACCTCGCTCGAGCAAGTCGCCGCCTTTGCTATCGGCCGGAGGAAGACCCGCGGCTCCGATGGTTGGGGGCGGGGCCGAAACAACAGAGGCTCTTCCCGTTTGTCAAATCTTGTCCTCGAAATTTCGTGGCTTTCATCTCTCTCTCTATTTAAGTATTTACAAACAATGATGAACGTGCCAAAAAAAAAAAAACACAAGGAGGGGAAATTTTATTTTATTTTTTTGGTCAGAAGGAGGGAAAATTGATAAGATTTACAAATCTATGCGCGAAAATAAATAAATAAATAGCAAGGAAGATTTGTTTTTTTTAGAATTTTTTTAGATGAATGTTAATTATCACAATGGAACAGAAAATCAAGATGATTTTGAAAGGAGCATAATCGTGTTAGAGATGAGGAAGATTTAATCTATTTTTAATTAGATAGTGGCAAGAGAAAGAGGAAAGGATAGTAAAAGACTACCTCCTCCTCCCCTTGAAGATTTTTGTTGGATTTGAAGTGATTTTTTTATTAAAAGAAAAGGGTAGTGAGATTCGAGTCTTCGACCAAAAAAATAAAAGAAATAGTCAAGTGATTTTTAAAAATTGTGTGAAATTTCTGAAATAGCGATATGACTAGAGCGTGCAAATCGTGGAATTTGATGAGATATCTTGCTCGACATGAGATAAAACTAACATAAATGAATATGCAACGTGTGAACAAAATTTTGATTTTATCTATAATTCTTTATATGTAGCAGACAAATTGTAAGAGAAACACTTAATTGACTCAGAAAAAAATTTGAAAATTTGGAGTGTCCTTCTTCTTGAAATTAGGGATACTGTTCTCGCAATATAATGACGTGGATGCATTGCTATAGTTATACATGTTGGCGTTAAATTGCACTTATTTTGATCAAGCCATATACCGGGAACTTTTTTTTTATCTTAACTAGGGAAATCTTATTTTTGAAATTAAATTAGGTAGATGAGAAAAAAAAGGACATGAGTGCAATTTTGAAATTTTTAAGATGGAAATTGTGCACAAAGGATATAAGGAAATTTTGATGTGTTGACATTGTAGCCATAACAAAGTCTAACATAGAAAATTTAGAAAACGAAAAAAAAAAAGGCAGAAGATTGATAAGTCTGTACATTCATAACTACCAATTTCATTAATGAATTTTAAATTACAGTCATATCTAACTACTTGCAAAGAGAGATTCCGTACCGCAAAACCGGAAAAGAAGAAGAAGAAGAAGACGAAGAAGAAGAGAATCCTGCTCCAACAAAATGCGCCTGATGTCTCTTCATCACTTAAGTCATCAAGGGAACTATACCCACTACCCAGCTATGTGGTTTTCTTCACCCATTTGCTGCCATTACTGGGAAAATTAAATGCTGATCTGCTCTTCGAGTCGAGAACCGCCTCAACTATTATGGCTATTGACGAATAACTAGTCGTCCGAAGGTAGTGAATGAGAAGCTAGAATCTTACAGCATGTACCACAACTTAAGATGCAGCTGAGGCCCATTTTCCCACTCCCTTATGCCAATCATAAATTTGTCCATGCTAGGGATGCAGGATGTAGTCATCCCCGCTGCAGGACCAAAATTCGAGCGAGAACCGATTAGATGGATTCATGGGCTGGCTTCATCTTTGTCCATCAAATCTGATAAGTAGCTCAAGATGAACCCATCCAGATCTCCCTCTAGGACGGAATCAGGGTCGGAAACCTCATAGTTAGTCCGGAGATCCTTGACCATCCGGTAAGGCTGCACGGGAGAAAATGACACGGTCAGGAAGAGTTTTTTCTACACAAGCAAAATAAATTGGTTTTTAAGAGAAGATGAGCAGATACTACGGCATACGTGGAGGACATAGGAACGAATTTGGTTGCCCCAACTTATCTCTGTAAGAGATAGTGTATGTTGTGCATTCATCTGAGCCTGTCGGGCCATCTCAAGCTGGTCTAATCGAGACTGGAGCACCGCCATGGCCGAAGCCTTGTTTTGATGTTGTGATCTGCAATATTAGAAAAAAGGTGACAACAGAACTCAGCGCCTCAAAAAAGGAATGAATGGGCACCCTGTAGGGTAAATCCAAATTTCCAAATCCCACTATGGTGCAGCAATGAGTCGACAGTGCAAAAACTTAAAATAGGTTGAATCCATCTACCTCTCGTTTTGGCAAGTCGCAGTTACTCCAGTAGGAATGTGAACTATTCTCACAGCACTCTCAGTTGTGTTAACATGCTGTCCGCCAGCTCCTCCAGCTCGAAATCTCTCGATTCGGAGATCGGATTCATTTATTTGCACGTGGGAAAACCCCTCACCCAAGATTGGAATTACAGCAACAGCAGCAAATGAAGTATGTCGCCGTTTGTTACTGTCGAATGGTGAGATTCGTACCAACCTATGCACACCTACTTCAGCCTTGGCGTATCCAAATGCATATTCACCATCCACTTTAATTGTTGCTCGCTAACAAACACATAGTCCAGGTCAGGACTGATAGCAAACTCAGCTATTTCAGGAACAGAGTAGTCTAGGGAAAAGTAAAAAGTAGGAAAACCCAAATGCATATAGCTAAATACACTTAGCACTTTGAAATATTATACTTGAGTAGGCTTCTTTAGGGGGAAAAAATACAACAAGGAATTTAGTAACATGTGAAACGATGGTAAGGAGGTGAACCTTGATTCCCGCAATCTCACCAGGCATTTCATCCACCACATTTACTCCGTATCCTCGGTGTTGAGCCCACATTTTGTACATATTCATAACCATCGCAGCCCAATCCATGCTCTCAGTGCCCCCAGCTCCAGCTTGCACCTTTATACATATATGAGCAAAGCACTGAATTCTTAGATTGTCCAGGCACTAGAAAATATAATGCTGGGTGGGCGTAAGCTCAAAGTCACTTATGCATCCTATAAGAGGCAAACCGAAAATCTAAAAGATGTGCAGCACATATAAGTGCTCATAACAAGCACATGGCAATTACGAGTTAAGAATGCATGATTCAGACCTCTATGAAACAAGAGCAAGAATCATGCTCTCCAGCTAACAAAGCGTCAAGCTCTTTCTCTTTTGAAATTCTTCTCATCCTGAGCAAAGCTTTCAATGATTCCTGCACGAACAGAAAGAAGACGTGATTCCAACACACTTGTAAATGCAGCAAGGAAGCAATAGCACTAGCAAATGATAATTTGACTATAAAGGGACAAAAGAAAATGAATGAGAACTCATACAGGTACCAGGGAGAAAATTAAGGAGCGACAAGACATGAACCTGAGATAGGGATCCTAGTATTGCAGTGTCCAATCTGAACTAAGGGACACAATAGTTACACATGCGTAAAGTGCATCATACTAACAAGCACAACATGCCGATGTATAAGCACAAGAAGATAGCTGGGATATAGATGATTGTAAGAACTTGGTCTGATAAATAACTAATCCAATTCAGAACTGCTGCACCAGCAGTAGGGTGAAATTGTTTCTCAGTTACTCCCTATACTCTTCACGCCATGATCTTTTAAACTAAAAGTTAGATAAACACACTAGTAGTCTTGAAACACAAAGTTTGGCTCAGGTAGAGGGGGTTTAAGAAGGATGCTGAGATCGTATACAAGGCTGTTCGGACCCCCTCCCTCTTGTATGAGGTGCGTTGCCATCGTCTCTTTCTCCTGCCAAACCTTCCAGTCGATAACTCATCCATTTTAATATAGACTGGAAGAGTAGCACAGCACAGGAGACAACATGAAACAGGGATAAATACATGCCTAGTGAGGAAACCAGGGGCCCACCAATTCCAAGTCAGCATCATTCTCTTCCCGAGCAAGCTTTATCATGTCAATATGCTCAAGCAATTCCTGTTCAAATTCCATCACCTCCTTCATCTTAGCCATGAGTGTACCATGCTCACGGCTTATTTTTCCGGCATGTTGAGGATCATCCCAAAGGTCTGGCTTATCCAATTGCTTTGACAACAGCTCCAACCTCACTAGCAATTTCTTCCACTGTCAAAAGTACACAAAACCATCATCAAAAGTCGAAATCTAACCACTGATTGTTTTTGTGGTAGATTTTCTGTAGCTCGACTTGAAGAACACATGAGAAAGCTACAATTTAGACCAAAGAGAAGTTGATGCAGGAGCAGAATCCTAGTTCTAGTATTTTAATTGTTTTCTTTGTCATCGGTGTTTCTTGATTCAAGAAATGTAGTTCGATTCTATAAACCCTAGAATATATTTCCCTATTCCACCTTCAATTCAACTCCATTTTAGCCACGTTTTTTTGTTCCTTTTTTCTATATTTTGCTCCTCCAACTACATCAGAAGCAGCATTACCGGTCACTCAAATTACTTATGACGAACCGGAATTGCCAACTTATTTTAACTAAAAGCATAAAAAATGCACTTTGACGAGTGACCTTCGTTCTCAAAGCCCGGCTTCGGCACCAAGAATATTCAAAATGTAAACTTTAGGCACTAAATTCTAGCGACTGTGATTCCCTGAGACATTGCAGACTGCGACACGAATGTAAATGCAACTTTCCCCAGCTAAAACGAACATCTCTGAGTAATCTACTCCGATCACCAATTCGCATTTCAATGATAAATTAAAAATCGCAAAGAAATCGCTCTACCTGCAAGCGCCTCTTGATTAAGCTTACGGACTGAGCGATCGCGGCGGCATGGCTCTTCCAATCGCCCTCGCCCTCATCGAGGATCGCCCACTGATTGGAAAGGATCCCCTCCACCGTCAGCCCGTCGGAGGTCGCGGGTTCGACGGCGGCTCGAGTAGCGAACAACCGCAAGCCCCCGAAACGCGCCGGGCAGCCGGTTTTCCCCAATGCCTCCTCCAAACGACGCACCCAACTCGCCCCGGGCCGCGAGCAGGCGCCGGCGACGAAGCCGGGGCCGTCGAAGCTGCGAGGACGAGAGGGGGGTCTCGGAACTTCGGATTGGGATTCCGACGGGGCGGCGAAGCTGAACAGAGATCTAATGGAGAAGGCTCGCGATGCCCAATTTGGGGAATGCAGAGAAGATCCGATGCGCGATCTTCTCCGCAGAGACATTGCAGGCACGCTTCGCATCAGATAGCGGCGATCGAATTGAATTTTGTGAATCGAAGCGACGATTGGGGGAGACGAGGTTTCACCTGCTCTTCGCTTGATTCGAATCAAACTGAGCTCTGTTCATGTTTTCTTGGGGGTTTTGAGAGTGAACGTGCGTGTAGGGTTTATGGGGAGGGACCGAATCGAAAATAGCTCCGGATTGATGGGGGTCGAAATCGAAAAAAGCGAATCTTGAAGAGTACAAGTGCGAAAGAGATTTTCGAAATGACCCCGTGTTTCGCTGATTTTGTGCGAAATTACCCACATCTATGTTTTCTTATTGTTCATTGGATGAGTATCCAAAAGAGCACATTGTCGAAAAAATATTTGAAAAAGGTTAAATTGTAAGGTTAATATCACGAAAAAGTCGAATCGGTATATTTGTGACAAATTTACTCCAAACTAAATTGAATATTTTTAAATAATTCAGGGATTAAATTGAATATGTATAAAAAAATCCAAGGACCATATTGAACAAATTAAAAGTTTTTGAACTAAATTGAATATTAGACTAATGTTAAAGGACTACATTGAATAAATTAAAAGTTCATGGATCAAACGGTACATTGAGCCAAAGTTCAAGAACTATTTGTATCACTATCCCTACTTTGTACGTAATTAACTTTTCCTTAATCATTGCAATAACTTGGTTTCTAATAGAAAGGTCACTTGAGAATAGACATGTCGAACGGATGGGTTGGGTTTGGGTTGGGTCGAATCGGGTCGGGTTTGGATCATGTCGAAAATGGTCTAACTCAAATAAATATATTTAACTCATTTTAACTCATTTTTTATGTAATGCAAAACTAATGATACATGTTCGACTCAAATCATATTACTAAAACACTTTCATATTTGACCTAATTTAGGAATACTCGTATCTAAACTAAGGTAAGAGTATAGAGTGAGTGAATGCGAAATCGAATGAGAGCGAGAGAGAATGAAAAGAGAACCATAGAGATGAGTTAGGTTTAAGTAAATTGTAAACCAATTTATAATCAACTTAACACCTCATTATGACACATTTACTGAATATTGCTAACCCATGTAATAACTCAACCCATTATATATAGGTTAAAAATGGATTTTTGATAGGTCTGTCCGAGACATTACTTACTAAGACATTAGAAATCTCATATTCTTCTAAGTATATTGGAACTCTGTCGAAAGGTGTCACTGAGCACTCGTTCAATAATCTCATTATGAAATTTACTAACTTTTAATGTACTAACTTCTCTAGTGACATAATATATTAATACTTTAAAATTAAATATTTTTTAATTAACATACTTAAGAAAAATCTCGAGGGCACTTGCTCCCACCCCTCATATACATTCACCAGCCATTCTGACCATTCACATCAATGAAATGCAAGGATAAGGCATCTTTCTCTACGGCCGAAACTTCCTCCCCAAAAACCTTTTCCCCTTGGCAACAAAAAAACTCTCCTTTTGAGGATGGTTCCATTACAGGGGGAGATCAGTACATGGCATGGCTACTTTCAGAATGCTGACTCAAAGCACATCATGAGCCCATCACGAGAAGGACATTTCATTGATTTTAAGTGGGGGACTCTGATAGCGATTCTCTCCCATTGCCCCATCAATTGATGTGACTTTGACAAGCACATCAGATTGACACAGATGTGAAACCACGATGCTCTCTCCTTGTCACTGGGGGTTGGAAATTTCAACCTCTTGACCATTGTGGCCTTTAAAAAATCACAATTGAGCTTATCTTCTTACCCAACCTGATCCTAGCATGATGATTTCTTGTCTTTAGCAGATAAGAAAGGGTATAAAAATCCTGGAAGTAGAACGGGCTGATCCGGGAAAGGTGGTAGCTGATGAGCATCATAAATAGACGAATGAAAATCTTTTGACCTTTCGTGCATATGCCAAGATTTAATGCTTTCTTGTCTCTTACCTATCATGCCATCGCCCTGCTGACTTGGGCCAACTTTATCCGTATCCTGACACTTCAAAATTATGTATCTCAGAAGTCTCGGATATGGATCGAAGATCCTGAAAGCTGCCATTCAAACCTACTGGTGTAGCACCCAAGTTTAATCCCACAGGAAACCCCAAAAATAGAAAACAAGAAAGGAAGAGGAAGAGAAAATCCTCCAACTTTGGAAACGCAGAGTACCCTTTATTATGGGGTGAATTCCCTAAAAAATCTCAAATTTTAGGTTGAGTCTCAAATCTATCCTGAATTTTTTTTTGCCTCAAAAAAAACCCTAAACTTTAAGTTCAATCCCAAATTTGTCCCGAATTTTATTTTGTGTAAAAAAAATCAGTAAATTTCAATTTATTTTCGAAAACATACTCCGTGATCCGGTCTCAACTTGACTTGGCACTTCCACGACGATAACAAATCCACATCAGTAAAATAATGGGGCAATAGGTACATACCGACGTCCCATTTCCACTTCGATAACCAATCCAACCCAATAAAAATTATTGAAATTCTCTAAAATAAAACCATTCTAGGATATTAAAGTTAGGGACGATAAAAAATCCACCCAAAAAACTTTTTTTGATTTAAAAAAAACTTAATTTTTAGGTTTAGTTCAAATTTGCTCTGAACTTTTCTTTGTCTAAAAAAAAGCCACATTACTTTGTCAATGTAGATTTGTTATCAACGTGGAAGTGCCACGTCAAGTTGGGACTAGATCACGGGGGTATATTTTTGAAAATAAATTGAATTTTGGTATTTTTTTACACAACAAAATTCGGGACAGATTTGGGACTGAACTTAAAGTTAGAGGTTTTTTCTAGGACAAAAATAAGTTCGGGGTAGATTTGAGACTGGAACTAAAGTTTGGGATTTTTTCTTAGATAAAAATATGTTCTGACCAGATTTGGGACTTGACGTAAAGTTTGAGTTTTTTTTATGGGAATTAGGCCCTTTATTTTGTACCATCCGTCAATCAAAACTACCAGTTCTCTAAGATCATTTTGGCCACATTATGCATGGCCACTCAAGATATATCCTCCTACGGATATTGCACTTTTGCGCGTCTCTGGAGGCTCAGAATCTGTAGTCCCACTTAAAAGACCAGTGACTGTCTTTTTTGGGGCTAAAGTGGAGTGATTCCTAGGTTTTCTTGAGGATGGGTGTGTGGGGGGACGCTGTGACACAGGTTCTGATACCTGGGTGTGCTCTGGTGGGCATTGGGTTTGCTCTGTTTCAGTGGTTTCTGGTGTCCAGAGTCAAGGTCTCTGAGGATGCCAATGGTTACCATGACAACCTGATTGACAATGAAGATCAGGAGGAGGGTGTTGATCAACTTGATGCGGTCATCAAGTGCTCTGAGATTCAGAATGCCATCGCTGTTGGTAAAGTCCCTGATTCAATCTTTAAGAAAACTTCTCAGGGCTCTGTTTTTTCCCGTGATTCCGTCTGTGATGGCTCTGGAGATAGTGAATTCTGGTTGCTGTGTAGGTTATGAATGATGTTTATATAAGAATTGTCTTATTCTTGTGTTGTTTTTTTTTAAGAGGTTCTCACAAATTCACATTCCATGAGATCATTGAGGTGATTGACGTCAGAACTTCTTGGATATATTGTGTTTGCCTTTGGAGAACTTGCTGTTGTCATAATTATTTAATCACTCTCGTTATGTCATCTTTTGCTGCTAAAAATCATATGCATCAGACAAGACTCACTCTGGGCAGGCACCTTGTATATTATTACCCAGCATCATCATCACCATACCCTCCATAGTGATACAAACGGGGGAAAATAGAATAAGACCGAGCTGATGTGCGGAACAATTCAAAAGCTGATCTTTAGCCAAGGAAATGCTCTACTCGGCGAGAAACCTCGTCACTACTGGTCGGATGGCCTCGTATTGGCCAAATGAACAGATACAAAAATATGATTTATGTAATTCATATCTAAATTCAACTGATTACTGTTGGGTAGAGTTATAATAGTTGAAGTGACTGTCTGGAAACAACAGGTGGTAATTAAGATTTTCAAACGACTTGCGCTCGTCTGACCAAACAACCAGAAAATAACTGCTTGTGCTTGTTTTGGGATTAGTCTAGCTCCATCTGCCACCGAAGAACCGTTTCTCGAGAATTTACTGAATGTTATAATTCTTAGTACTCCACTTAAAGTGTGAAAATTGGCAGAGGAGAAACAAAACGGATATCCCATTGCATTCTTTTTCTGCAGCATTGCTTGAACTTGGAAATTGATCTTCACTACATCGATACTTGACCATTTTTTTCGTTCAGGTGCAACATCTTTCCTATTTACCGAGTACAAGTACCTCAGCATCTTCATGGGTGCATTCGGCGTCATCATTTTCCTCTTCCTCGGTTCAGTTAAGGGCTTCAGCACTGAAAGCGAACCTTGCACTTACAACCCTGGAAATCTCTGCAAACCGGCTCTGGCCAATGCCATCTTTAGCACAGTGGCCTTCTTGCTCGGTGCTCTTACTTCTGTGCTCTCGGGCTTTCTAGGGATGAAGATCGCGACGTATGCCAATGCTAGGACAACTCTAGAGGCCAGGAAGGGTGTTGGGAAGGCGTTTATTGCGGCCTTTCGATCCGGCGCCGTGATGGGCTTCCTTCTTGCTGCCAATGGCCTTCTTGTTCTATACGTGTCCATCAATCTGTTCAAGATTTACTATGGAGATGACTGGGAGGGACTATATGAATCTATTACTGGTTATGGACTCGGTGGTTCTTCAATGGCGCTGTTTGGAAGAGTTGGCGGAGGTATATACACCAAAGCAGCTGATGTTGGCGCAGACCTTGTTGGGAAAGTTGAGAAAAATATTCCTGAAGACGATCCACGGAACCCGGCTGTAACTTTCTTTCCCTTCCTTTGACATCGCTCTAGAAACAATACCGCGAAATCAAAATTTTGTTGCGTGTGATATGTGAAAAAATATGCTTAATTAGCGCTCGCTCTGCAGGTAATTGCAGACAATGTGGGCGACAATGTCGGGGACATTGCAGGAATGGGCTCTGACCTCTTTGGGTCTTATGCCGAATCATCGTGTGCTGCGCTCTTTGTCGCGTCCATCTCGTCCTTCGGCATAAGCCACGACTTCTTAGCCATGTCCTATCCACTCATCATTAGCTCGGTCGGAATCCTCGTCTGCTTGATCACAACTCTATTCGCGACAGATCTTTCTGAAATCAAGCTCGTGAGTGAAATCGAACCGTCATTGAAGCGCCAGCTTCTTATCTCGACCGTCCTGATGACTGCCGGCATCGCCATGGTCAGCTTCTTCGCTCTGCCATCAGAATTCACTTTGTACAATTTCGGGACCGACAAGGTCGTAAAGAACTGGTACGCCTCCCCCTCTACCATCTTCATTTCGGAATCTTCTTTGTTCATATGTCTCCTCAAACATTGTTGTTGATGTGATGAATATGCTCACAGGCACCTGTTCTTCTGCGTCGCGATCGGCTTGTGGGCCGGACTTGTTATCGGCTATACCACGGAGTACTACACGAGCAATGCTTACAGGTGAGAGTTTTTGCTTCATGTTTTGTGACTCTTTATCTTGTAGAACATATCAGATCACGTAGCGTTCGGTGGTCACCAAGGACGCCTGTAAGTACAGGACATTGCTTTGCTGAGTCGCTGACTAGTGATTGTATCAGTCCGGTGCAGGACGTGGCGGATTCGTGCAGGACTGGGGCCGCAACCAACGTGATTTTCGGCTTGGCTCTGGGCTACAAATCCGTCATCATCCCCATATTCGCCATAGCGATTGCTATTTACGTGAGCTTCAGCTTGGCCGCCATGTATGGCATCGCTATGTCTGCGCTGGGGATGCTGAGTACTATAGCTACAGGTCTCGCAATTGATGCATATGGACCTATCAGCGACAATGCCGGCGGGATCGCCGAAATGGCCGGAATGAGCCACAAAATACGCGAGAGGACCGATGCTTTGGATGCCGCCGGAAACACCACTGCTGCCATTGGCAAGGTAATGACTGTATTTGAATTTCGCACCATCATTTGCCATCAGCTGATGTGTGTGATTTGAAGAACCCCCCGTTACAACGTCCGCCTTTTCTCTTCAGGGTTTCGCTATTGGATCAGCGGCGCTCGTCTCTCTCGCCTTGTTCGGCGCCTTTGTGAGCAGGGCGGGCATCTCGGCCGTCGACGTATTGACCCCGAAGGTGTTCATAGGCTTGATCGTCGGCGCCATGCTCCCATACTGGTTTTCCGCCATGACGATGAAGAGCGTCGGGAGCGCGGCGCTGAAGATGGTCGAGGAGGTGAGGCGGCAGTTCAACACCATCCCGGGCCTCATGGAGGGAACGGCCAAGCCCGACTACGCCAACTGCGTCAAGATCTCGACCGACGCTTCGCTGAGGGAAATGATACCGCCCGGCGCCCTGGTCATGCTCACCCCGCTGGTCGCCGGTACCTTATTCGGAGTGGAAACTCTCGCTGGAGTTCTCGCCGGTTCGCTCGTCTCCGGCGTGCAGGTAGCTACCTATTACCTTACCTTCTTCTTCAACTCTCATGTTAATCATAATCAAGTACTGACGTTTTTCGGTTCTAACATCCCTAACTTGATGAATCTGTCTTCCTTTCTGGTTTAGGTTGCCATTTCAGCTTCTAACACAGGTGGGGCATGGGACAATGCAAAGAAGTACATAGAGGCCGGCGCTTCCGAGCACGCCAGAACGCTGGGGCCGAAGGGCTCGGACGCTCACAAGGCTGCCGTCATAGGCGACACGATCGGGGACCCCCTCAAGGACACGTCCGGCCCTTCGCTCAACATCCTCATCAAGCTCATGGCGGTCGAGTCGCTGGTGTTCGCCCCGTTCTTCGCCGCTCACGGGGGCTTGCTGTTTAAGCTGTTTTGAACCCCCGCCGGCCGCTCGGACCGGACCGGACCGACAGCGTCGCCCCCCTTTTCAACAGAGCCGCTGCTGTAATTAGGACTTCTCTGTTGTAACCATGACAATTTCCTTTCGATCGCGCCGTCGCGGCACGTTTTCAATGTACAAGTAATTCCTAGCTTAGCAACCAGATTTCATGCAATCCGTAGCTCAATTTTGCCTAGTTAAATCACACACTAGCTTCGTGCTAATCAGCGTAATCGCCGCAATCCACATAAAAGCTCAAGCGACTAGGCGGAGAAAGTTACATGCAATTGGTCTTATCGGGAGCTCGTACATAAGTGATGAGTTGCTTTTACGATAAGAAAAGATTTGAGAAATCGAAGACACATTTACCTAAAACTCTTGTATTTCGTATCTCCGGCTCCCTCAAGTGCATCTACAATTTATATCGGGGGTTGATCGAGGAATTAAAGTTTTACCATGGTCAGTTGAAGATAGAAAGTCTTGACAAATTTTCAAATCAGGTCTTGACCTCGCCGTCAGTGTAATTCAAGTGTCGGGAATTCGACATGGCTCCCAATATGGAACATTCGACTATTTGTCACGTGTCATTTCCGACGCCCGAGTCCCACCGGCGACAAGCTCGAGACGTTATCGCCGCAATTTTTCTTTTTTTTATAAAATCTTAAATCCCCCATCGATCAAATAAAGCCCCTCGAGCCCTAGATTGACCGGCTCCGAAACGTTACGTCTTATTTCTGCACTTAATCCCGTTTTTCCAAATCGGTAAAATTTCATATGCAGAAACAAATATCGTATAGGATTGCTAAAGTTTTAATGACGTTCAATTTTTTTGTAGTTACTAAAGTTTTCGAAAAAGGTATAACAAGATTATTATTTTTTTCCCATCCGACGGCTCATATCCATTCATAAAATAAATAAAAAATCGACGAACGCAAAAATGGGCTGGGATCGGAATACGTTTCGCACGTGCCAGCCTCTGTAAGCATGCGAAACCCATTCCCAGGGAAATCCACCTACCTTACAACGGGGCGAGCTGAAAGGTCCGTACGCCTCGTGTGAATTGCCAATCTCTCTCCGCCACGTCACGCCGGTGACGACGAGCGCGGACGTGTCGCCTCGCCACTGGTCCACGTCGTCGCGCGGCGTCCACGCGGCAGGTCGAGGCGCCACATCAGGATCGGCGGGGACGACCGCTATATATAGTCTCGCTGCCTCGAGACCTTCTTCGTCTCCGCGAGTCTTTCTCTCACTAAAGTCTCTCTCTCACTCTCTCTCTAGGGAGGAGCGATGGCGATCGAGCGGCCGAACAACCCTAAGCGCCTGCTGCTGCTGCTCGCTCTCTGCTCCGTCGCGGCGGTCGCCGCGGCCGACGTCGTCTTCGAGGAGCGATTCGAAGGTACATTTCGCTTCCTTTGCTCGGTTCTGCGACCGTTGACGTGCTTCGGAGCGCGACCGCGCGTTCCCGTCCCGTTCTCCGTCGCTTCCGGTTTCGTTCGACCGGTTTTCGTTTGAGATGTCGGAGCGTGTGGTTGATGTTCCGATCGTTAGTTTGCGGAGTTGCTTTTGAGATTGAACTGATCACGCGTGGATCTGATAGCTCTGTGGTGAAGTTGCGCTGAACACTGCGGAGTGCTTTTGGATCATGCTTTTCCGGTTTAGATCGGGGTCTAGCGGGATTTGCAGTCGGCAATGTGATCGCGCTTTTCGGAGCCGCGACGGAGGAGGCATGAGATTGCTGATCCTCACGGTCTCCTGACTGAGCAGTCACTTTCCATTTACGTGTTCATGTGGCGGATACTTCTAGCGCTGTGGATTGTCGAAACTTGTGCCTCAGAGTTTACGAATGCTGAATTGTTTGCTCCTAGTGGAGCTTGATGGTGGAGCAGTAGCTTTACCGCGTAACTGACACACGAGCATTGTCGCTCAAATTAGAATCACGAGTGGGATTTCTTTTAGTGACCGGATGAAAGCTGCTGCGTATCGCGCTAGTATGTTCTAGCTATGTGTATGTTGTACGAGCATTTTGCGTTTGCTGTGTGACGAGATGTTAAGTTTGATATAATGATCAGATGCCTGCTGGAAATGGCTAATTATACCAAGATTGTATCCCGGACTATAAAAAAGTCATTAGGGCATTGAGTTCTATTTGTAAAAAAATTTGTGGTCTGTCTGCATTTATTGTATCGTGCTTTCTTGTTGCCTGGTGTTTTCTCATTTTCGAACTCTATGCTGCTACGTCTCTAATTGAATTAGACGGATGGGAGAACCGGTGGGTCAAGTCTGATTGGAAAAGAGATGAAAACTTGGTTGGGGAGTGGAACTACACATCTGGTAAATGGAATGGAGACGCTAATGACAAAGGTATACTTTTCTCTCACGAGTGAATATATGTGTTTTGAAATAGTTAGGTTAGTTGAATTTTGTTCTTTAACATTCAAGAATCTAGATGATCTGATGACTGTGCCTGCTAGCTTCAGAGTTATCATCGATCTCCTTTGGCAGGTATTCAAACGAGTGAAGACTACAGGTTCTATGCTATATCAGCACAATTCCCTGAGTTCAGCAACAAAGACAAGACCCTTGTCTTCCAATTCTCCGTCAAGCATGAGCAGAAGCTTGACTGTGGTGGTGGCTACATGAAGCTACTCAGTGGTGAAATTGATCAGAAGAAATTCGGTGGCGACACCCCATACAGGTTACTCTCGTTCCTCCGACTACAAGATATTGCCTTTCTGCTCAGTTATTCTATATGTAAACGCTTGCTCATTTGATGAATGTTGGGATTGCTGCAGTATTATGTTTGGACCTGATATCTGTGGCTACAGCACGAAGAAAGTTCATGCTATACTCAACTACAATAATACCAACCACTTGATCAAGAAGGAAATCCCCTGTGAGACTGATCAGCTTACTCATGTTTATACTTTCATCCTCCGCCCTGATGCCACCTACAGCATTCTCATTGATAATGCTGAGAAGAAAACCGGTAGCTTGTACTCTGACTGGGATCTTCTCCCACCTAAGAAGATCAAGGATCCCGAGGCCAAAAAAGTAAGTTACTGAGCTATTCATCTATCTGGCTTCTCCTCTGTATGTGATAGTATATCATGCTGATTCCCTTGCTTGGGTGGCAGCCAGAAGACTGGGATGACAATGAATATATCCCTGATCCAGAAGATAAGAAGCCAGAGGTAAAGGCACCATTATGTCTCTGGAGTTTGTTCATTTATGAACTAGATGTCTGATGAGTATTGCATGAACTGACAGCCTCCATGTGCCTGCAGGGATATGATGATATACCAAAAGAGATACCAGATCCCGATGCCAAGAAGGTGAATATGATAATTTCCAAGTTGTTTATGCAAATTTTCTCCATTTTGTGATTCAATTTATAGCTCTGCTCCGTTGGAGGTTCGGATACTTATTGTAGTTTGATCAATGATGGTTTGCAGCCCGAGGATTGGGATGACGAGGAGGATGGTGAATGGACAGCCCCAACTGTCGCTAACCCTGAGTACAAGGGACCATGGAAGCCAAAGGTACGAGAATGTTCTTGATCGTGTTTAATGAGTTCGTTGGATCACACGGTTCTTAAGAAACTCTCTATTCCTGTAGCAAATTAAAAATCCCAACTACAAGGGGAAGTGGAAGGCACCGAAGATTGACAACCCAGGTTTGTTTGTTCAGTAACGTTGTTTATTGGTTTTTTTTTTTTGTGATCTTTGTTATAACTCCTCATATTCAAACACTCAACAGATTACAAAGATGATCCAGAGCTATATGTCTACCCCAACTTGAAGTATGTTGGCGTAGAACTGTGGCAGGTGACGTGTTTTTCTTCTCTACTATCCCGTTCTTCACGTGGCATGAATATTTATGAGCAGTGTTGATGTGCTTCAGGTCAAATCTGGAACCTTGTTTGACAATGTCTTGGTTAGCGATGATGTCGAATATGCAAAGAAGCTTGCCGAAGAAACATGGGGCAAGAACAAGGATGTATGGAGTATATGCTGTTTTTTTTTCAAATAAGTGATTATATTGCCAGTGTTCATCTCTGAGATTGTCCAATTTCTATGACCTTACAGGCTGAAAAGGCAGCATTTGAAGAGGCAGAGCAGAAGAAAGAGGAAGAGGTAATATCTCACTTTCACGTGGCTTTATCATTGTTTGGGACCAACTTCCTATTGATATTAATGCACGTCTGGCTCAATTTAGCTGGTTAGAACTTTGATATCCTTGATTTCCACTTGTTGGTATTTTAAGTTATAACGATTAGTTTTTGTAAGTGGATGCCCACATTGGCCTGCTGAAGGCTCGATGCACCGCCTCGTCTTTTCTGCATCCTTTTCCAATTCAATACAACACTAACTCCTGGTTCAATGCTTTATCAGGAAGCCAAGGACGACCCTGTCAATTCCGATGTAAGTCTATAAACCTGTAAAGATACGGCCGATCTCATTTTGTGTGTCCATGTATTTTTTTCATGGGGGTAAATCTGTTTGTTTTAGGCTGAGGATGAAGATGATGTGGCCGATGATGCCGAAGCAGATGATTCCGATGCAGAAACCAAAACAGATGACAGTGCCGACTCCAAGGACGATATCAAGAGCGAAGATGTGAAGGTAAAGTTCTTCCATCTTACTGTTGGCTTGTTTTTATTCTCTTCATCTTACTGATAAAATTTCTCTTTCCCATCTTTGCTTGTTCGCAGGACGAGCTGTAGGAGGCAGCGCTGAAATCGGAGTTAAACGAGGCGCTCCGAAATTCTTGATTTTTTTCTTATTTTTACCGTTTCTTGATCGGTTGTAGGAATTTTCCTTGGAGAGGGAGAGAGATAGAGCGAAACATCTCATGCAAAAAACGCGTGGCTGATTTGCATCAATGTTGATCTGATTCCGAGGATTTGGGAAAGAGGATGAAGAAATATGGTGCCTCTTTTTGCTATTTTCTCCTCGCCGCTAAAGCTCTGCCCGACTTATCTGTTTGATGCAATCGTAAAAGTTCGGTACGGTCAGCATAGCTTTAGCACGAAATCCCCGACAAGTCTATCAGTTGATACCTGGCTGTTAAGGTATGGTTCGAGGGCTAATGTTAGGTGATCATAATTAGATCCGAGAATCGTGTCCGTAAGCATTGAGCACATGTGTACGGGACTCATTACAACGCTAGACTTTACGCTGACTCTCCCACACTAGGAAAAACTGGTCAGAAACGGTTAGAATTGTCTTGTGCCGTGTGTGAAATTTCTTGGTTACAATATCGTACTGATCTCGCGACGACCAGCCACAACATCCTAAAACGATGAGGGCGGCGCGTCTATAGTTGTGCGGTGTTGTGCGGTACGCTTAGCGTCACACCAAATTGAAGCTGTGGGATGTGAAAACATCCCAAAACGATGAGGGCGGCGTGTCTATAGTTGTGCGGTACGTACGCTTAGCGTCACACCAAATTGAAGCTGTGGGATGTGAAAATGCATCGGCGGTAAGGGAGCGATACCCTTTCATTAAAAGAGCTTCTTGATACTACATAATCTGATATTAATATGTTGACAACATCATATCACTGATGTGCAAAACTTCTGTAATTTGATATAATGATCAGTGTGGGTAGATTCATCCTTCGAGAATTTTATTGGGTTTTTTCCATGAATTATGCAAAAATTGGCATCAATGGTTCAATTGATTTTTAATAAGAGCCCCGCAAATCGCATAGGGTCAAATGTACTTTTCTTCTTTATATCAGAATTTATTATCAATAAAACGCAAAGCACGCGATTTCACTAGAAAGCCATGATGAAAAAAATATCAGATTAACTCAAAGAAAATAAGAAAGATTGGTGGGTTAATACCACAAAAAGCCCCAAACTGATATACTTGTGACAATTTTATCCCGGACTAATCTTTTGACCATCAAAAACCTCAAACTGGTTTTGCATGAGACAAATTTATCCCAAATCAATTTTTTGATCACCAAAAACCCCAAACTGATACTTACCTTTCGTTAAATTAGATTAATACCACGAAAAACTATAAATTGATAAATCTGTGACAAACAGAAGGGTAAAACCCCAAAGTGCTACACTTGTCAACTGCCGCATGTCATCCAACTCAGTAATAGATAAATTTAACGGAAACTAACGGAAGATAAATTTATCGCAGGTGTACCAATTTGAGGTTTTTTGTGGTCAAAAAATTAGTTCGGAGTAAAATTGTCATAAATGTACCTGTTTGAGATTTTTGGTGGTCAAAAAATTAATTCGGGATAAATTTATTATAAATATACCGGTTTGGAGTTTTTCGTGGTATTAACCGAAACTTGGTATATCATAGTATACAAAGATGTTGATGAGACTCCCAAAATAACAAAAGCCTTAGATCGAAAAAAAAAAACAAAAGGTTTTCTTTTTAATTATAGACGCAGTTATGTTTCGTGTAGTCATGATTATTTAAATAATTAATTAATGTCTCGATTGTCATCATTAAAAGCATTATTAATGGAAGTCCTTGTCGATCAAATGACTATCTGCATTGTCGTGCTCAGACGTTAAAGACCCACGTCAAATCTTAACAACACATGGACGTTGAAATGAAAGCTCAAAGTGATAGTGTCTCCAATAAAAAAAAGGGAAAAAACCACCAAAAACCCCAAACTTTCCCACTTGTGACACATTTACCCCGAACTTTTTTTTGTGACACCAAAAACCCCAAACTTTGTTATTTGTGACACATTTACCCCGATATACATTGTCCATGGGCATTTTCGTCTTTTTAGCTTTTTCTTTTTCTTTTTACTTTTTTTTTTCTTTCCGGCGAGGGCCCCTCGCCGGATCCGGCGAGGGGGCCCTCGCCGGCGTCGGCGAGGGCCGCCCTCGCCAGATCCGGCGAGGGCCGCCCTCGCGGCGTCGGCGAGGCTCGCCCTCGCTCGCCCGTGCGAGGGCGAGCCCGCCCGACGCCGGCGAGCCTCGCCCTCGCACGGGCGAGCGAGGGCGAGCCTCGCCGGCGGAGGGCGAGCCTCGCCCTCGCCGGCGTCGGGCGAGCCTCGCCCGGCTCGGGCGAGGAGGGCGAGGCTCGCCGGCGTCGGGCGAGCCTCGCCCGGCTCGGGCGAGGAGGGCGAGGCTCGCCCGACGCCGGCGAGGCTCGCCCTCGCTGGGCGAGCGAGGGCGAGGCTCGCCCGACGCCGGCGAGGGCGGCCCTCGCCCGACGCCGGCGAGGCCCCCCCTCGCCGGAAAGAAAAAAAAAAGTAAAAAGAAAAAGAAAAAGCTAAAAAGACGAAAATGCCCATGGACAATGTATATCGGGGTAAATGTGTCACAAATAACAAAGTTTGGGGTTTTTGGTGTCACAAAAAAAAGTTCGAGGTAAATGTGTCACAAGTGGGAAAGTTTGGGGTTTTTGGTGATTTTTTCCCTAAAAAAAAATTATGAACAGAAGTTCCTGTTGGTTCAATTACCACTTGCATTCTCCTATCCATCAAAAACATAAAAGACCCCACAAGAAATATAATTAACCCATTAATATAGACAAGAAAAATCATAGTATAATCGCCAAGTGAGCTACCTACACTGAAAGGAGTTGAAATAATTTCGATATATTTTTAAAAATAAACATCACGTAAACGACCAATTTACATGTTTTTGTACGGTCTATATGTTTTATTGTCATATTGTATAATCGAAATTGCAAATTTTTTATGAATAAATTTATTAAATCCGTCCAACGCGAAAACCTTCAACTTGTTACCACATCAAGACACTTCCCTATTTGATGATGTCCATCGATTGAAGCAGATCCATCAACTTTTTCCACCACAGCGGCTTGGCCAAGTGAGCGTCCATCCCCGCGAGATAAGATTACTTGTCAGCGCGACGATCTGAACATGGACGCCATGCTTCTGCTCCTCCATCCGTATCATTCGGGTCGCTTCGTATCCGTCCATGATCGGCATCTGCAAGCGGGTATTGAAATCGAGTTATACATGAACTGAGTAGTTAAACCATTAGGAGCAGGCCTATCTTTGAGTCTCCTTAACGTTCAGATTGAGCCACGCTATATTTGGACAATGGAGTCATCAAGATATCAGACAGAAAACGAGGAGCCTTACCTTGCAATCCATGAGAATGAAGTCATAAGGCAGGCTCCGGCAGCGTCCTTCCTCCGTTTGAGCTCTCAAGATCCTAAACACTTCGTCAAGCGCCTCCTTCCCGTCTTTGCATACTTCGACAGTCGCGCGAAGCTTGCGAAGATTGTTGACTGTCAGCTTTCTCGGACAGGCATCGTCGTCGACAACCAGGACTCTCTTTCCGTTCAAGGGCTTCTCGCAAATTGTCGAGTCGCTTTTGTGCAATCCTTTTTGCACAAGTGCATTGCTCCCCGATTCTGCTCCGGAGAATTGCGCTCCCTTTCCATGCAATGTATCGGCTTTCGGAGTGTCCGCCACAGACTGTAGACCCTTTCCACGTGACGTATCAGCTTCCTCGGTTCTTGCTACTCCATGTGCCGCCGCCATACTCTGTAGTTTCGGCAGCTTGCTTGGAGACGTGCATTGCCTAATTTCAGGCAACAGTTTTAGGACGTCCATAAGGTGCGACCCGTGAAGTGGTTGATCCACAACATAGTCAGAAGCTTCGTTATTAGCTTATCCAGCTACCAGGTGAGAGTTATGCACGAGTGGATTATCTAGCCAGACAACCTTATACCGAGAATTCTGCAGTCCCTGCCTCGTGCTAGCAAATGCTGTATAGAGCTCAGAAAAGAGACCGGCGCTAACATCGACCACGAGTAATACCAGTCCCGCAGAGCCCTTAGAATTTGATTTCTTGAAACTTGGTAAACCGACGTCGCTTCCATCCCTAGCGTTCGATGGCCCCTCGGTGACTCCTGCATCAGAGTTGGTCGATGCTGAATTGTTCAGGTTGTCTAGCTTGTACATTATGGTCTCAATATTCTGGAGAAAGTTCTCCGGCTTTCTTGCGGTCACTCTAATGTTTAAGCTCCCTACATACCTCTTCAAAGTGTGTCTCTGCTCATTGCCGGATATATTCAATATCACCTCGGATCCTTGTGAAGGAGGCCACATGGTTCGCCCAAACGATGAAGGGATCTCGGCGTGTGCTCGAGGGCATTCCTCATCAGCATCTGCAGACGCGGGTTGACACGTGCGCAGAAATATGGTGACCCTAAAACAAGTGCCTCTTTCTCCTGCTTTACTTACTATCTCAATCTCTCCACCCATTAGATGCGCCTGCAAGCAAAAGTTTTTGACTTAAACAAAAACAAGCTTCACTTAATTTAGGTAGGATTCAGTTTGGAATCTGTATAAGTTGATAAGACAATGACAGCAAAAGGTAGCAGTTGTGGAGTAGTAAAATGCAAGGGTATGGATCACTTACCAAAGATTGAACAATTCCAAGTCCCAACCCACATCCTTCTTGTCCCCGAGCTGATTCTTTAACCTGAACAAAATATTCAAACACATCCTTTTGCTTTTCTTTTGGTATTCCTCGACCGGTATCATCCACTTCGAATATAAACTCCATACGATCCTGGTTCTGCTCAACTGTATGCAGGGCATCAAGCTCATCTGAACCTCCTTTGTTTTTGTAAAAAAGCCATGACAAACACTTGTGGTTTCAAGGAATCATTGTGTTCTGGAAACTTGTCCTGTTCATCTGGGCACGGACAGCAATGTGACCTTCCGACGTGAACTTAACAGCATTGCTCAATAAGTTGCATAAACCTGCTTGAGTAGTCCTCTGTCTCCCCGAACAGAAGGAGTTTTATTTACCGAGTCATCGCAGGGATCGAGCAAAACATCTACGCCCTCCTTCATGCCAAGAGGATAAAATAAATTGACCACATCCTGCCTCAATTTTACTGGTGTCCAGGACCGTGTTTAGAATGCCTGTTCAACAGTAAGAAGATCTGCATCAAGACTTAATCCCTTACATACATATGTATAAACAGACATGCAATACAGACTAGTTGAAAAGATCTTTTAAGTCATCGTTTACAGAATAGCGCATTTTCAATAAGAAAAGATGAGCACTTTTTATAACGAAAATAAATTAGCATGTTCTAAAATGCGATTCGGATACTCAGGAACTTCTTGAACTGAATAAAAATTAATACAATGATATTACAAAGTAAGTTAATACATATACAACCAACTACGGTCATGGCAACTTGCAATTTGTTTACCTAGGAGATCTTTGGTGCACTTATCCATCTGTACCAAGTTTTTGGCCAAATGAGAGTCGGGTTTCACATCCTCTTGGCATATATCAATTAAACCAGTGATGGATGCCAAAGAAGCACGCACATCGTGACTTGCATTGGCAAAAACCTGTGTCTTGTTCATACTTTTGCGCTCTGCTTGGAGGGTCGCATTCTTTTGCTTTATGAGCGAAGCACATAGATGCATCTCTCTCTTTGTAGCTTTCATGAGTAAAATGATGAAGGCTGCAAACGAGATTACCATGAAGACGAACATGAGGATGAGAAGCATGAGAAATATCGTTATGTTATTGTGAACATGACTTGCTAAGTCGGGGCTTGGATAAGACAGCATATATACCCAAGAAAGCAAGTCAACTTTACCCGAGCAACATTGTAGAACTCATACCAGAAATCAAAAAAGAGATTGTTTTGCTCTGAGATTGAAAAATAATAGTCATGAAAAGTCTAAAACTCGACATGCTGAACTAAAAGTTGAGCATACATATGATTCTTATCCTCAGTTCATCAATGTCTATGAATAAAAGTAATGTAGTTTCTACTACCAAAGTATGCTTCTACTGACTTCATGCACTACTTAGCATAAATGAAAGGACTATATCAATGTCTTTTTTATACCCCAAAAGTACCACGAAGACATACTGATTTGATCCCCATGATCTCGATGGATGAACAGTGAAAGATGTAGTCAATGCCGTTTATTTTCCCCCTAGGAAATTCTCCATCACCATCATTGGGGGAACATGAAAAATTACCCGCTTGAGCTTTGACATCGCCGTTTGGTTTCAACGACTGAACTAATGCTGCATTGTTATCAATCTTTATCTGTGTGTCGTGAAGTGTCCTTGGTATAATCACTTTCCCATCAACAGAAGCCAAGAAAAAGTCCCCTCCATGAAGTTCTAATGATGAGAAGAAATGGCTCACAACTTTAGCCGGCATCGTCAAAATTACGAGGCCCCTTCCATCCATAGCGGTATTATAACGAATCAGAAGAGATCGATCTTTATCCCATGCATTTCCTAGGACAGCAAAGCCGGTGTTCCTATTTCAGGCTTCTTGAAACCAGCTGTCATTAGCAGAGATCATAGATTGCGAGAAAAACGAATCCCCATATAGCTGACCCGTGCCGCGGTTAACAGGCTGAGCATGCCAGAATGAGGAAAACAAAGTATTGGCATACGTCGCGAAAGTTTGATCGTCCCCACTGTGGTATGAAAACAACAGGCCATTTACGCTGATGTAAGAAACCTGGGATAGATATGGAATCGAGGCAAGTGCGAGAAACAAAGTTGGTGCAACCTGGAAATGAGCACAACATGAGACAACACTAAGATATGCAAGTTCAGGCTTTAAGGCTCATTGAAACTGAGTGTCCACGTTTGTCTGGATAGAAGGGAATGAGAGTGGAGTGCCATTGACGTATGAGCTCAGTGCTCTTGCCAAATGCAAAGCCGATGAGTTGAGCAGGGCCAACAGAGTCTCCATCTTCTCGAATTCAGTTAACGATCGGTTGAACGATGCATGAGCTTCCAAATTTACTTCATGCTCGATCCGCCACGTCTAGAGGCACAGTCTTGCAATTGTCAAACTGGACAGAACCTACATCAAGTGTTGTTTTTGTTGACAAAAACACAAACCCATTAACAAATCAATGCAACTGCACATGAACAAGTCGGTCTGAAATGATCACAATCTTAAATTTGAAGTAAAAGGGTGTACGAGGACTATGACGAAACACAGTGGACGCCATATGAATCTCGAGCACAGGTTGATCTTCATGGCTGAAACCTCGGTCAGTAGCTTGGAGAACAAAATGCTTGGCGACAAGTTGATATCTGGAAATGATTGCATGCTTATGCTGGATTCGTTTGTCATGTTCTGGTGTCTTCCTCTTGAGCCTTTGGCTCTGTTCAATCTCAATCTCCATCTCCATCTCCATCTCAGCAGACACGTTAATCAAGTAGTTTTGAACAACAACAGGAAATCTCCAACTTCTGTTAGGATCTCAGTAGATATCGTGGTTTGTTCTGTTAATTTATCCGACTTTCTTCATCTGATATTTTCTTTATTTATATCAATTAAAAGTAATAATACTTCTTGATTTTCTTTTCTTTTTTTATATTGTGACATTCGAGAACTTGCACATCCTCATCTCATGTTGCTCTGCGACTTATTTATTATGGTCAGCGTAGGTTTATTTCTTGCTTTTGCGGTCCCTTTATGTTAGACCTTACAATAAAACATAAAAAGGATAAAATTTACAAGTATGTAAATATATTTCTCCAATTCCACTGTCCTTCCAAATTTTCGGAGTGTGCATCTTGCATCCATTTACTCTTCTCGGCTACCAACGATCAAATGAGTTTCTCTGCCGCTTCAATATCTAAACATGGTCAGTAGAAATGCAATGTACACAGTCCAGAATTCTCAAGTTTCAAATGTTTTGCATGAAACATGGTTGATATATTGGTGATAAGCAATCCAGGTTGCGTTCGGGTCAATCGCGCATCCTTACTCAGCTTTGTAGGCACCCCCTAACGATTGATCAAGCCTCCGGCTCTGTTATGGTATCATTTTTCAAGCTTTCTTTTAGGAAATGTATTTTGAAGGTGTTCTCGATATTAGCTTCACGTCGGGCCTTCGACCGTTTGCTTGCTTCAGTGGTCGTCTCATTTCATCAATATGCTTAACAGGTAGGCAAGCGCAGAGTGCAAAAGAACTGATGGACCAGCTCGCAGACATGCAAGCTTGCCTGAATAGTCTTTCTGAAATCACAGTCACTAGAGAGTACATGCTAGTGATAAAGAACAGAAAGAAAAGGGAAAATATCAGTCATCAATCTGTTTGCCTTTACATTGCACAAGGCAGCCAACCGAAAAACGCGAAAAGGAAAAGGAACCTGAGAACTATATAATTACTGTCGATATCAGAGATCATGCCGCAACCACCCTCTTTCATTACTCATTGTAAACTAAGCTTAAGGTTTCGCTAATGATCATATACAGTCAACAGAATACAGGTTTCACGTCATTAGTCATCTGATAGCAAAGCACGATAACCTATATCTAAGGTTCATCCAAAAACCCGAGCAGCTCAGAAGAGACAGATCTGACAGGTAGTCTCACATACAGATCGAACTTCTGTTTCGATGATTTGAAGTCCAGCACCAACGGGGTGTGAAGTTGCAAAGCAAAAGACACTGAAAATTTTTTCAACCAAAATTATCCTACTGATGCTGCTCATATATCTGCATGTATGCCTCCGAGAGTGCAACCATTTGAGGAAGGGTTTCTGAAACGTGCAGATCCTGCATCTCATACCTAAAGCATAAAAGTCAGACTTGTCAATCATCTACATGACAACCACTCTTATTTCCCCATAAATCAGAGAGAGAGACAGAGAGAGAGAGAAATTTACCAAAGTTCTTCAGACTTCCGCTGAACAAAAACCCTGTAAGAACCTTCACCAGGTTTGCCATCATGAACAACGTTGGCAATCAAATCATACTTTGATCGCAACCTCTCCTTATCTCCCGGTGTGGGTAATGGAATGTAGTCCTTCAATTCCAAGTTCTTGACAGGAAAATTAACTGGAGAACCAATCATAAGTAATCGGAACTTACTAATAACAATTTTGATCAACAATTGACATTTGCCATTTCATGTTTTCTTTTAAATCAAATCGCAGCATTACGCAATGGCAGTTCGGATCATCATCAAAGTTCCCCACAATTTTTCCAACTAAAATCATCAGGTTGAAAAAGCTTACCTAAAGTTGGGTTCTTCTCCACAAAAAAATTGTTTTTGGTAAATCTCCGCATATGGAGAATGAGATACCGAGGCAATCTCGTGACACGGTATCTCATCCTTGCTAGGCGTGGACGGACAACCTCTGTTATTGTCTCTCCATCAAATTTCTTCAGTATGTTAAAAAGGGGTACCTGAAAGGAAAGAAAACATTACGTTAGATCAATAAGCACCATACAATAACCAAAACTTGGGACTACAATGGTGCAGAAGTGCCACAGAAATCTTTAAGGACCTCTCTCATCTGATATGTCAACTTGAAGATTCCCCATCACATGATACAAGCCAATTATAAAAATTCAGGATACGATCACGATGCCAAATATCCTTAAGCATACTACATGACTTGATTCTTTCGATTAATGGTACCGAACTGTTGCAAAGGACTGACCGAACAGGAGGCATCTGACGTGCTAAGGCATGCAATGCCATAGATCAATCTAAGGATCTCTTTTTTAAACGAGTATCTTGTTTAATATATGTCCACACAGAAACTTTTTATCAGAAAAGCAATTATTCGTTCACATAGATAGTGTCAACACGAAATACTCTCCAAATTATACATATACCATCAAAAAAGGGAAAAAAAATTGTCGTCAAAGAATCAAGCATGTTTAGAGCGCATAAACTAAAATACATAAGTTCACCTGATATCAAGTTGACGAAGAACACACTCACTTGTCCACAACTCAACCCGACAAAGCCTCAGATGCACTTCCACTCCCAAATATGAAAGTACAAATTCTATTTTTATAAAATCATATACAATTCAACAAGTTAATCTTTGAACATTTTGGAAGGTTTCAGGCGTTTCGGGCAAGTAAAAGTCAGCATAGATTTCAAAAAATAAACAAGAAGTGAAAAGTTAGAAGTAGAAATTACTCCAAACAGACCCTCAATGCCATCAGCATTATCCAAATCCCACCCACACACACACCCACAAAGGGAAAGGGGAAATTATTTATCATGCTATTGTCTTTTTCTTAAACAACAAAATCGTTACCATCTTAGTTGGCAAATTCTCAAAGTTTCAATACAAATGATATCTTTTTATCAGCTTATTGATGACGTAACCAATAGCGGGGGCAAATACTACTTTCAATAGGAACAATCATTTACATGTCCACATTCCTCGGCGAACGCTTACAGTAGACGCTTCACTGGATTCGACACTTCATAAAAATATAAAGGAGAAGAACTACAGATATTGCACCAAATATTCATCAACTAACATAAAGAACAACAAACCTGGGGTATAATGTTTTTCTCCATTACGTCTTGGAAAAGAGGCGGTGGTGGCAAATCAAGTCCAAGCATTAAGAAGGGCATTCTAGATGTGTCAGACATTACACTATTAAGTTCAGTCCCACTATCCATGAGATTTGCATTGCCATCCTGGTCATCACCACTTTCTCTCTTATCAGCCATAATTTTGCCAGGAATCTCTTTTACAACTTCCAACTCCCCCTTCAAAGTGTATAAACTCTTAGATGAGTTTTTTGGTGCATGAAAAAGCTACAGCAATATATGAAACAAAAAAGCTAGAAACTGGTAGTATACCTGAAAGCACTCGTGAATAATGCTGCTCCTTTTCTTTGAAGTTTTGAGATCCGCATGCAAAGTATTAAGAAGCCACGACATAAATTCAACTGGGTCAGACTGTGCACCTATCCGAAAACGTTTTTTGCTGGCTTTCATAACTGCCTGCAGAAACTCATGAGGACTTACCTACAGATGTAGAATGTTGATGGTGAGAATCTCTTTTTGTGCATATGGAATTAGATATAAGTCAATTTCTCCAAGTAACATACCTGTCCTTTAAAATTTCGCGCATGCCAAATTTTCCTGGTGAGTTCTCCAAACCTATGAACAAGTGGAGATTTGCTATGCTGATAATTTTCAGGAATAAGGAAAAAGTTCCTCAAAGGAGTAACTCTCATTAAAGATTGAATTGTGACATTGACAAAATCAGTCTCCTTGATGTTATTCAGTCCCACCTGAAAAATTATATAATCAAGAATTTATAGCCATCAAAGAAGAGCAAAAGAAAACCCCAACTTTGCATATAAAGCAACAGCAGAATATTGTTGTGTGATCAAAATATTGCACTTACCATCCCAGGAAGGTAATCAGAACCATCAAGAGCCCTAGACCATTGTTTGTTTTTGTCAATCTGTTGAACTTGCTCCCTTGTAAACCTAACATAAGATACAAACTAAATCAAGAACAGGCACCTCACAGAATGATTGCATGACCAAGTAAAACAAAAAGAAGTTGCAAGGATTGCTACAGGCTGACATTAGGGCCTAGCTGCTATCACATGAAGGAAAGATCACATTGCATAGGAAGTAATCAGACAAAAGATGGTCAATGAAACCATGATGTACAGAGAAAGGCAGTACATTGAAAAATCAAGTATAAAAGAAAGCTCGATTACGGATATTAACATCATACAAATGTTGAGATATAGGAAGCAACCTTGGGTTCAGCACATGCCGAATGTCATCCAAGGAGGGATCATTGATCTCATATCCATCAGGCAGGCAGTAAACCCTCTCACTCTGGAGATTGATGAAGACGTGATGCCCTGCTTCAACGCTGTGTGTATAAGCATGAGACTTCTTTCCTCTTCCTTGATAATATTTCCCGCAGACTAAACACGCGTATACATTCAAATTCGATAGAGACACAGAGCAGAACTTCTCAAAGTCAAACTCCAAAACCTGGAATGGATAAAGCAGCATGCAAAATGGTGTGATAGGATAAAAACAGAATTTACTTGCAACAACAGTTAAAATGCGTATCATCGACGTAATGACATATTCTCAATGGTACATAACTCATACACCAATACTAATATTGGTAACTCAGTTTATCCTTAACTCGTCTTTATGACCCTTGTTCATAGGGATTATGTAATATAACCACGATACACTTTTACAATTAAACTTAGCAAACAAACACAGCATTATGAACCACATAACAACCCTTATAGGCTTATACCACGAAAATTTAACAAACAACAACTTTGATCTATTTTCTTTAGTACCATCGTCATGTTATGTTTACTTGCATGCTCTGTAGCAAAAACCAAGAAGATACACTTCTGCAAACTGATCCTTAAGACTGAAATGGCAATAGACTGATTCTTGAGAATGGAAACCAATATACTGGTAGTTCACTAAAAACTATATTAAGAAACAACTACACTGTCACTCTCCACATAGATTTAAGCATCAAAAAACTCTACTTCATGACCCAAGATCGTGCGGTAGCAATAGAAAGGAGAAACAAGAAATGTGCTAAAACACAAAATAGACAATCAATTGACTATATAACCACCAGCAACATGAAGTAGAATGATTTGCAGCCACAACCGAGCTTCATTTGCCTAGCAATTCTAGTTGCTCTATTGCGACTTCAATATTCCCATCACCATGCATATTTACTACAACCTATACATGCTAACATAGGCTCACAAAAATACAAACTAGCACCACAAATATCATCATAGATTGAGTTCGAAATAGTCTGCTTAGAGTACCTGGCGATTAACTGTATCAAGATAAGGGCAGTCCCTCCGGATCTCAACAAGGCGACCTCTCCTCCCTTTATTATGCTCCTCGTCTTCTTCATCGTCACTCTCGCTATCATCCTCTTCTTTTCCTCTTTCATCAACCCCACGCCCATTCTGTTGTGCCGCCGCATACCCATCTACTCCCTCTCGATAACCGTTTCTCAGCCTCCCCCTCGTAACATCTTCCTCGTCATCGATATCATCATAAGCAGTCAGTTGATGAAGTGGGTTTTCAACTAATGGGGACGAAGAGGGAGATGATTGCTCGAGCACCCTCCGCTTCTTCGTGTCGGGAACAAACTCCTCATCGTCCACGGCTTCCCCGTTTCTTTTCATGGCAGTTAACTCTTCCTTTCACTGCTTGCATTACAAGAAAACCATGTAAGATCAACCAAGAACAAACCAAAAAGAAACCAGAGGAAACCATATTCTCGGCTAGGTCAAAAATCAAACAAATGACAGGCAACCAACCTACAGCTCTATGCATACGCCTCGCTACGAATTACCGAGTCGACAGCACAAACTTCGACAAATCGACGCGGCACCGTAACAATTGGATACCAAATTCAATTACTCAGCTCGCGGTCAGCAGAGCGAAACTTCAAGACATCAACAGACTACATACAAATGACGTATCGAACCAGAACTACGGGAACCGCGCAAACCGGATTCCTAGTCGAACTACCCGCGGCACCGAAGGTAACCGTCGAGGTCCGAACGATCTCGCGGCAGCCAAATCGAAAACAGCCCGAAATGTATCATAAAGAGAAGCTTCCGGAGGAACAGCGACTGAAGCCGACGGCGTAAAGCGAGCAAAGTACGCCACGGAGAGAGAGAGAGAGAGAGAGAGAGGTTCACCGGAGGTGGCGGCGCTGTGGCGGCGGACTTGCGCCGGCGGCGGTGGTGCGCCGTTGTCGGAGAGAGAGCGAGGGGGAAGGCGAATTGGGGGAAAATGCTGGAGTGATCTGCTGCTGGGTTATGCTTTTTGATCCTCGTATTTGATTTATGAGGTCATAAATATAATTCTTTTTTTTTTACTTATTGTTTTAATCCAAAAATTGCGGGGCCGAATTTCTCCGCAAAATAAAACCCAAAAGTACAACTCGCAATGCAAAAAAAAAAAAACACATGAAGAAAAAGGATTGAGGCTGCAGTGATCTAAAGTGCTGTTACATCTTCTTCTTTTTCTTTTAATTTTGGATATTTACTATATTGAATAAAACTCCGATGTAAAACTCTCGTGATTTAAAGCAAATTTAAAAAAATAAAAGTTACGAAACACCCATTTAAGTATTCGCACCAAATTTGAGAGACTAAAGTTTTTTTTAAACTAAAAGCATTAGTTTATACAGAGAATGGTAAATGCCATTCTAGATAAAAGCTGATATCGTTATCAACGATTTGAAGTAAATTAAACAGTCATGAAAGAGGAGTCTCGATTGGCTTCGTCATGAAAAATGACAGGAAAATAAACATCAATATAATCAAGAGCGTGCGATTCGATCTTAATTGTCGAATGCTATACGACAAAATGTTCTACAATATGACTGATTATTAAAAAAAATTATATTACCGTTTTGGATGAAGAATGTCTTACAAAACATATATGAATTCTTTATAGCAATGTGGAGGCATGTGGAAACTTATGCAAAAAAAATTTATAAAGGGGTACCCCATATTTCTACCGTACTCACTTGTTTAAATGTCATTTCAAGTTTATCACATTATTTTATAAACCAGACTCTAACCTCCTAATATTACTCATTCTTATCATAATTTAGACTTCGTTAGCCTAGCAGAAAATAAATAATTTAGAAAATATTTTCCTAAAAATTAATAGTTTGTATTACTTTAAATAATTAGTGGATGAAAAATGTTTCAGTATCGACAACACTTAATATTTAAACATTTTCATGGGTGATAAAAAAATATATCGTCCGTTTCTATTTATAAATAATACGAGCGATTATTTTTAGAAAAATATTTTCTAAATCATTCAATTTCCACGAAACAAACACAAATATTATAAAGGACATCGAAGAAAAGGTTGAATAGTGTGAATGATACCTTGACAATGGATTTTTTTTTTATTTGTAGTCACCATTTATTTAAATATGTAATAAAAAAAAAATTCTTAAATATTGACTCTAAGAGACACATAAAACTCGAATTTGCAATGAATTGATCATTCTCCTCGCAAGGAATACTTACTTTTTTTTTTGCATTCTCCACTTTTTTTTATCCAACCAGAATTTGTGTTTGCGTCATACCATACCCTGAGCTTTGCTCAACAAAAAAATAATAGTTTTAATGAGTTTTAAAAACTTACAAATTAGCAATTATTGAATATTTTAAACATTTTTCGTAACTCTTCTATTAAAAGTTTCCTTGGAAGATTTTTATATTTTCTCTCAATATTACCAATAATTTTGTTGATTCCATATAAAATTTTCCTATATCACATAACAATGACAATTAGAAATTTTCCAAATGTTGTTGCATCCTTCCATTTTACATTGATATATAATGAGATATAAATTTCACATCTTATCTACATGAAATAGAATATCATTTAATAGATAATTTACACTAAAATACATATTACAATTTTACACCAGTGAAAAAATATTTGTGTTAATCTTGCAGTTGCACAAGCAGCTACCTACATACACATTGCAAAAGAGAGAGAGAGAGAAACCACAGAAATATATTGTCTGTGTAGCTTTTGCTTCTCAGATAGAGAAGCATTTAACATGATACACTGCAAGCTGGGTCATTTTATACATTACTGATGCTGCATTTTATAGGTCCTCAAGCTTTCCTTATCAAAATTATAGCACATACATTGCATCTATTCTAGATATATTGTTTCGCCAGCGGCTTCGCCACGAAGCAATCTGCTCCCGGAGTTGCTTCTGCTTGCCGTCCGAGCGGAGCGCATGAGCACATGTCACCTTTCCTAGCTTTCTCTAGTAAGGCGAACAAGGCACTGAACAGGACGCCTATGAAAACGAACACAAAGGCGAGAAGCGCGAGGAAGGACTTTTGGTCTCTGTCCACAAGGCTTGCCAGCTCGGGGCTCGGATATGACAGCGCGTATACCTGAGAAAGGAGCAGCAAATGCTTACGCTGGTCAATGCCAAAAATACAGACAGGATCTTAATATAAGCAATCGCAAGAAGCTCGAATTTTGTTCTGCAAGTGGAGTATGATCTTGTTCTTGTATAGACCGTAAGAATGTAAAACTCATGCCGATCGAATACCCATGATCTCAATGGTTGAACAGTGGAAGATGTACTCCGTGCCCGCGATGTCGCCCTTGAGGAACTCTCTTTTGCCATTTCCGGGCTCACAGGAGACTTGACCAACTTGAGCTTTCGTGTGGCCATCAGGCTGCAGTGTCTGCACTAAAGCTGTGCCGTCCTTAATCACTACCTGCGTGTGAGGATGTGCCGTTGGTATGATCACTTTCCCGTCCGCTGAAGCCAAGAAAAAGTCCTCTCCTAGAAATATAATGGGGCGAACAAGTCATCCACGATTTTAGCTGGCACAGCCGCGGTAACAAGGCCACTTCGTCCATTCACGGCGTAATATAAAGAATCAGGAGGTCTTGATTTTTGTTCCAAGCATTTCCTAGGAGCGGGTAGCCTCTAGCGTCATTTAAGGCTTCTTGAAACCAGCTGTCGTTGACCGAGATCATAGATTGTGTAGTAACTGCCTCTCCGAACGGCTGTCCTGTGCGGCGGTCAACAGGCTGAGTATACCAGACTGATGAAGAGGATGCGTTGGAATATGTTGCAAAAGCATGATCATTGTCGCCATGGTATGAAAGCAGAAGACCATCTGCGCCGATATAAGATACCCGCGACAGATATGGGATCGTAGAAAGCGCTAGAAACAGCACTGGCGCTACCTGAAGAAGAGCAAAAAGACAGAACACGACAGCAACACTGCTAAGTCTTTTCTGCTGCATTGTATACAAGGACGCTCATTAGGACCGTGTGTCAAACCTTTATCTGAATAGATTGGAATGAGAGCTCAGAGCCACCGAGGTACGAGCCTATCACCCTTGCCAAATTCGTTGTCGATAAATCAAGCGGAGGTAGCAAAGTCGCGATCTTCTCAATTTCAGTTAAAGACTTGCTGATAGATTCCCTAGCCTCACAGTCTACCTTTTGTTGGGTCTGTTCTGTCATGAGGCACCATCTTTTAACTGTCAAACTAGAGAGAACCTGAAAAATGAAGGGAGAAAAATTGACATAATAACACATAAAGAGTCAGAGTAAAAGAATGGATCAGGATTTTGAAAAGCAGCGAAAGGGTGTACGAGGATCATGATGAAACACAGTGGCCACCAAAAGATTTTGGAGCACATGTTGATCTTCCTGGCTTATGGTGGGTTCATCCAACAAATTCTGTGCCTTCCCTTATAAACTGTCGCCCTTGGCCTCTTTAATATGTAACTTAGGCTGTGACTTCATTTATGAAGAGAGCCAGCATCCAGAGCCCTTTTAAACTTGCAAAATCAAATTTATGGATTTTTTTGAAAATAGGGAGAAGCGGGTGTCGTGAACGTAAGCAAGTCGTCGTCCATGGACTAATGTAAGGGCATTTTTTTCCAAATATGTGTTTGTAACCGGCTACAGGATGCATCGATCCACCCTGTTATGAGTTCAACTTGGTAATGGAAGAAACAGAGTAAGGGGTGAAAAGGGGTCACAATTCGTGCTGTGTCATCATGTTCACATCAAGTTGCGACCTCGTATCGTTAGGAACTGCTTCTCCCGAGGGGACAATTTCATCAGATTTGGGTGATTGTCAATCATCCCAACTCCATGAACATGAAGTGTGGAGAAAATTTAGGAGATGACTCTCTCTCTCTCTCTCTCTCTCTCTCTCTCTCTCTCTCTCTCTCTCTCTCTCTCTCTCTCTCTCTCTCTAAATGCAGAAAACATGAGAGGCAGAGTGAGTGAGACGGTACACGAGCTCTGCTTCTAAGGTCTATACAAATTTCTTTTGGCCACTTCTAAGATCCATAATTGGAAAAACACAGTTTGGCTCTTCTAGCTTCAAATTTATCCGAAGCAAGTAGTGCTTCTAACGTTTGAGAAACCAAGTGAGAATTGTCAAAACAAACCTATTACACATCCATTGCACAAATATGATTCGAGGCTAAAGCCTTCACCCGTCAATTTTGAAGACAGGAGCACTAGACGAGTCTTCACAAGCATTTCCTCAGGCTCTGTCTGTCTAGCACGCCGATGCTAGTTTTGTGAAATATTGTACCAAGAATCTCAAGTAACATAAGGAGTGTCAACACCAACATTATCTTTATTAGAGACAGAATTGAGAACGAGATGCAGGACAACAGGATTTACATTCCCACATGTTAAGTTCCATGCCGAACACCAACACATCACGCAGCTTATTTGATCCGCACACGAACTCAATTACCATTAATCATGTCATCAACTTCAAGACTGAAGTTGCAATCCATGTGATTCTTACTACTGTGCCACTCGACAACTCTCCACAATGATTAACTAGTTTTCAGCTAAGTAGATTGTAGTCAAATCATTTCATCTTAAGGTGCAATCGAAAAGAAAAATCTATATCTTCTCAAGCTAAATACGTGGGGAGCAAAATGACAGCACTCTAAAAAATTACTTGTCTTGGCTATCATTGCTCCTTTATGGAGCCAATGAGACTGTTAATGTTTCTCTAAGCTAATTCTAGGGATCCAAAACTATATCCAAATGACCATGTCGCTATTGATTATAGTACATCGTGTTAACGCAATCCTTTGATGCATGAGTGTTTGAAAAGGGGAAATAAAGAGATGCACCGTCGGCTCAATCTCACAGGAAACGTGAATGAGAAAACAGCATTTACATATATATTGGTTGGCCTGAACCTGACCGATTTAGGCAACAGTAGAAGGTCACACAACTCAAGAGAGACAGAGAAGTTTCACAAGAGAAAAGCCTAAACAGAGCAAAGAGCCACTTGGGTTTAGTTAGTGGCGGTGGAAGTGGACTTGGGCTTCTTCACTATCATCACAGGACACTTGGCATTCTGTGCACAGTGATTGCTCACACTCCCCAGAAAAGCCCTGCCATTCCCAGACCAAAACAAAGTCAATTCAATTTCCAACCCAGATTTAGGAAAAGAAAATGAAAATCGTTTAACTTGTCATGAATAAACATGATAACTATAGAGTACTGATCAATCATGATTACCTCTTAATCAGGCCATAGCCATGGCTTCCCATCACCAGCAGATCAGCCCCCAATTTGTCTGTCATCTGGCAGATCACATCCCTTGCATCACCATTTTCTACTCTTGTCTCCACCTTAACCTGACCCAATCCCCACGCCCAACATTATCATCATGTTTCAAAACTCAACAGTAAAACTGTCATCGACTGTCTTCACTCAGCAGCTCATCTATTAAATTCACTTGAATCACTACACTCGTAAAAAGTCCATTTTTATAATCATCTCATTAAATGGTTGTAAGTGCATTCCTAGCATCTTTTTGTAATTTTTCATTTGGTCTCATTTTCTAAGTTGTGCAGTGAGCTGAGGTGTGTGCCACATTAATACCACCTGGCTTCCACATCAGCCTATGAACAACATCAACATTTTTTCGTTAAATATTTTTGTCTGAGAGGAAGGGTCAGAGTAAAATTCTAAAATGCAAGAGGTGTCCGAGTATTTTCTTCAAAGGATACAAACTTTAAGCACTGAGAACAAGATTATAAACTCACATCAGCAAGCTCACTGCACAATCTCTTGGCTTTCTCCATCACACAATCGGCCACTTCATTGCTGTACCTCTCGATGGCAAGCATCACTTCAGATGAAAACATGTAAGCTGAAACAGAAACAAAGAACACGACCCAAGAAAAAGAAGAAAAAAATCAATCTTTCACTTCCAGGATTCATGAAACCAAAGATCATAAAACTATATGAACTAAAAGAAGACAGAAAAAACTACCTTCTGCATAACATCTTTTACCTGTGCCATCGAGAGCTGTGGACGCAGCTCGAGGAGGCTTCACATAGAGGAGCAAAAGGGTGTCTCTGAATTTGTCAGAAATTATATTCTTGAGACACCAAGACAAGGCGTGCATGCTCTCCTCGCTCTCGTCGACGGCCACTAGTAGTCTTCGCTCTTCCGCTTCCACTTCAGCCATCACTATCGCTCCGAAGAACAAAATTTCAAGAAACTTGGATTAATCGAGCGTTTGAGTGAAATCAGCTTGTTTGTGAACTGGGGTGGTTTGCAAAGTGGAGGTTGCAGTGAATTTTATAGTGTTAGTGGACATCCATCTCTGCTTTCTGTGTTGGTGAGGAGAGAGAGAAAGAGAGAATCTGTTGGCAGTTTAGTGGTTTGGTGGTGGTGATGGGGTCATTCACAGTGCAGTGGTTTTGAAGACGGTGGGCAGTTTAGGATTGCATCGTCTCGCACCAGTGGTTTTCGGATTTGGAAAGGCTGACATGTAAATCTTGGTCAGCCATTGGATATGTACAAAAGTTGCCCAATAAGCAGCTAACATCAATATACATGTAGGCCAGTTCCTACCCTACCGGTGCCTTTCCTTTCCACCCTCATCTCGAACATCTTCACGATACTACTCTTTTCTAGTTCATATCCTGTAACTTTTAACGATAAATGAGAAGAGAAAATGTAGAAAGAGAAAGAAAAACATTTGCGGAACATGATGGTGTCGGTTAAATGTATGAAAGGGCCATGGTCGGGGGCAAAATTACCACTATATGTTCTGCTTTGCTTTTAGTGGCGTTCATCGTTCCTTTCAAACAGACAAAAACCAAGGCGAAAATATCATTCAGCTCGGTTCAATTTGGTTTCCTTCCTAGAGCAAAAGTTACTTTCGTGGTTTGCAAACAGAATCAGAAATTATAATTCAAACTTTTGCTTCTGGCTTAGGAAATCAAATCGAACAGAACTTTACTCGATACAAAAACATCGCCTTTAGCCAGTTCCGATCTGTTCTGCTGAATTGAGCAACAGCCTCGCTAGAATGAGGTCAATTCGATATCACTTTAAAAGATAGCCCAAGCCAGAGCTTTCGAATCAATTTGATTTTTACCTCCACGCCATGTCTGAATCATGTTGGCCCTATTTTTTTCTTTAATGTTATAGGTTAAAACATAAGTTAATTGGCCCAAACTGCCCAACAAATTTCTTATTTGGAGATGATCGTGCAGAATTGATTCACAGCAAGAGCCAACTAGATCGTCGATAAAAGTCACTCGTCTTGTCAAGCAAGCACACACTTCGAGTGGATATCGAAACAATCCATATTCTCATATCTACCACAATGATCAATCTAATTGGAAGTCATAAGGCATTCTCCTTCAAGTTCCAGTTGGAGTTTAAGCCAGAAAGTTGCTTTACAACTTTCAAATTCCTACAGATACAGCTTGATAATAGAATAGCAATCTAAATGAAGTTAGCTTCCATGTAATCTAAATAAATATGAAAAGACACCATATAAATCAGCTACAAATTTGAGATGACCTTGAAAACCATCTTGTTCTACTTACTGATACAAACCGAATACACGAATAATCACACCTTCGTGAAGGATTGCTGTGGATCAAGATGACGTTTCCACTTTGAAGATCAGTAATAACATGGGGAATATCACCAATGATAGGAAGGTACGATAATGAGTGATCACTTTTTGGATGAGCCAAAACCCCCGAATCCCATCATAGCTGCCACCTCGGGATCCATTTCGGGTTCCTCTTCTAGCGCCTTCTCCTTCTGATCCATAAAACAAATGAGTGAATGACAAAGAAAACCAAAGCAAGCATCCTAGGACCAGCGCCACAGAACAGCTGCATGTTCCTACTTGTATTGTGATCCGCACCAAAAACCGATAAAAATACAAACCTTCTTCTCTTTCTTCTTTTCTCTTTTTTGGCGTTTTCGTTCCTCCTCTTCCTCCTGTTGTTTTAATATTCGATCGTCAAGATCTGTAAAGTAGAGAAGACAAACTCTCTATTAGCCATCTGATTAAATGAAGCATCAATGAACTCTACTCCTTAAACGTTTGCATCCTTGGAAGGGTTACCTTGCTCAGTAAAGTTACCAGGAGGCTTTCTCTTCTTAAGTTGTTCAAAACGCCCTTGGACCTGCAGGCCACAAAAAGATCTTCAGTAGATCAGCCTTCCATTCCTAATCCCAACCATGTCCTTTGGCAAAGCATACATCATGCTCCGAGAATACAATGTCATTGGCCCCTGAATAAGCAGTATAGAGTTTAATCATACTGCAAAATGAAAGAGAAAGATTCACCTGTTCAAGAGATGCTCGTTCTACCCGCATAGACATACCCAAGGCCCTTTGATCTGAATGACAAAATGAAACATGCCATCAGGAGAGCATGAAAACTAATTTAAGAAACTTGTAGAATATTGACCAAATGAAAGCTATTGGTAAATACATACGTTTCTTTCCATTTATATGATCCAAGTAATTTGCCGAATCCTTCACCACGCATTCACAAACTGAACAGTAGTACCCAGCCTGTAAAATAAGGAAGATGTGATCACAAAATACTTATGCTAAAATATTAAATCATAACCACGAACATATTCAGCAACTGAGCAAGAGTATTTGAAAAAAGAGCAAGCTCGCATAGCAACACGAAAGGTCAATTCAATCCACTCAGATGCCTAAGAACTGTGCTAAAAGAATGAAGCGGCAATTTACTAAGCAAAAGCAAAGCACAGTAGGAGAGGGGGTATCGGTCTCATTGGTGGTGATAGAACTTGATAGCCAATAGAGCACGGAAAAGATGACGGACCCACAAATGAAGAACTCTACGGCAATTCCAGCAAGAAAAACTACTATTCTGATCTATTGCTGGACATGAAAGGGTGAAAAAACATATGTATCAAGTTAATATTCAACAGATACAACCCTTAAAGGTAAACCTAAAGTCAAAATCAACCCTTAACAGCCAATGCTGAGATTATGAGAGATTACCTGCTGGCTTAGAGGTGCTATTGGAGTGACCACCTGCAAAGCACAAACGAGTAGGGGAAATGTCAAATAAGTACTGACAAGAGATGACATAATTACCACATTCACGAACTCCAAGATTTACAATCTCACATTATGTATATAAATAAGTTTCCTTCGCACGTATACTTGACCCAGAAATCACCTACCAAAGTTTGTTTTTTTTTTTTTGGGTTGGGAATCACCTACCAAAGTTCATTGCTGCCAATTTTGGCAACTGCACAAGCTTGAAACGATAACACAGTACCCAGGATTGATCCATAAACAAAGAAACTAGTAATAAAAGAACTCATAGTAAATCAGAACAGAGACAATAATCTTGCTTGTCCACTGTAGGCCCTTCCATGCTAATCGCTAGCATCATTGATTATACAAGAGATCAAGTCGCTTCTCTGAGTAATGCCAATGAGTTAGTGCTCAAGCATTTTACTCTCTTATTATGATGCCAGTTGCTTAGAAGAGAAAAATAGATGAACAGAGTTTTAATTTCAGAAGGAACACCCTTACAGAGGACACAATCCATTCAATACCAGCAAACAAACAAGTTCTCATTAGCAGAATAGACATGCTTGTCGTAATTCATCCCACTCAAAAACACAGTGAACAGCCAATTGGGTGCACTATGAGTTTCCAGCCAGTTCATGGGAGAGATCAACCTGGTAGGAATCAGGTCACTCTCACCAAAGAGATAGCAAAATAAGATTCTAAGTGCCATCTACGTAATATAAACAATGCCACAAAGCTAGGAACTCGTTACATGCTGCCACACACAGAATCATGATCTAGGCCCAGGCAGAAAAAGAAAACATAATGCCAACAGGTAACTCACCTGAGTCTTTCCCAAGCGGGATTCAAGGTCCACTTCATAATCCCGATGCTTCAACGGCTTCCTTTGCACAGGTGGACCTTTCGCTGCACATAAACTAAACACATTACTCCTCCAACATCCACACTCCTTCCACACACAGAATCACCAGCTACCTACTGTACTGTACATTCAACTAATCAAATTGCCACACAACATGCACAAATTTAACTAAACAAACAAAGCTCACATTTTGATTTATGCCGCGACTCCCCCTCCTGAAAAAACCAATACCCAAAAGCTTGAATCGCTCCAAAAGCAAAAACAAAAATCCTCAAACGAACGAAAACAAGGATGTGTCGTAAGGAACTGACCTGCTTCTCACGCTCCCGAGCTCGTTCCAGATACTCTTCGCGATCGAACTTTCTCCGGAAAGTGTTGTCGACCCCGACAGCCTACGGGAACACCCAAACGACCCCGGAATTCAAAACCCACATCACATATCGCCCGAATTTGAACAAACACACAAGATTCCAATCGATTCACGAACCAACTTACGTTGTTGCCGGTATTGACCATGGCTGCGGACAGCTCGGCTCCCGGTGGGCTTCCAGAAGAACCGCCGCGAATCGGGGCGTCCGGTCGGTTTCCCCCGAGGGTGACGAGGAAGCTGCCTGAGCTTGCGGGATTTTTGGCTAGGGAAGCTCGGAAAGGGTGGGACGATGACGACGACGAACCCTAATTTACAGCTGAGGGCAGCATAGGCCAATTGAGAATTTTTGGGGTTTTTTCCTCGTTTCTTGTCTACAAATTTTTTTTTTCCGGCGGTCGGTAAATTAACGGCGAGATAAAGTAAAGGAGCATGGGTAATTAATTGCTCATTATGCATAAAATCCAGAAATTTACCTTTTTTTATGAATAATAAAAAGAAATTTCCGAATTGGGCCCGTTTTCTCAAAAGAGTTCTTCCATGTGAGTTCATCTCGATGATCCCCTATACTTGACAAACGGGTATGGATCGACCTTTTCACGATGATCGCCGGCGAAAGATTGGCCGGCCATGAAGCACGTGCATAATTCTCACCGATTATAAGTGTCTTTCCGTACTAATCACGTATTGATACGTCCAAGTTGAGAAAGAAAATTGAACATTAAAACTAAAATCGTGAACCCAAGAAGAGAAAGAGAGAGGCAAGGGGGAGGGAGAGTGCCGGTAAGGGGGCCGGCGTCTCTCGTCGGGCTCGTGCGACCAAGCCGCTATCGCCTCGATCATAGATCATACCAAGAGAGAGAGATTCATGTATTGCCGAAAAAGATTATTTGCATATCTTAGAGTGCTCTACAATTGTCGTCTCATGACCTCATAAGCCAACCAAGAAAAAGAAGAAGAAAAATAAAATTTCTTTTCCATTTATGATTCTTGTTCTCAGAATCAAGAAATAACTTTTTTTTTATTCTTGATTCCTCTCCAAAACTGATTCTGAAAATAAATTAGAGCAAATTTGTGCCCGAGAACAAAAAATTTACCAAACAAATTTCTATTTTTTATTT